TCTCTCTCTCTCTCTCTCTCTCTCTCTCTCTCTCTCTCTCTCTCTCTCTCTCTCTCTCTCTTTTCTTTTTCCAATCATTCAAAACTCATTCCTTCTTATTCACTCTGGATTAAGTCTTACACCATGGCTGTCTGGAGGGGAAACGGGAGGATAGAACAATTCCTTCACTTACCCTCTGTCCCTGACGCCTTATGCTGCATATCGGGGCCGGAGAAATTTTTGTTGGAGACATTCCACACATCAACTATAGATCGTAGTCTGACCTTATCTGCAGTACTCATCTGCTGACTGGAGTTCCCTACGCTTTGTATGTAGCATGTAGACAGAGGGTTCCTGGTCTGGTCTTGTTGGTACAGCACGTCTTCCATGTGCTACTCGGGCTTGAATATATTTTAAGATGAAAGAACAGTATGAATCGGAGAAAAAGATGTGGAGGAGGGGGGGGGGATGTGCTGAAGGGGGAGAGAGGCTCTATTACCGTGTGGTTGAACTCTCTAAATATTGATCAGAGCTCAATGTTGCCTGTCTCAGATCAACCTCAGCCCCAAGCCTCATACCCCGTTCCCTCTAGGAGCCCTCCAGCGTAGCCAACAAGTCTCCTACATTCACCGCTTTGCGTTTTCGTGGCCGCAAGTCCGAAGTGCTTCTCCCGCGTGATGTCTTGCCTGTTGTCCTTGATGATGAAACTTGAGGTTCTTTGTTATCACCATCTCTTCCTTTCGAGCCTTGCACGCTCCAATCTCGGGCAAAAACACTTCTCCTCGGACTAAGGAAAGATGGTCCTCGATGGCGCAATCGAAGACTCACAAATCGCTCTCGCGGTAGAGGAATCCCGGCAGCCTCTGCTTGGACTCGGCCGGCTTCGTCATCTGCCTTTCTGCTGTTCTGGTCGAGAAATGCGAGAAACCAGAATATATCGTTATCCGTCCCCTCCGGCGTAGACGCCGGCGGTAACGGAGAGTTTGCGGGCTTGAACCAGCGTTTGTATTCTTCTGCTGCCAACTTCCAACTTCTAGAGTCACCGGAGGGGTTCTCAATCGGATGTTGTGCCGCGTTCTTCTCTCCCGTCTCTTCTTCCTGCTCACCCTGTTCCAAACTCTGAGGCGATGAACTTGTTCGAGGATGGTACACGATCTGGATTGGAGTTTTACTGTTCTCGAACACTAGCTTCAAGTCCCTGAGTGTCAAAGCCTCATGATAACCAAGGCCAGCGAGATCAACTTTACGCAAGACCGACCCGGGTAGAAACGCCCGCATATACGTCAAAAGATGGGGCTCCCGAAGTTTGAAAGCCACCTTCTTCCATCCTCTAATGTGCTCGGCTACTTTAAACCACGAGAATGCATTTGGTCCCGCAATATCAAAGATCTCCAACCGGGGGAAATGCATCGCATACTCAAGCGACTGTTGCGAGATATCCTCTGTCGTTGTCACAATCTTCAGGACTCGCAACGAAGCAAACGGTTCCGGCTTCATCTCACTCCAGCCCTTGATCACTCTATCATGGATCGCACCGCTTGCGGCGTCTTCGCGTTCGATCAGCTCGAGAACAGCCAATCCACGAAGGTTAGCCAGGGAAAGCAGCTGACGGGAGTCGAAGTGCTCGATATTGTCGATGGTCAGGTAGGTTAGGCAGTCTGTGCATCTTGAGAGCGGCTCCGTGTAGACGGAGAGTTCGCACGGAGGATCGACAATCTCGAGACAGTATCGCTGGGCTTCCATAGGGATTGTGATCTCGTCGTCACGGCGTTTTGCGTCACACAGCCGTTCGACTGCTTCTTGCAACGCATCCTCCTTCATGCAGCGAGAGAGTGAGTTCCAGGCATGGAATGGTATATTTCTACCATTAGGTTGTCAGCAACAGTCCCAGTGAATCGACTACCATCCCGGCCAGCCAACGAGAGAACCCCTACCGCGCGGTCAGCTCCTTCCACAGCCATTCTCTCGCCGTTGGCGGGAGGTCTTGCAGTGCCTCGCCATCCACATCAGAGATGCTGTCTGCCAACACCCGGAGGGATATGTCCATGAGCGGCCGCGGCCCGGTGCCACAATTGCGTCCTCGAGCTGTACGTCGCGGAAACCGGATCCAATCCTCGCATGTACGATACCATTTCCTATCGACTAGAAGACCGGAAACGCCAGACACCGTTGTGCTGGTGCCGCTGCTTGGAAAGTAGATGGAGTCGGAGAGTGAGGAAATGATGCTCATGGCACTAGGCTAGGAGTTTGTAGCGCAAAGATGGCTGAAGCGGAGGAATATACAAAAAGTTAACAGCGCTGAGTCGGAGGGGTTTGCACGGACTGATGTGACAAGGCCAGACAACCCATTCACCAGAGTCACAATAAGGCATTGGGTGAATCTCCGGATAGTGGACTTGGGTACCTAGAGACACCAAGGGAGGAAAAAAAAAAAAAAACTGGGTTATCTTGGTCAGAGTTGCGAGTTTTACGACAACCGTTTAATGAGCCCCGAGATAGCTTAAAAGCTGTGGTGGCGACTAGGGTGACAGGAAAGGCATCGGATAGGGTGAAGAGTGTATTGCAATGAGACATGATGGTGAAACCAAAACAGTCATGGAGCCCACCATTCGGTTCTGGTTGACTGATGCGTGGGGCCTTTGGTGATTCTGGACTCTCGGTTGAATGCTTATCGCAAGTACCATACGCAGGATGGTGGCTGACCGACTTGGATGTTGGTTATCCCTTGTCTTCTTCACCCAGAGGGTTAGGGTTGTGTGGATAACTTAGAAGAGAGTGAGATAGTTCAGTTTTTGATCGGTGTTAGATCGAAGAATCATCGAAGAATCATCGAGCGCACAGGGCTATGAGCAAAGGGGGGCTGCTTTCCACGAACTCAACCTTTAAACCTCCATGAAAAGGTAGCAGAGGCTCTTCATAGGTTATCTTCGGTTTCTATCTACGCCTTGAAAGCACCACGGACCTAGTGACCGACTGGCATTGCTAACCAGCGGCTGTTTGTATCCCAAAACAGCGGCAAAACAAAGCCGAGTCAGCCAGGCCATATTAAGAGTCCCTGTCTGTTCTCTTGTCCTTCCAGGTCCATCAAGGTGGATGGGAAATCGCGTAGTCCTGCTGCGGGTCAAAGCAGCCAGCCCACGTGGAACGCAATGACCCGAGAGAGCCAGTCAAGGCTCGCCCACATCATCACAACCCTCCCCACCCACCTAAAAACACAGCCCAGAATCCTCTCCTTCCAACATATTCCACAGACTGCTCAGATCACCGCTTACGCTGCAACAGCCTCCCTCTCCAGGGCCTCCAGCTCCTTCAGCACAGCAGCCTTAGTCTGAATCTTCTTGATCTGCGTATCCTCGAGCTTCTCGCCGCCCGCAAGGCGCATCTCCAGGTCCTCTATCGCGCGGATCTTCTTTTGCAGGCTGCGAATCTTCTTCGCGTTCGGATTCGTAGGGGCTTGAGTCTGCGCGGGCGAAGCGGTCTCAGCGGGAGTGGATGCAGCAGCCGCGGGTGCAGATGGCTCAGTGCTGGGCTTGCGGTTGTTGTCGGCGTTGTTGCCCTTTTGCTGTTGCTGCCCATCACCGTTGTTGTTCCGCGTCCGGCTACGGTCCCGACGGTTCTGGGCATTACCCGCAGAGCCGTCCGATGGAGGAGCCAGGTGGCCGTCGGAAGCGTTGGCATCACCACCAGCACCGCCCTCCTTCTTCCTGTTGCGTTTCTTCTTGTTTTTGAGAGCGGTCTTGGACAGGTTCTCACCGTCAGCAGCGATGGCACCAGGAACGGTGCGCTGAGCGGGCTCAGCACCAGGGACCTGGTTCCGGGGACGACCAAATCCATTGGCGCCAATGTTCGAAGTGCCGTTGCTGACGGTATGGGCAGCACCGCCCTCATCCTCCCGCTTGAAATGGAGAGGAGTGCTGGTGCCGCGAGCACCAGGAGGGCGGTAAACGCCAACTGCCTTGGCCGGCGCCTTCGCCTTGCTAAGATATTCAGCGGCCGATGGGTGCGCGCTGGGAACGGGGGTCAACGGATCCTCGTTCGCCGGGAAGCTAGAAGGAGGAGCCGGACGCCACATGACGTTGTACAACTCAACCATGTCCTCGTTGTACATGAGGGCGCCGCTGACGTGCCAGAGCTTGACGCCGTTGTCGACACGCAGCCGAGGGGACGTGGTGGCAGTCATGATATACTTGCTGTCGGGGCTCCAAGCGCAGACGCTTGGGTTGCCGCTCTCGATGGTGCAGATCTTGCGGTAGCCCTTGTCAAGGTCGTATACGTCGATCTGACCAGCCAGGTTGCCAAAGCCGGCAATCAGGGCGAAGCGACCAGTGGGCGAGAAGATGATGGTGTTGCGAGGGGCGATCGGGAAGGTGTGGTTGGCAATGCCGCGGTGGTTGAAGATGGTGGTTTTGGACGGCATGTAGCCATACACGACGCCGAACTCGGTCGAGTTGGGCGACCAGGCGACATCGTGGATCGGGCCCTCCTTGTCCAGAGTGATGCGCGCGTCAAAGGCGCCGTTGGCGGTGAGCAAGTACATGGTGGTCTCGCCATAGTAGCTCTTGTTCGACTTGTCAACGTCCGTTTGCGCCAACACAATCAGCGCAGTACCCAGACCGTTCCACTTGAGTTGAACCTTGTCGCCCTTGAAAAAGGTCTTTTGAGAGACCGGGCTATTGAAAAGGGGGACGTTGTAAACCTTGACAGCAGCGGGTTGGCCCTGGAAGCTGTTAGCCCGCTTGCGTATAAGACCCTCTCGGTGTACATACCTTGCGCTCGGGAACGAACACGGCCACGTTTTGGTTCTTGCCCGGAGCGAGGGCAAAGTCGGTAACGCCCTCGACGCGGAGCTTGCTCCAAACCGTCGAGAGGTCTTCGCTCCGGTAGAACTGTATCTCGTTGGTAACCATGCGCGCGCAATACTTCTCATCGTCGCTGTACTGAAGGTTCCAGCCCGACTGCGACTTCTGGACCCACTGGCCGACGGGCTGCTTCTGGGCACCAGGAGCAAGGTCCTCGACAGTGCGCCAAACCTTCAAGTTCTTATTGGCATCGCCATTCTCGTCCTTGGATGGGCGCTCCCACGTGCTGAGGTAGGTGCCGCGAGGCGAAAAGCCAAGCTCGTAGACGTTGGGCACCGGGAGGGTGGTCCAGACGTGGCCACTGGGAGTGTCGACGACCACGACGGCCTCATTGGTGGCATAGGCGAAGAAGCGGCCACAGGGCGAGTACCCACAACACCGCGTGTTCCCCTCGGGCTTTGCGAATCCAGGGACGGCTCGGTAGGCCGGCGCGGCATCAAAGACGCCGATGGTCTTCTGGGTCCGGTAAGCAAACTGCAACGGATTCGCCATGACTAGTCAAAGCCACAGGTTGTCGCGATAGCAGTAAAGTGTTCCAAATGGGGTGTCAATCAAGTCTTCTTCTCGGGTTGGTTGGCTTGAAGAACTACCGCGCTTCTTTCTTGGATAGGCGGGCCTGCGATAGACACGTGTGCGATGTGTGAATGTGCTTGGCTCAACCGTAACAACAACGGATGTCGATGGGTTAAGATGGATCAGAGTTCGACTTGCTAGAAGCGCCTGCCACAAAAAGGGAGATAAAATAATCAGTCAAGTGTTCAGAAGCTGAACGCAGCCGAATGGGTGATGCGCGTCTTTCGAGCGTCAACACCAGATCAACGGCAGTCAGGGACTGACTCTGGCCAACGCAGCAGCAGCCGTGACGTGGGACGAGCAGCGGGGGGCGCGAAGAATGCGGCGGGCACACACACACACACACACACGTGAGGCAGCAAAGCCAAAGATGTCCTGTAATGCTGGTGATGTAGCTCGACTCCGTGACGGCAGACGGGCAGACGGAACGAGACAACGGGGAGAGCAGCAGACAGACAGGATGTCGGGCACTCAGGTGGTCTTTGATGGGCTCGGCACACAAAGACGCGGCAGATGGGACGACGAGGTCTGTTGCTGCGGCAGGGGAAATTTGAAACCCGCTTTTTGCGAAAGAAAAAAAAAGCCGACCGACAGAGAAGAAGAAGACGGGGAACAAAAGAGAAGAACAGAGGCGCCCTTGGGGAAGATTGGCGGAGGCGGTGCGTGTTGATGGGCCTGGGCAGGAAGGGAGGGACGGGGAAGGCGAGGAGAGAGGAAAGGGTCGAGAGAAGGCGGACACGGCAGCGGGCAGCCGGCGGCGCTGCTGCAGTGGGTGGCAGCATGGGCGAGACACCACACGCACACACACGCACCAGCGATCAGGATCGGCTCCACACTGTCATGACCTATTTTTTTATCTCAGGCTTGTGCTTCGTCGTGGCTTGCGGCGTTGCTGTGTTGGCTTGTGTCGTTTCAACATTCTGATTGGGTGGAGGAGCCTTATGCCCCACATCTCCCGCCAAATGTGGATTCTGGGGCAAATCCAGGCTAAGTACGTACCCTGGTGCTATTCCATCTCTTGACCACAAGCACCACAATGAGGACGTGAATTGAGGACAGCCAACAGATCACAGGATTCCGCTGGGTCTCCGATAAGTCATTTAGATCATGAAGGCATCCAAGTCCTGTCACAGAAACATAGCATCCAACATAGTACAGATTACATGCTGGCCCCTGACCCCGACCATGATTCTGAAACTTACGATGGCAAAGTGGCCTTACATGACCGCAAAGTGTGCCAATGAGTCTCTGAGTTTTCCGCTCACGAGTTACAGAAGCATTTCGTCTAGTGATAAGATACCTGGGGGCATGATGCATCACCAACTTGCTAACTCAAACAATGGTTGACAGACTTCTTGTAACCGACTTTGGGACAATCAACTGTGGGCCGACTTGGGGGGGGGCGACCGGCTCTTTACACCAGGAAAGAAAAAGTCAACCAACTTTGATCAACTTTTGTAAGTGAAAAGGGCAGTCGCAGAGAAACTGATTCTTGGATCCCTGGGTACGTATCTTGAACCGTAAGGATCTCAGCTCATAGTGGCCTGTTTGATCCACACCTCTTGACTGAAAGATTCAAATTCCTGATATCCTTGAAGTTTGGTCTCAGTAAGGTGTGACTGAAGAGTTCTCTCTTTGTTAACGAATCAAGACTGACATCTGCAGGGAAACTCTCACTGCTGAACATATTGTAACTAACGTCCCTGACGGCACGCTCAGATGCCTGGTGGGATGAAGAGGACCCTGGAAATGCCTGTGATGACGTCACGGGCCCAGAAGAAGGGTTAATTCAGATCACAACCGATGGGAACATCAAGCGCTGTGCATCTCTTGCATCCTTATTAAACCCAGGCAATTTGTTCTAATGGTCTCATTTCATTGCAGAGCTGTGATTCATCAAATGTTCCTTCTTAAGCTGTTGATCACTGTGCTAAGGAGGGTGAGAGCACAATTGGCTGGCAGAGTGTGGCTTGTCACAGGTTAGAACAGGAGCCAACGGAAGGGAATTTCCGGCATGCAAAAAGGAACCCGTGATAAGCAGCAATATGATCAAATTGCGTAGCTGTCAAGCACATTTTCTTTTTTTTTTTCATAATCCCAAAAAAACTTCACAAACCCAGAAGCTCTAATGGTGACAAACCCCTGTTCTCTCCCAGCCAGCATTCTGGGCCCAAGTAAGGCCGGCAGTCGGAAGAATCCGATCGATTGTGGGGAGCCCAGTGCGAGAGTGTTGTAGCCCTACCGCACGGATCACCCCCAGGCCGCGCTAACTCTTGTTTGGACAACCTTGTTCAGCCGCATCAACGTCGCCAATCACCTTAAGCGTAATGCAAGGTATCAGAATGCTAATTGGGGCTTGTTTGTGGCTCCTGTTACTGTCATCCTATCAAGCCCTTCAACCAGCAAAAGTTGACCCTGGGCGCTTGAGACAACTGCTCAAACACCTAATGCCTACTCTCCTAATAAACGGGGGTTCGAAGCCTCTGAAGCCCTTAGTGCAGAGAAGCTTTATTAGAACCCAGAGTAGCTACGAGCTATATCTATGTCCAACTTTTCAGAGCACTACATATTGTGCTGGATCTAATATGTTTTCTAAGTCAAAGTTTGGAATCCCCTATAATTTGGATACTGTATCAGTAACTTAGGTTACCTTTTCCTAAATGAAAAAAAAAAGACCGCGATTGTCTCGCAATACACTGTCTTTGGGAGTTCTAGGAGAAGCCTTCTCTATATTGAGCTTTCAGGGGACGAGGATAGCTTTGCTTGCTTTCCTGCCTCTTAGCTCAACTGGCTTATTGCTGGAAATTGAAAACTAGTAAAGTTCTCTAAGTTATAACATTATCACTTATAAGTCACAATATAGAGAATATATGGCGATCCAGGCAGCCTTCCTGAGACGGGTTGGGATCCGGTTCAAGGCTTAAGGATCTGAGAGACAGAAGTTCTCACACAGACTCGAGAGCACTGTGGTCACCAGTTGTCTTGGGCAACTGTTGGATTGCTGACTTGGGAGTTCTTTCGTACCTTTCCTGCTGCGAGGAATTTATCTGCCCTAGATACTCAGAATCCTTCCTTGTCTCTTCTCCCAGGGAGCTTTTAGTCCTTCATCAGTTCCTAGCTCTGACAACCATTAGTCAGAAACCCTTTGTTTCTTGTTGGTCGTTTGGAATATCGCGTGAACCGCGTCTTTATGTGTCCTTTGTGTTTTATCCCACTTTTCTGGCGAGGTACTCCCTCTTAGTTGTGACAGGATATCTAACCTAATAGCTGGCCAATATGCTAACTCTTTGATTGACTTTTAGTTATAAGCAAGTTCTCTAACCAACTTCTTTAACGAACTTTAGCATTTTTTCGGTTTTTCAACTAGGTCCTTCAACTTTGATCGACATCTTTAACTATTTGAGCTGACGTCGACTAGGCTCTTCAACTTTTTTTTTCCAAAAAAATCCAACTTTTGTCTCAACTATGTGACGATCCACCTAGCCCTCCTCCGAGGGTTTCGGATTCGGCTAAAGGCTTATGGATTTGAGAGACAAGAATTCCCACACAAACTCAGGGTCACTGCGGTAATTAGTTGATTTTGTACAGCTTTTTCTATTGCTGACTGGGGAGTTCTTCGTCTCCTTCTCCCATGAGCGATCTATCTGCCCTATGAACTGATGATCCCTTCTTCTTTCTACCGCAGGCCCTTCTTTGTCAGTAACTTTTGGTCTTGTTTTCCTATTGACCGTTTCGGACCTGCGTGAGCCGCGTCTTTATTAGTTCTTTGTGCTTGATACTACTTTTCCCTCCTGATACACCCTGTTTGTCGTGATAAAACTAACTATTCTTGACTGACTTCTTCAACCGACTTTTTTTTCCTAACTTGTTCAACTAACTTCTCTTACTGATTTTGTCGATGCTTTATATGTTGACTTCCTCGACTAACTTTTCGGACCGACTTTCCAACTAACTTTTTCCAATTAACTTTTTACCTGATTTTTTTCAACTCTCCTCCGTGCAGGGGCCAACTCTGCCCTACGCTGGCCACCTTAACCGCACGCTGGGGCAAGGATTCCTAGAGCGCATCCACTGGCCCTCCCATTGCCGAATGCCGAACCAAGCCGGTCGGGTCGTTGTGTAACTGGAAGCGCACCTCACCAGGTTTAGCGTCAGCTCTGGCTACACCGTCTAGCTAAAGGCCAAGGACGGGGCCAGCTGCTACAGGAGATGCCATCTCTAATGCTAGATTCGTCGTGCACCGAATTTATCTAACGTGACCACACTTCACTTTGCCCAAACAATACGTCGTAGTGTTCCGGTATGGCTAGGTAGTTTAGCTAGGGTGCTCCCGTGTAATTGTGTCCAGTGGACACTACGACACTCAGAGGACGTGTGCTGGCTGGTGTACCACATGGCTGGGAAGGCAGCTCGTGGGGTTTCCGGCTGACGAAGCATCAAGCTGGCACCAACCAAATTCCGCAGACTACATGAGCTTTACCAGGAGCAGTCTCAGGCGCTGCTATAACATGATACTGCTGGCTCACTCGTTTTGATTTAGCCTACTTAGGAGTATAACATTTCTCTGACAACCTTTAGTTTTTTTTGTCCGAAAATCAAACTAGACCTCGACATCCAGAGACGCAAACTCCTGGACGGTTACACAGGTTCACAATGACACATCATTTCCGTCAATGACGGGAAACATCGGGGCCATTGATGGGAATACCCCCAACGCAGGATATATATAACTCGCCAACATACGTCAGGGAGGAAAGTTCAAATAGTGAAATGACCATCTCTTGAGCACATCGAACACCAAATATATCACACCCATAAGCACACAAACTATTCAGAGCATTAATACCATTACCTGCCTGCCTACCTAGTCAACAAAAAGTCCACCTCCCCTCTCACCTCCCATCTCTGAAGCTCATGAGCATCATCATCGCATAGTACATACCTAATGTAAGTACATGTAGTGCGAACCATCTGTCTAAGTCATGCATGAAAATACATATCATCTTTCTCCGTCTGTTTCCGTGCTTATTCATCAATCATCATGATACAATCATCATGATAAAGAGCATCATAACAAAACCATGAACAGGAAGGGGAAAGGAACCCCATAAGAATACATGAGAGTGGAAGGGGAAGGGAGGGGCGTGTTTCAATGTTTGTAACCAAAACGAGTATGCTTGCTCCAATCAACAACATAGCAAGAAAAAAAAAGCCTCATAAATGTTCCCGACATCTCGTAACCATGCGTAGCGTCGTTTCGTGATAAAGGAAAGAAATCATCGTTCCGTGTGTGAGACACGAAAAAAAAAACAAGAAAAAAAGGGACTAAATGAGAGATAGGAAATGGTATCTGAAAGACCCAAAGAAATATAAACGAAATGCACCTTACCCAACTCGCTTTGATCCATCAGCCGTTTTTACCATGTTCCCAAATCCATCATAACCAAAACTCTTCATTTATCAACCTCACCACCTTAACCGAATCTCATACCTCACCCCTCTCACCCCTCCACCAGGACTCGAACCATCATCCGATAAGGGATCCGCCTCCCCATCAGCATCCATATCCAGCACCATCTCGTCCCCCCACTCGCTCTCCGAGTTCTCCCTCTTGACCCCGCTTCCATTACCATTCATCCCATTCACTCCATTATTGCTCGGAATCTGCCGCACGTCCATCACGAAATCCATCCCCTCGTTCATTTCCCTGACGACATCATCATCAACGATGACTTCCAAGCCTTTCCCTTCGACCTCCCGAACGACCCGGCTAACTAGCCTGGCATCGAACCCCCCAAACTTGCCCGCTAACCTCTCCACCAGGTCAGAAACCGTCCTCTTGAACAAGTATACGGCACGGTAAACCATCTTCTCTCCTGAGGCTTCATGCCCATCACTCCTCCGAGCAACATAGAAACACGCCACCGGCTTGGGAGTCTGCCTTGGGGGCGGACGATACGACGGGTCCACGCCAAGGGCATCAATCCATCCCGTAATCGACGTTCCATTCGAGTTGAGTCTCGGCACTCGAGTCGTCTGCTGGTCAGGGTCGAAGTTGCCGTCTTGTGCTTGCTGAGGGTAGTTGATGGATGCTGAACTGGGGGAGAGGGACAAGAGCGAGGAGTCGGCGGCGATCGATGAGCGGTGACTGCGCCAGTCGCTATTGTCTCGGAAGTCGATGTGCACGTCGCTGGTTGTGCCTGGTAAGGTGACGGGGTGCAGGTCGGGATCATCCAAAGCGTCGCCGCGCAAACTAAACACCGACACGGGCCGCGTGCTGGTAAACATATCCTGCAACGACTGCAACTTGGCATTGAGATCCTCCTCGAGGGAACTCATCCTCTGCTGCTGCTGTCCCTGCTGTCCCTGCTGTCCCTGGCTCTGTTGTCCCGAATCCGTGGCGCTACTAACAGATGACATAGACCACGAGCGCTTATGTTTGGGCACCTTCCCAGGGCGCTGGAGGTCAGGCGCTCCCTTTAGCGCCTGGGACGCAGCGCTCCGTTTCCGTTTTGAGCCGTCTTTCATGCCTGCCTCGGCCTGCGCGATCTGCTGCTTAAGCTTGTCGATCATCTTGCGGACGTGGGCCACGTCGTTGGACAGCTTGCGCTCAGCACCGTGGTCACGGAAGAGTTTCACCATGCAGTAGCTGATTTCGGCTTCGTAGGCCGAGTTTTCTTGTGAGTAATCCGAGGACGAGGCAGCAGCCGAGTCTTGTGATGGGGGAAGCTGCTGGGTCTTGGCACATAACCGCACAGGTATACCCTTGACACCTTTGGAGTGACTAAAATCGGTGGATAGGAAGTTGAAACGGACGGTGATGGTACATTCAGGGGCGGAGTCGCACGCCGGGGGCGTCCAGACGACCGCGAAACCGTCGAACGACGAGCTTTCGAGCTCGATGCGCGTCTTCTTGTCGTCCTCGACCTGCGACGACGATGTTTCTACGTATTCTACGGCCTGGAGCTTGCCTCCGCGTTGATGAGCCTCGCTGGTACCGCGACCCTCCTTCCACAAGCCCCAGTACACGTTTGGCTTCTGGCGTTGCTGTTCTTCTTCGAACGATACGCGGATGTATGTACGGAAGCGTGTTCCTGGAGTAATGGGCTGACTAGGCTGGTTGGTGTCGGTGATGGTAATGGTATAACTCTGTCCCTTATTGAGATATGTTACAGGGATCTCATCGGGATGCCTGATCATCGCGGTCGGGGCGTGAAGGACGGCGTGGAAACGGAACTTTTCGGCAAATGCAGGGGGTAGAGCTGTCCTGTCGGCGTCGGACGACCCCGCCTGGAACGCGGGAATCGACTGAGGCTGAAAGGCAGTCTCGATCGTGCTTGACTGATCGTCGCCTTGGTCGTGATCCGAGTCTGCCTGCGCTGTGTCTTGGTCCATGGCCTCAAAGCCAGGGTTCTGGCTCAGAAAATGTGACGGAGCGAGCGAAGGCTGGGGTTCAGTCGTCGGGACGAAGGGGTTGAACTGATTGGGAAATTGAGGGAGCGGAAAGCCATTATTGAACGACATGTCCATCGAAGTCGCGCCTGGCTGCATGGCGGCCCCCGAGGTTGCCATGGATAGCGGTGTTCCCATCCCGAGGCCGAGCGTCGGCGTGTGCAGGTCGCCGGCCTGGGGATGGTAGAGCGTATTCGTCCCTCCAGGGGTCGTCGCGGTGTAGTAGTTGTAGTTGGCGAAGTTAAAGGTGAACGAGGCAGGGTCCAGTAATGTCGGAGTAAACCGCCATGGCTCGTTGGAGGCTCTGGGAGTCGGATCCTGATCGCGGAACATATCCTGGCTCAGGGACTGGGATCTGGGCGATGTTAGTCTTTGACCGAAACTCTTATATTATCTAGGTGACGCATACCTATCCGGACCAGCCAAACTTGGCTGACCGGTTGTCACTGTCCTTGCTGGTCCTCCTGTTGTCGAGGTGGCTGCGACCACCTCAGGAAACTGTTGTCTGAAGTTGGCCACCAGGTCCTCGCCTGGTTTTCGTGAGCTTGTCCTATATCGCAGGGGTCAGCAGCTGCTGCGACGACGCAAGCCGAAATGATCTTTGTTGACTTGCCTTTGACGGAACATTGCTATTGTATGTATGGGCCTTGTAAGGCTAACGTAGACCAAAGAGATAGACAGGACGGATGAGAATGATGGTCTGTAATGCGATGAAACTTGACGTCTGTGTCTTTGTATTCGATCTCTATCCTAATCCGTAGACTTCGTCCGAATACTCGCAAGATCGGTTCTCGGCGCTATGGTTCTGATGGCTGTCGCAAACACACGTATACCTGTATGAGTAGCTGTTTGTTGTGACCAGGTGCCGTGACGTTTGGTATGCGACGAGTCTTCTCGAATCGAAAAGTCGAGTCCGATCAAACGAGCGTCGGCAGAGGACAGGTGTCAGACGGCAGAGGGCAGGCGTAGCAAACGAGAGGAAGAGGTGGATATGACGGCGCAAAAGAAGGCCGTTCTGACAGCCACTGAATTGGCTGACTCCCCGCAAACCGCAAACAAAAAAAAGTTTGGGGTCGGGCTGGGGCACTGGAGGCGCGTGATGCGGATGGTCGGATGCTTGGTCGGGTAGGGCGTCTGAGGTGTCTCCCTTTCTTAAGCTTATAAATGGGACCACCCGTCGTCACCCGTGGATCAAATGGACCAGAGCACTCGGGCTCAGGCACCCTTGTACCGATACGCGCGTGTCAGGACGGGTCCCGACACCGTTGTTGCGTGGTGCGCATGCGCTCCCCACTTGAACAGCTTTTTGTCTTCTATTTTTCCTATTTAGAGCACACACAGCAGGGGGGGGAATCACGACAACGGCCACTTCACGTCTTGGAGGTGGGGTTAGGAGCAGAGAAAATGATAACTCCCCTCAGCTCAAACAGCTACAGACAGCTAAGTAGTAAACTTACAGATGGTAGTTTGCTGGCTGCTATGACTCTGACTCTTCTGTGAGACATGCAGATAGGGAGACAGATGGAAGAGCGAATGGCGCGGAGGGGGGCAAAGGAACACAGTGGAAAAGTCAAGCGGAGAGATGATGGCACTGAGTGGGGCCGTGGACCGTGGGCAGGTGGGGTAGCGGGGAAGCACGCCGAAGTCGAGCGAGCAGCGAACCAGCGACCACTGGCCTGATGTTCTAGTACTGGTACCGGTACCAGTATCGTTGCCTGCCTGCGTAAATGGTTTCGTTTTGGCTGTCTGCATCATGCAACGGATCGAAGGGTCGATATGCCGCGGAAGGGTGTGCTCGCGCCAGTATTGCAGTTCGTTTGTTTTGGTTAGTTTTGTATCTACTTTCAATAGTCAACAAAAAAGATTCGTCGAGAGCTGAAACTCAGACAGGTGGCAACAACTGAGAGGATCTGGGCCCTGAACTATAGGCCAAAGTTGAAAATTAAAGGGTTCGTGGAAAAATGAACAAAGACCGGTCGTCACCAATCTCATCGCCCGTCGATGGATGTCTCGCACATCCGCCCATCGCACGTTACATACGACACCATGGCTGTGCTCCCATCATATCGCCACGATTACGACCGAGAGCCACAACAGCATCGCCTCAGACCAATAGGAACGAGCAGTGCGAGGATCTGGTGCGTGTTGTCGATACCCAGTGACGTTGTTCGTTACCAGTGCGCGACTTCGTGGGTTCGCCGATCTCCTCCAGCAGAAAACGGACCGTGTGACAGCCAGCAGTCCTCGCGCCATGTACCGTGACCTGTGATCAGAACTGTCCGAACCACAGATACGGTCCCCACCTACTCGATCCTCGATCCATCCTCACTCGCATCAGCCGCCGGTCCACAGATTTGCTCATTTTCGCAGATGCACACCGCTGTCTTTGTGCCATCCGCAACCGTTGATAAACGCTGGTGAGTTGTAAATATTCTCATCTGTTTACTTTACCCATCTGCGATTTCAGACATTTACCCGGCAACGATATGCCCCAAAAATACTACATCTCGCTGACCGAGATCCGTCTCGTGTCGCAGACACCCACAGCCGTCGCAACCCTCACCGGGGCGACTAACGGTCCGACAGCAATGAACAATGTGGGGCTTTGCTGAGTGTTTGTTGGGCTTGTTGGCTCACGGCTCGGCTGACAGGGGATCCCGCTTGCATCGGCAAAATGCGCGATGACGTCACGACGGATCCCCTCGTATCACTCACAGAGGAAAGCAAAGGCGAGCGAGGGAAAAAAAAGCCCTCCTCTCGATGGCCCCAACGTCAAAACACCTATCTGGAGATTTGGTGGCTGGAGTGGAAGTTCACATCCACACCAGACTGCACGATGGCGCGCAGACTTGACACCAATCGTCCACCGTCCCCGCCAGGCTGCGGAGCGTGGCCAGATCGTTGCTGTGGTCTGCGATGTTTATGCGGAACGATATGGTGCAATGCGTTGGTGGTGTAAACCCCTCTAGGAGGGGATCTGATGTGATGAGAGCAGCGAGGAGAAATTTCTAGAGTTTTGCCTTGTGTCTGTGTGGGTGCGGATCCTACCGACGGTCGGCATCGCAAACTACCAACTCGGGCACCCTGCTCCTTGCGTTGATATTAGCTGAAGATCAACTATCGTCAAGCCCAAAAAAAAAAAAAAAAGAAAGATCGTAACTGATTCAAATCTTCGACACAACTACTCGACTCGTCCCGACTCACATTACGGTCCCGAATTACACCGACAGAAAATTATCCTCTTCTAAAGGGCTTTCGGTGGTCTTGGCGGATGACGTCATCAGCTGACCTGGGTCCGCAAAGTCTTGGCTCTCCTTCCCATCTTGCGTACCTCTCCTGATCATCCAACCTCGTCGTCACCTTGCGACTGATCCAGTGCCCCGGGTCGTTCATTTGAGCCTCGAGGCCTGGATCTGAGTGGCTCCATTGTACGTTAGAGACGTCTCGGGCTCTCTCTCTCCTCGCCTTTCCGTCTTCGCTGCTACACTCCCCGCTACCCACCCTCGACGCTACGCTGCCTGCACGAGGCGCTCTTTGGACAGCTGAACCTTGGTTTTGGGCTCAGAATCGTTCTGGAAGTCGTCAGAAACATGACTCGCCATCTCGATTTGAGCACACTGCGTCAGATGGGGAATTCCCAGTAAATCCCATGCCTCTGTCAGGAGCAGTAATTATTCCCCGGGCTCTAAGCAGATCGACAGATCTGCGGCAATGGCATGCGTCTTTTCGGCCAGCTAAACGCTGTTGCCCCGGCCCGCTTGTTTCAGGATATTCCGGGCTAGTGATATCCTCCGAACTAAGGTGCTATCATAACGAATGGAGAGCCCTAGTTGTTGTCTAGCGGGCCGAACCGGTGACGTCATTGTGGGAGATGCGGTCGACGGTTTGGAACGCGGTTTTGGCTGGTGTGCGGTTCTCGCTGCCACTGTGCCAGCATTGTCAAGGAGTTGTTTTGCATGCTATCCAAACGATGCGTACAGGGCTGGCAGACGGGCAAACGCGAGAGCTGCCTCATCTGGCAGCATATTCAAAAGTAAGGCTCTCAAACTTGAGCGTAAAAAACCTAACGTGACGTGTCGTAAACGTATTGTACCGGTGCTCCGTCAAGACGACCGTTTCTGATTCTCCTCAAATGGTTGAGGAGAGTGTTCCGTCGAATTGACCCTTTCCTCAGATCAAGAGGAGGTACTGTGTAATTCTACGGCATTTGGTGAAAGATCTCCACGCAGACAAGGAATGACCATGCCAGTGGATATAATCACACCCACCCGCCGTTCTGCTTAGTGTATGAAGCTCGAGGATGACTAGTCAGCTGGCACACACAGCTGTACGAATTTCGATATCTTCCCCTCGCCATCTTTCAGCAACCACTAGCGCCTCGTATTTTGCAGCCTTGTGCCCGACCTTCTCACACATTGGAGGGAGTACGGAAATACGAGGAATGCTATTGTTTGAACACACCCTTATCAAGCATGATCATGATCCACGGTCGGGCCGGCTCTGACCTCAGTCGGCAGGTAGGGATTCGGCCGGCCGTTTTGTGGGCTGTTGTACATCCTATGGATGTTCCACATGGGCTAGACAGCTCTGTTTGTTTCAGATTGTCCTGCCCTAGTGTGGGCTCCTGTGCAGCTGAGATCTGATATAAGGCGGGGGTGATGTGACAGATGTGTCAAAAACATGGGGCATTTAGGGGATCTGTTTGGACCTTCTCCTCAAAAAGCCTTCCTCGCCGTGTATCTGCCTTTTACTGCGGTGTTTCGTCATACACACGGAGGGCTGAGTCCAGACAGCAAACCAACCGGCAATACTCTCGAATTTTCCATATCCCAGTAGCCATTTCGGTTGGGCTCTACTCACGAATGCTTTGGTTGTCGACTAAGAGGGGATGTGGGTCGGTGCTGACGCCGATGATTGGTCGATTGACAGCCTCCAGAGACAACCAGTGCCGGAGACCCATTCCGGCAGCCCAGTAGGCATCTGGCGGAAGGGTCAGATGATGGATGCGATGCCGAGGTTGCTGTCGGTGATTGGCTGAGGAGAGGTACTGATTGCTAATCCGAACGACCATCTCAACAACAATGAGCCATTCAGATAGGTTGCAGCTGGCTGGCGTAGGTTGCTTTGTTGGACATTTTCACTGAGGGTGACATGCTTGCATTATGAAATTTAGAATTTTTTTTTCTCTGACTTGAGCTGAATTTTCGCTGATTGTGGTGTTCACAATTGTTGGGAGTGAATGCCCCGCACGAACCCAACGGCATGCGGAGACGACAAGCGATTAACAAACTGTTTGTGCAGCCCAGGCTCCACCGACTTTTCTTATCGGCCAGGCTCACCTCCTTATCAGCGGTGGCGGATCGGTCGTGGAGCCGACGCTGACAATCTCATCCCAAGCTTTGTTTTGCGCTAGAAACGTCAGATTTGTTCTGAAGGGGCGGTTGGTGTTTGTTTTGGCGCCCCTTCTTCTCTACTGGTGGTATATACTTTTGTCGGGCTTGCTGACTCCTGCTGCATTTCACGGCTTCTTACCGGCGGCGACCACCAAGATAGGTATACCGAGGACATTCACCAGGACATAGTCTTAACAATGTGGTCGTGGGGCTCACAGCCGCAGCCCGCCAGGGTGGCCGATGACGAAAATGAGGAGCACCAGACTGAGGCCGGCCGCTTCAAAACTTTTCTCAGCATTTTGAGGAAGTGAGTCGATCGTCCTATTCCCGAGTGTCAGGTAGTACCCCGAACTGTTTGGCTAATAGTACCTCCGCAGGTTCATCGGTGTGTCGGACCTTGCTTCAGTTCGCTTTTCGCTTCCCTCGCAGCTCCTCGAGCCAACCCCCAATCTGGAATATTGGAACTATCTCGATGCCCCCAATGCCTTCGTCGCCATTGGCACCGCGGACGATCCGGTCGATCGCATGCTGGAAGTCTTGCGATTCTGGTTTACCAAGGACTTGAAGTACGTCAAGGGCAAGCCCTGTAAGCCGTATAATTCGTGCCTGGGCGAGTTCTTTAGGTGTAACTGGGAGACGGAAGACGATGCGCCTCTGATCGATACGCGGGCGCTCCGGGGGAATGGCAATGTGCCGAGCAGTAGCAGCTCCAGCGCGAGGTCTGTTGAGGTTACGGTCCCCAATACGGGCCTGGGCTCAACTAACTCCGGTTCCTCCTCCAGCGTGTCCATCTCGCAGACACCTCCTAACCCGAAGAAGCCAGTGCGCATTTCGTACTTGACGGAGCAGACATCGCATCATCCGCCGGTCAGTGCCTTTTACATCGACTGCCCTGAGAAAGGCCTGCATGCGAAGGGTTTCGATCAGATCTCGGCCAAGTTTACTGGTACCTCTATCAAGGTCATGCCAGGTGAGCACAACCTGGGCATCTTCATCACAGTCGAGCGTCGCAACCATGAGACGTATCAGCTGAAGCATCCTCCGGCGCATCTTGGTGGTATCCTCAGGGGTTCTTTGGGTGTCACGGTTAGCGACATGGCCTATATCACTTGCCCGGAGACCAAGCTGAAGGCGATCCTGTACTACTACGATGAGGGCTGGCTCGGACGAAGCACCAACAAGGTGGAAGGCATCATCTTCCGCTACGACCCTGAGAACGACGACAAGGAGAAGATCAGCGATGTGCCCGAGGAGGATATCCTGGTCCGGCTTGGCGGTGCTTGGAAGGAGAAGATTGTCTTCACCCTTGGCCCTAAGCCCATTGTGAGTCACAATTTTTTATAGGTAATGCATCCAGCGACTAACCCTATCATAGTCCGACCACCCCCCAGAAGAACAAATTACTATTGTCGACCTTGGCCCCCTGGCCGTCGCCCAAAAGACCCTGCCGCCGGCCGATCAGATGCTGCCCAACGAGTCGCTACGTCTTTGGGGCGAGGTGACGAAGGCCATCCTAGCGAAACAGTATTCGAAGGCGACCGCTCTCAAGCAAGAGCTGGAGGAGCAGCAGAGGGAAAAGGCTCGTGAGCGTGATCGCAAGGGTGAGGTCTGGAAGCCCGTCTTTTTCGAACAGGCTACTCACCCGGCGGGCAAGCCGACACTTACCGAGAAAGGCAGGGAAGTGTTGAGGCGGGCCCAGAGGGGGGAGTGGAGTCTGGAGGGGGTTCTTTAAGGTGTTTGGAGACGGGCGTTAGGTGAGAGAAAATTCCGTTTTCTCGGTGTTTTGTGATTTAATGATTTGTGTACATGTGTGTACATGTGGGATCCTTGGTTTTCCTTAAGGGGAGGCATATACGGCTCAACGGCGGGATGAAGAATGTGAGGGAGAGGATCCACGGATGATCTTGGTGTAAGACAGGTTCAGGGGGAGTACACGCATAGACGTCGGGATATGGGCTTGGGATATTGAGCATATAGACAGGGAGATAGGTTATATCAGACTAGCATTCAACTTCACGTTCACGTAGCATGCATCCAAATGAGGACTTCAACACACTGGCAGAACATAAGGTTGAACATTTCCGCGCTGTTGACCTGGGTGGTCTGGAGAATCAAGGGTTAGGGATGCACCTGATTCAGCTTAAGGGTTAGGGGTGCCACGCAATCAGGCCCGCAATATGCGAACTCGAGGTTGCAGATCTGACAGGCTGGCCGAGCTGCAAAAAGGAGAAGCAACAAAAAAATAAAGGTCAGACAAAAAAAAGACCACCACCTACTCCACGACGGCACCCGACACGGCGGCTTTCATCCTCTGGGATCACACAAAGCCGACCCCACATCGCGGTCATTCATATCTCACTATCTGTGGTCATTTCTATAGGCCAGCTGCATATCGCCCAGCATCGTCATCGCGAAGGGCATTCCTTTGTTGGGAATTGTTGTCGCCCGTGTTCCCCTTCTCGGTTCCCAGGTTCCAGGTTGCTAGGTTGTCGGGCTGCCACTCCGCCAAGCATCTGCAACCAGTTAACCCCCAAATCTTGAAATCTAGCCTCAGGCTCTCTCAGCTCACCAGCCTACCGACGCCGGGACACCGAGACAAACCCTCGCACAGGACAGGCAACCTTGCACGACCGGCCGCACCGGCGTCCTCCATCATCGTCAGCATTCTCACCATCGCTTGATTGACATCGCTGCGGACCGCGGACCGTCTGAAACGAGCGAGACGATCCAAGACCCACTCACCGCCTTCCGTTACGGTCCTCCGGCTGCACAGCCCATCTTCAACACCGAGGACCACGGCAGCGTGCACGCTCGAAACAGAACCCGAACGACTCTAGCTTAGACGATTATAACAAGCAGATCTAATGGCGACGACCACAACGTCCGGCCTGACGCGGCGCAGGGGAGCAGGGGGCGGCGGCGCGGGGTCAGGGGCAGGATCGGGCGCGGATGAGGAACGGCGCGCCACCCCGTCCATTGGGCCGCCGATTACGAGCTACGAGAACGGCGAGAGTGGGCATCGCATCGCCTATGACCCCCACGACATCAGCGAGAGCGCTGAACGCAGCAAGCAGCCCAAGCTTACCCTCATGGAGGAGGTGCTGCTGCTGGGGCTGAAGGATAAGCAGGTGTGTTTCTGTCCTGTTCTACCTTTGCGTCTGAACTAGAGAACGATACTGACGCGTGCAGGGCTATCTCTCTTTCTGGAATGACAATATTTCATACGCGCTGCGCGGCTGCATTGTCCTCGAGCTGGCCTTCCGTGGCCGTATAGCCATGCAGAAGAACCCCTCGCGCCGTAGTTTCCCCCTGCCCGATCGCATCATCGAGGTTATCGATGACACCCTCACCGGCGAAGTGCTGCTGGATGAGGCCCTCAAAATGATGAAGACGAGCGAAAAGATGAGCGTGAGCAACTGGATCGACCTCATGAGCGGTACATCCCCCTTGATCCCGTGCCACCTTTGCGATTGATCGACTAAACATACTCCTTCACAGGTGAAACATGGAACCTCATGAAGATTGGCTACCAGCTCAAGCAAGTACGCGAGCGCCTGGCCAAGGGCCTTGTTGACAAGGGCATTCTGCGTACCGAGAAGCGCAACTTCCTGCTCTTCGATATGGCCACACACCCCGTCGTCGATACCGGCGCGAAGGAGGACATCCGCCGGCGCGTGCGCAACGTGCTGACGCAGCGCACCGTCGTGCTGAACCCATCACAGTGGCTGCCCGAGGGCCTCGAGTTCCGCTACCTGCGCACCGTCGCCATGGTGTGCGCCGCGTACGCGGCCAACGTGCTCGAGAACGCTCTGTCCACGCTCGGCCACGAGGCTCGCGAGCGCGCCTTCAACCAGACCGATGAGCTGCTTGCGGATTACAGCCAGTGGCCATTTGGCCGGAAGGCTGTGCATAATGAGATCGGGGAGAACCTCCCACAGGTGATTGCTGAGGTGCGTTTTTTTTTCCCCATCCCCCGCTGGCGAACTATCCCGTCCTGACCATCCTACAGGAAGTCAACAAGTACCCCGAGAGGGAACTCCAGCTGGAGGTCGTTGCCGCCTGCCTCGCTGTCTTCACCCGCCTCGACTCGCTGCTCTGAGGGGGAGCCGGCTCCGAGTCGTTGTGGAAGGCGATGCACTGGTGAACAAAAGAAACTGCCCTCCCTCCCTATCCGACCTTTTTTTCTATCTTCAGGCGATACCCCCGTTCTCTTTTCTTCACCTGCTGTTCGTCTGTCTCCCGGTCTTTGGTCCTTCCTTATAGTCTCTCCCTGCATGCGCCATTTCACCCATCCGGACTAGGATATCAGGCATGACTGTCATATGCCTTAATAGAATTGGTTTTGGTATCGAGAATGCATACTTAAGGACTTGGTAGGCATGGGTGATGGCATGTCTCGGGTTTATCCCTATTTAGGGATTGGGGGATAGAGGGCCATCACGGCCGGGAGATGCGACTGCAGGCTATTCAGCCGGTAATACCGCAATACAACTCATTAACAAGGCGAAACAGACAGATACGATAGACAAGGAGGGCAGCGTCTACCCGCCCAGGTTTAGGTCACACCTGGAAGCGTGGACATGCAAATGTCCAAACGAACGGGGTGGGATGGTCAACTAGGCCGGGTTCAGTACAACCAACGGTGCACTGGACGGATTCAGGATGTCAGGTTCAGTTCGGCTGTGGGCTTACTTTCAGTAAGGTGTAGGCTTAAGTGGACGCAGTCTCTTTTTTTCTTTTATTTTCCTTTGGCCATGGTTGTCAGTCGTGGGCAAAACGGAGCAAAACGGGCTTCTTCTTTTGACTCTTTGTTGCTGTTGGTGATTGGTTTTTTTTTCAATTTAATCATGTTTACTTCAATATCAAGCGTCCCAAAGATTCAGTTATCCTGGTGTTTCTGTGTCAAGCCACTTGAGGTGACACGAGGTAGGTTCACAACACGAGCAAAACGGATATGCTCAATGTAGATCTTCTAAAAACAAGCAATGTCATTTTTTTCCCCTACCTACCCGCCTAACTCCCAGATGTGAGAACATGCAGCCATCATATGCCCCTAACACATTACAAAAGAAAACACAGCCCCTCCCCACCAAATATACCGTTCTCTCATCGGTATCAAATCATAAACGCCAGGCACCAGATGATCAGAAGAAAACACCGCGAAGACACAATCCCTAAAGACCGTCACGCCCCCGCCCCCTTCCTCACCTCCCTCTCAAATTAATTCACTTGAATTCATTTCTTCCCGCCACCAAACCCGCCCTCAAAGCCAGGCCGGTTCTTCTTCTTTGTCTGAACGCCCTTAAGCTTGCCCTTGCCCGCCTTACGGGCGAGCTTCTCCTCGCGGCGCTTGCGGATGTTCTCCTCGCGCTTGCGCTGGCGCTCCTGCTTGGACTGCTCCACGGCCTTAATACGTTCCTTCCACTCCCGCTCAGACTTCTTCTTACGAGCCTCCTTGCGCTTGAGCGCTTTCTTGAGCAGCGACTCGTCGTCGTGCACTTTGATACCCTCGGCACGGCGGCGCGCTGCCAGCCACTGCTCCTTCTCCTCGATCTCCTTGCGCTTCTCTTCCGGCAGAGCCTCCAGGCGCTTCTTCTTCGCCTCGAGCTGCATCAGAGCCGACTTAGGATCCGACGGGCCTTTCTTCTTCTTCTCGCTGTCGGCACTCTTGGCGTAGGTGAGGTCATGAGACAGTTGGGTGCCGTCGTTGAAGTTTACCCGGCCGAAGGCGAAATGGGTCTCACCGGGGTCGATCTCCTCCTTACCCAGGAGCGGGCTGAGACCTGGAGAGTTGCGAGCGCTGGCCAGGGCCTCCTCACGCTTGCGCTCCTCCTGCTCTTTGGCGAGTCGGCGCAGTTCCTTCTTACGCGCCTTGCGCTCGGCCTGCTTTTGCCGGCGAGCTTCAATCAGCTCTTGCCTGGTGCGGATCGGCTTGCCTTCAGGATCGTCAGCCTTGCGGGCTGCGCGCAGAGCGGCGAGCTTCGCCTCGAGGCGAGCACGCAGGGCAGAAGTATCAGCGGGGATCTTCAGGTACTTGGGCTTCTCGGAGGGGGGAACAGCAGAGGACATCGAGGTCGTAGTGCTAGCGGGTTCAGTAGAGGTGATCTTGCCATCAAACACTGAATTAGTGGCAGATTCTTGGGAAGAGTCGGCTGATTCGTCTTTGTAGTCAAGGCCGGAAACATCGATGGGTGCCATATCGTCCTCGCTATCGCTCTCGGCTGCCTCGACCGACTTGACGGGCTGTTTGCCTGTGGGCTCCTCGCCCTCGCTGTCGCTCTCGGCTTCATCCTCGGCAGGCCTAGGCTTCTTCTTCTGTTCCTTCTTCAGGGTCTTCTCGACCGTATCCTGCTTCGGTTTTTCAGCCTTGTCGGTAGTACTGGGGGTGGTGGCCTTGGCCTCCTCTTCCTTCTGCTTCTTAGCTTCCTCTTTGCGCTGCTTCTTCAGTGCCTTCTTCTCCTCCTTAGCCTGCTGCTTCTTGCTGAGCGGCTGTTTGGGAGCTTCATGCTCCTCTTTAGTAGTATTGTCGGCAGCGGGTTTCTCAGGTTCCTCCTCTTCCTCAGCATCCTCGGCCAGCTTAGGCTTCTTCTTCTTCAAGCCTTCACCAGGCTTCTCTTTGATGATTCCGGGAATGGAGATATCGCTGCTATCGTCGTCCTGATCGGAACTGGCGGACGCTTCATCGGCCTCGAGTTCCTGCAGCTTGCGTTTATTGCGGGCGCGCTCATCCATCACATCCTTAGCACTGCGGTTGAGCTCACTGTCTGGGTCCAGCTTTCCCCTTTTGGCTGCCTTGGCCTCATCCTTGGTCTGTTTCTTCTTCTTCCACTGATTATCCTATTCATGTAACTGACGCATCAGCAAATGAGGACGCAGGAGGAGCTAACAATGGATTCGAGCGCGCGGGTCCGGCCACATGAAACCCGAGATCGCGGGTCTGCACACCCCGGCGACGCGGAGTTCAGGTGTATCCGGCCCCGGTTGGCACGCCGTGCTAGGAACGACAATAACATACATTGTTCGAGTCGCCATAGTACACCTTAGCGGGGATCAGCGAAAGAAGGCCATCAAAGGCCCGGGCATGCTCGCGCAGGCGCTCCTATTGTATCAAACAAGCACAAAATCAGCCATCACACGCACTATTGACGATGGGCGACGTGAGTCGAACAGAGCGACGACCGCCATACCTGCAGTGATGTATCCTCGTCGGACATGATTGCTCTGTGGGGTGTTGGAAATCGTCTTATAATGGAAAAATAGGCAAAAAGAAAGGAATTTGAGGGCGACTGGTATTATCCCCGCATTCCACGTTGTTGGAAAGGCGACCAACCACGGATCAACGACGTTCTTGATCTCTCGTTCCGAGGAAAATGTTGAGGTGGGAGCTGCAGGTGGGTGAATTTTATCGCCGCTGAATTTTTGGGTGTAGGTGGAGACAACAACTGAGTGCCCCACAATGCCAAGAATTGCAGCGCAAAGTGATTCTGCCGGGCGGTGAATGGACTCGGGGAGGTCGCTTGGATAAGTCAATGTGTGAATGAGGCCCGATCCCGGGCTGCCATCAACCGCACTGAATACTTAGAACCAACTGGTATTGTCTTGTTTGCTACCTAATCTACATGAGATTCCTATCCTCAAGCCTAATGCTGTGGTACTTGTCCATCTTTTCTTTCCGTGTTAAGAGACCTAATGCCACAATGACAAACAACCCGTTGATTGGCCCCAAACGCCCATATGATACCTTGCTTAAACATAGCCCAGCAACTATGACCATGGTCGAATAAGCCCTTCACATGACCATCCACTAAGCCACAACCTAAACGCCCATGGTTAACCGAATCCATGAAATAAGATGAGTCCCATTACCAAGAACTCTACCAGTCATACCATATGCTCCGGGGTATAATGCTCTAAATATTTTGCTGTTTCCCTGCCATCACAAAATTGACAACAGCCAGCAGCCCGACGGAACCATAGAACTGGGTTTTGGCGTGAGATAACCGCGGCCATTCAACAATACCGAAACCGGGACAGGTCGAGACGCCGAGCGGATGGCACAGCCGTAGGCCTCTTATCGCCATCGTCTTCATCATCGCTTGCCGGAATAAGAAGCTGGTCCTCGCTGCCCAGGGGCCTGTTAAGCGCTTCAATCTCCGCCAGATCCACTCTCGGGAGGGGAATCATGGCCGGGTTGACGAGGTTGTCAGTGCTGTTGTTGGACACAGGCTTCCTAAGGGGCACAGGAGGTTTGGAGGGCTTGCTGCGCTGCAGAGCACGGGCGCCTATCCGCTGAAGAGGAGTCGGCAGGGGAGTCTGTGAGCTGGTTGGGCTGGCGATCTTCGGAGTCCCTGAAGGCATGCTGGATGCAGGTGTGGGCAGACCACGGACAATACGAGTTTGAGGCCGGCCTGCTTCGTATGAGAAGCTTCGCAGTGCGTCGGCAAGGGGCGTGGCCGAGGCTTGAGAGTCCTGCGAGTCTTGCGCGGCGCGTTGCTGGATCGGAGATGAAGCAGGCATCAAGATAGCATCATCGACGGTCTGTTCTTGGCTCTCCAACGCTGAAGCCAGGTCCTTTTTGGAAGGGGGCTGTTCTTCGAAAATGGCTATCTCCTTGGCCGCCGGCTTCTCTTTGGGATCCCCCGCGTCGTGTTCAGGAAGGGTTCTGAGAGCCTCCTCGAAAGAATCATCGGACCGCAGAATGAAGTCATCTTTTGGTTGGGCAGGCTGCTTCTCTTTCTTTGAAGGGAAGAACTTGCTCTTCTCCAGTGTCGTCGCACTTCTGTCCTCGGGCAGCTCAACCTCCTCACATAACCGCGCCTTCTTTGGCGGCGTAGTGGAGGCCGTGGGATCGCGATACACCTGGAAGCTAGGGCCAACAGTCTGCCGGCGATGCGAAGATTCGGGATCCATCCGGTCGAGAAGCTTCGAGATCGGCTCGCTGCGCCGACGGAGTGTACGACCGGCATTGACATAGTTCCGGGTTGTTGGAGACGCCGGTTCCTCGGCGCCCTCCACGTAAGGCCTGGGGAGCGGAAAGACGATAGGACGGGGGACATCAGTGGGCTCGCGGTTAGGGTCCACTTGGAAGCAGTTCGGGTCCATCTCTCCCAATGGAATCCGACGATAGTCTGCACGCTCCTTAAAATACTGGTCGATGGGCTTCCCAAGGGTCCTAGGTGCGCTAGCCGGAGCCAACGCTTGGCTAATCGTCCGCTTCTGTGGCGAGAGAGGAACCAGAATGCGCTGCTTCGTGATCGGGTTGACATCGCCCACAGCAATGGCTCGGGCCAACTCCGTCTCAATAGGCGCTCCGATGTAGGGCATCTCATCGATGTTGAGCGAAGGATCGGGTTCGGTCAGAAAAACGATGTCTTTCTTTTCGGGACAGAACACGCGCTGGTGCAGGAAGGTGAGTTCGGCCTGCTTGAACTCCTCTAGATAGTTCTGCGGGACCTGGTATTTGCCATCGAAGCGCAGCATCTTGACGATGCGATCGGGCGTCTTGTGCTTGCGAATCAAGCGGTACGCGGTCTTCAGGCCAATATTGCTCAGGCCTTCCAGGTAGTCGCAGCCGCTAAAAATGGCCATATGTCGAAACTCGCTGTCGGTCCAGCCGGTGAGGGAAATTTCGCGGACCAAGCAGAAGTCCTTGCGGTTGATCTCGACGCACTGGCCATGCTGGTCCAGCTTGGTCAAAAGACGCTTCGCGCCGAACACCAAAAGATCCGAATCTTCGGACACGATGCCGCTGATGATGCCCTTACGCTCCAGGTACACAAGTTGAGCATCGGCTTCGTATGGCGCAACGACATAGGGGACGTCCTCTTTCTTGAGTTCTTCGATGAGGTGGCGCGCCATTTCGGGAGTAACGTCGATGGCCTTCTGGAGCTCGTTGAAGGCCAAAGATGGCTTTCCGGCACGGAGAAGCTCAAGACCGACCTTCTTCGCCTCCTCACGGCGCTTCTTCCTGGATTCTTCCGTTTTTGCCTTGCTCGGGAGGAAATCACCATCGAACACGATGTACGGGGTGACGCCAAAATACCTGAACATTTTGACTCGGTGCATGGCGAAGTCAACATATCTATCAACGAAGTTAGCGGCTAATTAGACAGCATAATGGCTTACCAAACTTACTTTCGGGTCGGCTTGCCCTGTGCCAGCTCTATAGCACAGGCGACAGCACCACGGTGAAGCCAGCCGTAGCCGTCGACGCCCAGAGTTTCGCCAGCATATCTCTTGAGTTCAGTTGGGCGCTGGATGGACTTGAGTAGCGGGAGAAGGCCTGCAGAGTTGTTGGGTCAGAAACGGCGGTCATGAATGAGAGCGAGGTTTGAGCATAAAGGTACCTTGAATGCCCATCCTGGATACTGTTCACGACAGACCGCTGGTGAGTTGATCAAAAAGAAGGTCTGTGTCAAAAGAATGACGGCTGGGGATAAAAGCTTCGACGGTGAAAGCGAAGCTCTCTCACGCAGAGGCCGAGGCCATGAGTCTCCGAAGCGGCTGGTTACTGGTTGTGTGCTGGTCGGTGTGGGCTGCGAGTAAAGGTTTGGCCGGTACCAGGCGTTGAAGACAAAGATATACACAATCCGTGATACTTAAGATGATTTAACGCGGCTGTGCGGATCAGATGTCGGCGTGTTTGGCACGGGCCGAGGTGCGCGTCGACAACGCTATGAGGCGAAGAATACGAAACAGCAAGCGATGTGAAAGCCGCTGGACTGGTTGCGCTCGCACAATGGCGGAAGAGAGGGAAAAACTGGTCGGCTTCAATAGAGACCCGGACTACGGTTGCCGGGGGGGTGAGGCAAGGGAAGGATGGATGGATCCAGTGCTTTAGTTTGCGCCTGAATAGAGTGCGCAACAACGCACAATGCCTTCCTGGCATGCAGTGGAGGTCTCCCCAATTTGGGGCCAGGCACCACCACAGCCAGACCCTGGAACGTTGGCAGGGAAAGCGCGTCACGGGTCCGCGTCGTAAAGAACGTTGCGAGCCCGCGTTACCCCCGCGACGACCCACAGTGTTGTTCAGCCCAGTGCGGGGCTGAAGGGTTAGCGCTGAAGTTCCCTCTTCAGCGAATAAAAGCCCGTCGTTTGTGGGTTTTAACGGCGCGGGAGCCAAAAGACGGTATGACATACTGTACCGATTACGGTATCGATGTACCCCTAACAAAGTCATTGTTTACATTTGGTCGGGGGTTTTGTTTTCCTAGCTTCAACCAATTCGATAAGTCGATAATAAGATTAAGCGATTAATCTGTAGGAGACCTTTTGCAACGAATCTAAATAGTCAGTCCATGAAGTAGTTTCAAAATTTATGCTAGGACCCATTCGTGGAAAGAGGGCGACATTGTGTGCAAAATAGGACATGGCCCATGCAAACACTTTACCACGGCAACCAGCGCTTATCGGACGAAAAATTACCCCACATCTCTCTACTGTCAAAAAATTATGGTCGCCTAGACATCAGACATTATCAGCTTCAACAGCAACATTCAGCCAAACAGAGCCCTTCGAAATGCCGAAAACATTCGAGAAGACCCGAAAGGAAATTGCGAAGAAGAAGAAGGGGAATCTCAGCACCCTTCACGAGAAGAGCCGTGATGCTCGCAAGCTGCACAAGGCCCAGGTGCGCGATGAGCGTCTAGAAAAGCTGGCCGAGGCTAGGAAGAAGAGGGATCAACCCTTGCGTAAGTGATAGTTAACCAAGTATTTGTTTCCTTTAACAGTCATTGCTGACAGACTTTAAGTTCGCCGTGCCTCATTTTTCCAGCAAGCAGTCCGCGACGCCGGGCTCAAGCCCATGGAGGCCGAAGCTATTCATGCTAAGGTGAAGGAGTAAGTGACCCAGCTGCCTGGTGTAACCCGCATGAACCAACTGACAGTGTATCCAGGTATGTGCATCAGTTTGATGAGGAGTATAACGAGCTCAAGAAGGCGCGTCGTCCTGGGCGGCCACCAACCACCAAGGAGGATCTCCTTCGGATGAAGATGGAGAAGCTTCAGAAAGAATATCAGGATGGCTTCTGTACGCCTTGTCCTTCTGATTCCCAACTTACATTGACTGACAGTAGCTGCCCAGATATGCCAGATCTAAGTCATGCGGAGACCGTCAGCCTACTGGACAAGTGGGGAGGCGACTGGTCCTATCTGACGAACCTCACTTGGGTCCGGCTCTCCGCCTCAGGGGCCGTCAAGCCCGCCAAATTCCCTCCTCAGACCCTCTGATGTGGCTCTTCCCTTACCATGAGGGCCCACTCACACCTCATGTGTGTGTGTCGCTGTCCACCATGCCGACCACGCAATCACGACCATGATTTCACTACGCCAGCCGTTAACAGCAAGCAGACTGAGACATTCCGCGTCACCGTCGGGCCTCGAACAGCTCTGACGGCAGATGTGTGCGCGCACATTCGTGTCGTACTTCCGGTGTCTCGACTTCCTCTCCGGTGTCCTGACAGCTTTTCTTTGGTCGCGAGCACTCCCCCTTTCTGCAGCCTGCCGTCTCAGGCTGCATGATCCGGGTGTCTGAAGAAACTCTTTTCAAGCACATTTCTCGCCGCTGATTCTCAGTACGCTATACCATGCGTCTCTGAAACGGGCTCTTCTCTTGCCGCAACCATGCAAGCCCCGCAGGCCCCGCTGCCACGCCATCCCAGGCGTAACCGTATACTGGGTAACCCAGGCCTGCTGCTGCGCCTGTGTCTTTGTTTCTCCAATGCCCATGTCAGTTGCTTGCCAACAAGCTGTTGTGTCACCGGGTACTACGGTAATCGTGGAGTGCCGTCAAGGCCCTGACAGCCTACGAGGAAGCCCAAGGAAGACCGGAACGTCGCAGTGCTGCAATTGGGCGTGGTAAGCGCTGTGCTCCCGACCATGAGAGCGACGACAAGCAGCCCTGGTTGATGCCCACGGACCGAGCAGCCTGATTCTTGGCGATCGGATCTCTTGGAATCTCTTGTCATCCTTGGCAGTTTCCCCCCTCCTGGGACAAGGCAACGTAACTCCTATCTCCGCCGATTACGAGTCAGTCCTAGACCTAAATACGAGTTTTAATTCTATTACTATCACCGTTTTGTCTGCCACCCAAGCGATTGCCTGCATTTATTTTTATGCATTCTTTCTTTTCGTTTGTGTGGATGGCATCTACCATCAGCCCCATGCATAAGGAGGGGGACGGGTGCTTGCACTTAGGAAGCAAGCCTTGTGCGTCCCTGTCATTGTTCTAACGGCACCACAACGCTGCTCTTGGCTTTGCGGTAGGCATTTGAACGTTGAGCTCGGCATGGTTGGCCCGAAGAACCGATAACAGGACTCGAAGAGCCCACCACATGCTTGTCTGCCGCAGTGCAACGGCGATGCTGCTTTGAATGCACGGAAGAGACGGCGCCATATCCGTGTGGTCGGGACGAAGGAGCACAAGAGAGGTGTTTCTGCTTATCTTCTTCCCACAAATGGGGGATTGGAGCCTGGAGTACGACCGGTCGAGGATGAAGTTTGGCTTAAGGAGTGTGACGCGGCCCGCAAATCGTGCTTGATCGGTTCAAGATGGACGGAAAGCCGAGGGTGAATCGCGAGGAGAATATAATGGCCGCTATGTTGAGTTGGCGTTGCCGTCCCTGTCTCTTTTGCTTTTCACTCTTTTTGTTGTCTGGGCTTAGCGGAAGTGGTTGGAAGCAAACACTCTACATTTTCCGTTTTGTCAGACTTCACCATCCGTCCACCTTTGGATCCATATATTCAAGGCGGCCTGTCATTCGCTTAAACGATCTGCATTTCTCGAACCTGTTCAGAGAAGCTCATGCCTTTCCCAGCACAATCGACCTAGAACTTCAAGCCATCTGATCAAATCTCTTTCATCTTCACTTCTCACAGCCCAGATATTGACGGTTGAACGACCGCATACCTTCGTCAAGCCACTGCAATCCGTCTCTTACGGTCTCACTTAGTATCTCTTGCCAAGCACACCTGGTTTTACTGCCGTCATGTGTACCTACACAACCCACATCCGCATCTGTCCTCCTTGCCGACAAGAAGACACCGTCCTCATATCGGAACAACTCTGCCCAGCCGCACGGGCAAGTGGCATCTTTGGCAGCTGTGCTGGAGGGGTTTCATGTCTGCGAGATGCTACCACAAGGAACTGCTGGGCATGCCATGAACGAAGTCGGGAGTTTGAGCGCTTACGAAGAGGGAAGAGCAGAGCATTGGCTTCAAGGGCTCTATACTCATATACCTCGTGGCCAGGCGTGGGTGTCAAGGGGGCGGCTCACCTGGGCTCTGGATCTTTGGGCTGGAGGAGATGATAGCTCATACCGAAAATATGAAATGGCGGGGTTAATGAGATGAACAGGCGTTGGGGTTGTTTCCGTTGTCTGGTTTATTGGTGTTCTTGGTGGGACGGTAACCTGGTTGCCTATGGCCTCAAGGGGTTAATGCAAAATCGGTTCATCTTTTCGGCAGCCAATCTATTTCATCTATTAAAACAGAGTTTCTTAACCTGAGTTTCTTAATCATTCAACTTGCCTTTTAAATGTTGTGTCAGTCGCGCCGTTGAAGCTGCGCAGCGAGCGCTTACGTCATCGATCGCTTATCTCTTCTTATCTTATCTTATCGTACCACAACGGCCAACACCTGCGATGGCCCGTGCGCTCGATTTTTTCTCGCGGCTTTGATGTCAAACCCAGCGATAACCTTGGAAGCTCAAGCCTCCAAACTTCCTCGTCCCAACTCATCAATCCCTTTCTTGACAGAACCTCTCCGTCGCCCTCTCCTTACTTCCCACCACCTTTAATTACCGCCTAATCAAAATGATGTCCCTTCGCTCGATCGCGAGGACCGCTCCCCGCGCGCTGGCCCGCATTTCGGCCACCTCCATGTCCCGCTTCCCTCGCATGAGCGCCAGCATTCTCCGCACCCAGGCCAGCCCGGTCCTCCGCACCCCTCAGATCGCTTCTGCCTTCTCGACGTCTGCCCTCCGCGCGCGGAAGGGCGGTGAGGTGGACGAGGAGCTGTCGGCCAAGCTGGCTAGCGAGATCCAGTTCGAGGACCAGGTCAAAGATGACCAGCCTGAGCCTGCCAGCGTCTCTGAGTTTCTCCAGAACGGCCCGTGGGAGCTCGTTGATGAGCCCGGCCAGGAGTGGGTTCACCTGAAGCGCACTTATGGCAACGAGAAGTGAGTTTTGCGCCAGTTTGAAATTTGGCATGTGGAAGGCTAACTTACCTCCAGGATCACCGTCTCTTTCTCTATCGCTGACCTGCACAACTACGAGCCCGAGCTGTTCGACGACTCGGCTATGGAGGATGATCTTGACCTTGACCAGGGTCGCAGCTCCCAGGACAACGCCAATGAGGCCAACGAGAGCCTGGAGGCCGACCTCGACCAGGCTTCGATCCCCTGCCGCCTGAACATCGTCATTGAGAAGGCTGGCAAGGGCGCCCTTAACATCGAGGCTCTCGCTCAGGATGGCGCCATCGTCGTCGAGAACCTGTACTACTACAAGGACGCCAAGCTGGCCCACAGCGCCAGCCCCGAGGCCGTCCACGCCGCTCAGGACGCCTACCCCGGTCCTCCGTTCGGCAACCTCGACGAGGACCTGCAGATCCTCATGGAGCGCTACCTGGAGGAGCGTGGCATCTCCCAGGATCTGGCCATGTTTGTCCCCGACTACATGGACATCAAGGAGCAACGCGAATATGTTGACTGGCTCAACAATGTCAAGAAGTTTGTTGATGCCTAAATGATCTTGGCGGACGCTGTATGAGTAGTATCTACATTTATGTAGACAAATCGGGATGGGGAAGACGGGAATCGGTTCTGGGTTGGGGGTTGGATGGTTGCCATGATGTTGTGGGTTTATGACTGTAATACTACCTACCTCTCTACATTTACCACTCTTCTAGATTCATCAATGACAGATGTACGATAGAGGCCCAGGACAGGCCGGATCCATGATGAATCTAATGATGTACTATACGAGAAGATTAGGTCCTCGAGATAACGCAAGTGCGGACGTTGAATGCGGCGAGTCATTGTCCCGTCAAGAAAGCATCTCCTCGGCTGTTGCCTTACTCCTAAATTTAGTCTGACTCGAGCTCAAGTTTTCCAGAGAAGGTGCACTAGTTACTCGTCGGGCCTGCAGAAACGACCAGTTGACTAGCAATTGGGTAAGCGCCCATCTAATGTCCACCAGTCTTGGTATGTTCCGCAGCACTCAAATGCACTATAATTGTCCTATAAATGGCCAAAAAAATGAGCTGTTGAATAATCAAGGTCAGCGCTTAAATGGAACAGTTTCCTTAACTTTCTTCAACTGCCCTTTTATCACAAATCTCACTGCAGCTCAAAACTTTTGTTGACTGTGCGGTTTTGTCATTATCATGACACATAGAACATCTACTTGATTGTCCGAAGGCCTCTCCATGCAAGTTCCTGAAGGCTTATGAGGCGCTATACCTGGCTGCAGTGTTGGCGCGCGTCAACTCTTGCAATACCCTACCTAGCGCGCAACCTTGTCATCTGCTTCCCTAAACGGTTCATTAACCACCTCAAATCCAACCCCCCCCGCGGCAACAGTTAGCTTAGGCATAGCTGCCCTCCATTAGCCGCTGACGCGGCACAGGAGTTCCTTCGACTTGTAGTTGATTGGTCTAAATAGTTTATAGTTTCTAACTTGAAAGGAATATTTTGACTTGATTCCCTCAGCATTGCAACCTCAAATATTAGTATCTAATATCAGTGTTATGTTGAGTATTCGACATTGTCTCCTGACTCGCAACACAGTCGAAGCTAAACGCCGGTTTCCATTTTTTAAAACGGCATAGTTGGCTATTTTATCCAGCAAGAGTGGAATTTTTTAGAGAAGCCAACGTGGTTCGATAATTCCTGGGAAATGTATGAAAACTTTACGCGGGAAAGTTATTTAGCTCATCTCGCTGTTGCCCGCTGGAAAGTGAAGCGGGAATCGAATTCCAATGGTGATCAAGCACACCCAGGAGGGTTAGATAGCATCTCATTCAGTGGAACTAAAGGGATGCCGAAGGAGATGATTACTCTCAGGGGGATCGAATTGCTGGATCGGCCGCCCTATAAAATCATTAATGGTCCAAGCTGCAACCACTTCAAGAGAGAATCAAACTTTCCAAAGAGCATGTTTTACAGCAAAATAGCCAAATTCACATGATTTGGGCCGGCTGGAAGTCAAGTTATCCTATCACTTGCCATGTTGGTAATCTGTTAGACCATCAATGGACCCATAAGCCAGCTTCTACTAGGAAAAACACTGCCGCCCAGCGGGGATGGATAATGGCATGGTTTATATTCAACACTCTCTTCGTAGCTAAGATCGAACTCTGGGCATTTTGGTACTTTTCAGATCGTCTTCGAATCATGACCCAGCTGGTAAAAAAAGCTTTCTTTGAAACGGAGCGGCGCTGGGTGAAATGTCAATACGAACTTTGTACCTTACTTAACATAGTTATTTGTCAGTGTCAACGGCTTCTTACGCGTTTGTTCGGGCAACTTTCCTGTCGTGAGTACTCATTCCTTTAGTCCTGGACCAGGGTTAGGCTTTATTGGCTGCTGGGTATTATCTGCAAGTGATACTAATACTAGGGTTAGGGTTTATTTTTAAGTAGCTCTATTAAGTGTCATGGCCAACAAGGGCTCGATCTGAAAGAGTGGGTCCCGTGCAGCCAATTAATTAGAGCAAAAGGTGCCATGGCCAATCGAAACCAGGAAGCGTTCCTCGATGTCAAGAGGCATTGATCCTTCAACACCCTAAGAAATTGACCCTCAACAGACTATGCCATTGAGGGGGGGGGGGGGAGCGAAGGAAGTCACAAAAGTATATAGGATGTATATAGTTTCCAGGTAGGGTAGGGTCACCTGGCCGAAGAATTTCTCCAGTCAGTAATACAAACGGTTATCTACTCACTGATGACCGCAGCTATCAATCAGCTGCGTGAGAACCCTTGTCTCTCAGGTCCAGCGGCCTGGTACCTCTTGAACCCATCTCAGGAGGCCTGTTTGATCGTCACGTTAAGCCAATAATTACTGGTTTGTCTTAAAACAGCTTTCCCCCACTTGTTAAAAGGATTCCAACTAATTATATCAAGTCGTATATGTGCGATTTCATTATATGGTCCGTATTTGCCAGGTGGTGTTGTACTCAGAGTGTATATATGAATGTTCGGTTCGGAGTCTAGTGATATTTTGGATGGTGACCGCTCTCGGTCACTATATGTATTTGTTGTTCTGTCGGATTGCTTTGCCATACTCTTTTCCTGGTGCACCTCAATGTTTTTGTTAAATTTATAGAATACTGGTAGTGGGATTGTCATGTTCCAAAGAGAAAAAGCAATCAGCAGACACCAACCTGCCGGACAAGCTCAACTGGTATTCTGTCATGATTGCCTGTGACATGCAGAACGTCCCTCTCTAGGGTCGTCATAATTACTTAGAGGGCCTTTTCATCGTCCCTCACAGGCGTTTCCCACATATCGCACTGCTTCATAATTCTAGAAACCATACGGATTATCCTCAGCCTAATGTACTTGCCTGGTACTAAGTTCACGGTGGGGTGTTTATATCAATACCAAGACGGAGCGCGAACGATACCTCCAACCCTGCCCGGCTGCGCATGCAACCCGACCGCTTGCCATTGGCCTGGGTGGCCTGATCGGCGATGACGCTCTTGTCGCTAAAGATGCGCCCCAGCTGAACTGGAGATGATTGAGACACGTTGAAGAACTTGCGCAATGGATATGTAGACACTCCTTTTCCGGTTCTCACGTAAGTTGCTGTCTCATCGTTGATTCCTTTCTTTGCTCAAAGGTGCAACTGGTACGTTTGTCTTCGTTCACTCCCTTCAATTCTTGAGGGACGTCCCTTGCTAGTCTCTGTTAGTGGCCATCAAGGTCCTCAGTCGACTCGGAGGTTCTCGGGTCCAGGGTCATCTCTGTCTTTCGTGATCGATTGCAGTGCGCTCATAATATTTTTATCTCGAGGCGTGATTGTTGCTTCAGCCTTCAGCGGACATTCATCTTCCTGATACAAATACCAACGGGTATTTCCATCACCCATCCACCCCTCACCCCCCCAACCCCAGCAAGCCATCCAGCAATAGGCACGGCGGTGACGTTAAGCGACCGCGAGGGCGAGATGGCCACAAAGCCACTAGCAGAAAGCTCCAAAGCAAATGACGAGGAGACCCAATTGCTCGCAGACGAGGACTACGATGTGTACGAGCTCGATGACAGATCGCGTCCCATTCCGAGAGGGGTGTGCCCACATTGCCATCGGCAACTGGGTCAGCAACGGCAGCAGAATCAGGGGGAAAACGACGTCGACGTGTTATGGTGCTGCTGGGAGCGCAGCAACGCGCCAAATTGGGTGTGTCGTTGGGATGACGAATGGCGGCACGTAACCTTGAGAGATTTGGGTTTCAAAGAATGGGACGGCACAAGCGTAGCGTGTGCCTGGCAGGCAGCTCCACGGCAGCTATTCTTGCATCTAGTGCCCCGGCCAGGTTGGCGAGCGCTGCTGACGGCCATTTTCCTTGTCCTTTGGGCTTCCACGTTCAAGTATCTCGTAGATCAAGAGATCCAGAGCAAGCCCAGAGTCGTCCCCAGTACATCTGTCGACGCTGGTCTGCCTGTGCGTTACCTCGATTGTACTGATTCACTTTGGGGTTCCTTTGGCGAAGGATGTGGGCTGAACGGCGCCAACTGCCGTCCCTTCTCCAACGTGTCTTTCGTCTTCCGGTGCAACGGTTGGTGCACTGATAACAAGACTCACTTTGATCCCTACCACGTCGGCCGTCTCGTCGTTGACCGCAGCCCGCTCGTCATCGGCGGAGGTGCTGGGAGCCCATACCGGGGTGACTCGTTCATCTGCCCTGCGGCCGTGCATGCTGGGCTCAAGGATGGATGCGGCAAGGTGACTCTGACGGGAGAGTATTATCAGTTCTTCAACTCTTCTCAGAACAATGTCGACTCGATATCATTTCCGTCATACTTCCCATTGTCGTTCACGGTCTCGAAGACTGACATTTGTCCCCCCCTTCCCGGCTCGCTAGTTATGAAGATAGCCTTCCCGCTTACTATCGTCTTCACCGTTATTATCTCTCTTCTGACTACCTCCCCAGCGCTCATGTTCTTCTCAGCCTTCATAGGCGTTTACACGACCTGCTCTTTCATCCGCTCTGCTACAGCAGGTGTTACTGATATGTCGTTGAGGGTATCGAAGTTCTCTTCATCCCTACCCTCAGTTCTCTGCATTGCAGGCGTCCTCTACTTGACGATCGTTCGATACCCTCTTCGAGCGTTTCCTGCGTCTGCCGCCCTAGTCAAGATTGGCAGCTGGCTCTTGCCTTTCTGGCTTGGCTCGACTACCCCCCTTCTTGGGTACCACGGCACCGAAGCATTCAAGGGCTGGCTGCTTCTCATCATAATTTGGGCGATTACAGGGTGCACTGCTTTGCTGGACGGCTATTTTTGGCACCGACTCGCATTGTTTGCCGCCCTCATTGTTTCTCCCTTGCTCGCACTTGCCATCGATCCCAACTGGAAGAGCAATTATCTCTCATGGCAATTCTTTGCTTTTGTAATGCTTCTCCCACTTCTCGCCCCAAAGCATCGCTGGTGGTTCATAATAGCATTTTGCCTCGGTATATTCACTTCGGGAATGGCGCTTGACGGAGGATTAGGGCCTGTTTTGAAGCCGAACCCCTTTCAACTGTCGACCCCAGAACCCTTCCCCGGTGCTCATCATCTACTCCCCACGGTCCTCCCTCCCATGGTGAAGCAGGTAGCTCCCGGATACTCCAAGAGCTGGGGCATTTGGTTCAAGTTCCAGTGGCCTCAGAACGCCACGCTGACAGAGGCTGAAGCAATCCGTTCGGGGGCGGTGACAGGGTTGAGCATTATGGTCAATGACGTCGAGCGGTTTCGAGGCTGGTTCGCGGAGAAACCGCTAGAAGATATGATGTTTTCGTGGACTAGGGAACGCGGCCTTAATACGGCCGACGAGTTCTTTCGGTTCGGGTTCCTGGGACAAGGAGGAAGGCCGTTAAGATATACCGAGGCTGGGATGTGGTTCCGAAACGGAAGCTGGAGTCATGGAGAGGGGTATTACTAGGAGTGTTCGGATCGGTCGGTCTTTAATCGTGCTAGATGTCGAGACAAAATCATGCTAATTTTTAATAAGAATTGATTCCAGGGTTCAGATGAAAGCAGTCGATCGACAGCATTGCGACATGCCAAAACAATCTTTCCGACCTTAACGCACCTTTTAATCTGATCCCTGGCTTTTTCTTTTCTTCTTTTTTTTTTTTTACCTGTTTAACTGGACCAACAAACTTTCTTTGCGAAGATTGGGGATATCTCAACTAAACTTGTAATGCGAAAAATACACGGCACTTCCACTCTGGCTGCTCTACAGTCGAATATTTAACATCACCTCCCTCTCAACGCCCAATCCTGTCCAGCCCTGCCACTGCATGACCAGCTTCCACGCGGCGTTAAAGTACAGCCTTCCATGGACGCTGCCAAATGTCTTACAGCTCCCACAAGCTCCGCAAAGCCCTCAAGAACTCGATATCTCTGTATTTGCCCGAAAACGGGGCAAACACGAGAAAATCTTGTCGAATCATCTCCCACCCCGTCTCCTCATCAGGGGCATCATCCAATTCCAGCAGTCTGACGTCCAACACAGGCCGCAGCTGGGTCACATAGGTTAGCAGCATGAGCAGCCAAACTCCCCTGACCAAAAGAACCTTGTGGTTGTCGTTGTTTAAAAAGATTGTTGAGAATGATCATGGTGCTGTGGATGCAGGTCGGGAGGTGGCCGAGGTAGAAGTCGAACGCCGGTTGGTCCGGCTTGTGTGTCGCACAAAAGCAACAGCGCCGACAGAGCCGACAGCTGCTGCAGGACTAGCGGCAGGTTGCTGACGTCGAGCATTCGGACGTACTCAACCAGGGCTAGCTTGGCGTTTGCGTTCGCAAAGATGCACGGTAACGCCTGAAAGCTGGGCCCAAAGCCTCGCATGATGCCGCTGAAGCGGCCGTCGTGGGCAACTCGGCTGAGGATATCTTCCGGCGACAGATGCTCCAACAGAGGGACAGATAGGCTGGGATGCGTCATGAGCTCGTACATCGAGTCCATCCAGTCGACGGCTGACAGGGTGAGGGCTTGTATCACGAGCAGCGCTGTCCGCAGCTCGATGCTGTCGCTCAGCAATGCTAGCGGCCGTCCCACGCCGGCAAAGAGCCCATACAGGAGCGGTTTCGACGTGCCAAAGACCTGAGAAATTACGAGAGACTTGCTGTTGCCCAGCTTGGTGATCTCCATGCCGAAATATGCTTTAAAGGCCACCTGAAATCTGGGAGATTGCAGAATTAGTCGGCTGATCTAGTGTTCGAAGCGCTTTCACATACCTTATATCGCCGAGAAAGCGTGACCGGTCCTCCTCGTCTGAGATACTTCGCGGAGAAGCTTCCCACGACGCTACGGTACCCTTCATCGAATTAAACGCGGCATCTATCTGGGCCGCTGTTCCGCCCAGGAAGAGCAGAGTCGCCAGTGCCTGGCTGCGTTAGCGAGTGATATAACAAGCACGGAAAACGGAGCCATACCATTGGAATATTGTTATACCGCCCATCCGGCTGCAATAGTGCATGGCTCGCATGGGTGGCTTTGAGATACCTGTCGAACGTACTGCGCTCTGATCCCTGGTCCATCCTTCTGATGAGTGTTCTGACCACACACGCGGCAGGGGAGATTCCCCAAGACATGGTCAAGTTGTCTACTGCCATCTTCGCCATGCTGCTAGACCGATTTATATTGCTGAGCAGAGCATACCGCTCAGCCATGAAGAATCCATTCAGAGTTTTCGCAGGAGTTGGCGAAGTTCTCGATTCTGGGTGGGTGTATGTGCTCAATTCCCAGCTCAAGAACACGGGACACCGAAGCTGAATGTTGTGGCCAGCACACGCATGTTGAAGGGGTGCCGACATTTGAAGCTCGGTGGCGACGGAGGAATCTGGCTATCTCTAATACCAGGAGCCTGTCGTGCCCTGGCCGTCACGGCCACGACCATTGGGCAAGATCAATCTTGGTTGAAAGATTGCATTTCACGGATCGAAATCCAGGAGCGCCGATAGGACGCCACAAATCGTTGAGAGCGATCTTGGGGGCCAGAAGAAGCTGAAGAGCCACCGGTCACATACGCCTTCACGAAAGGTAGCCTGCCAATGGACGTTGTGACTGGTTGGCGCGCGATTTGGAACAGGAACCGGCCTGATGGTGACAGGCACAGAGCGGATGTGCAATGACGATCAAGATCGACAATCCCCCAAGGCACATGTCTCGTTGCAACCGCTGTGCTGGATCGCATTGGTCGCAATTTTCCGATAGCTCCAGTGTTGATCCCAACGACGTTTCCCAGAGCAGTGGTACTAGCCCGTGCGGACCGTTCCGGGGTATCGGCACGCGGCATCGTATCTTCGTATCTTGGGGCCTATCGAGCCAAGGCCACACTTGTAAAAGAACTCGACGTGATATTATGGACGCATTCTTTTACAGAGGCAGATCCAATAGGGGCAGTTTACTCTTCAGGCCTCCCAAGCGGCCGCTCAACTAGCCTGCAGGCAGATTAACATTGTCAGCTTGCAGTGCGCAGCTCGTGGCCTCTGCATATCCATAACGCAGCAACTGCCAATGAGCGTTCGCTAGCTGCTGTTCCCATGCAGAGTTCCATGTAGGCTCTGACCCAGTTGACATGCGGAGAGGTTGAATCGAAGCTTGCAAGCCAAAACCCCTTGCCTTCTCTCATCTTTTGATCACAACAATTTTGCCGCGGTCACCGCGGTCTAGGATCGCGGAAACTTCCTTCGGACAGCAAGCCAAGCTTCCCTGTTCCGATCTTGCATCGGACCGCCTATCACGATCGGATCATGCTCTCGCCACACTGCGTATTTCAGCCCAGAAGGCTGTTTGTCTGTCCCTCGGCATTCCGACTAACTTCGCTGCGTGTTTCGGCAGCCCCCCTCACTCTGCTCTCTCTCTCTCTCCCTCTGGTTTTCCCCTGAGGAGGTACTGTATATGCAGCCAGCCGACGCACCAGTGACACAGGTGTTTACATCGCGACGGGCGGCAGTCAAACCGTTCCCGTTACCTGTGCCACTGACACACACGCATATGCTTGTACCGGCGTAGGCGCACTGGCCAGTTACTTTCCTCTGTTGCACACAAAACCAGAAGCTACCCAGGTAATGGCAAATTAAAAGTCTTATCCAGAACCGGTTACCACTGTTTCGGATCAAGGTTGGACGCCAAAGCCTCGGCAGCTGAAGAAACAAACGCTTAAAGGGGGGGAGCGGCATGATAAGCGGCAGTCATGGTAAGTTCCGTAGTTCAGTCTGCCGATCGTTTGGGTTTGGAAAACGCTCAATGGACAGTAAACGAGATCGCCCCCCTTGACATAACAGATCTAGGACCGGGTACTGGGACCGGGAAGTGTAATCGCGGGCCGGATCGGCCGTGAACCGCGTTTGTGTAACGGTCGAGAGGGAGGGAAACGTTTCTTTTCGGTCGGCTTGGCTGTCACTACTTTTTGCATTTATATATAAACGTTCAGCTGGAGCTTGCTCGGGGGAATTTCGACCGAGGGTGCGATCGAACGGTCACATTTTAGTGCCCTTCGGGTCAGCTTGGATCTGGAGTTGATGCTTGACCGGTCTGGCCTTGCCTGCCGGTGAGGGCCTCGCAGCGTGTCCTGCCTGCTTGTTGAGGAATTTGTATTGCTAATCATTTCCGAGATAGTGCGGCAGCCAATGAAGCGTTAAGCAACAAAACTCTCGTCATTATCGAAAAGGGAGACAGGGTTCAGTCTTTTGATGATGATGCTGTTGACTCCATTCGAGGGCTAGCAGGTTGAATCATTGAAGCAGATCCACAAAGCGACCATCCCAACCGTCTCAAGTCCCACGATGTAGCCGAAGAACCTAAGCTATTGATGATGTAGAAATTTCCAGTTGAGAACTCTGGAGCGGTTGCTTGAGGCGTTCCGTCTGACGATGGTGGCTTGTACACTTGAATCAATAGAGCTGCTCATCGTCTGGCTCAACAGAGCTGGTTCTTTTGACTGCTTTTGTTTACCAGTATCGAAATGCCCTAAAGTTTTTTTTTTTTTTTCCGTGCTGGTAGGCTCTCAACATCTCGGCTCATAGCAACCTCTCAAACAGGAGGTTGACCTTTCGGAGCTCCTTGGTACAATTTCCGACTCTCCTCTAGAACGCTCCCGCGTTCAACAGGGACCTAGATATAACGAACCAACATTGACTACCTTCCTGTGTCCTCCCTCCCATCCCAGCCAACATGTCCCCCCACCCCCCCCCCCCCCCAAACCCCCTGGCCACCTCCTAAGGCTCGTCTCGTTGGCAAGTCTTGTTCTGGGCAGTTCCCCCGACCGATCACTACCAGTTCCCATCGACGAGCACTACTCCCTCCCCCCACAATGCTCAGCCTGGGTCGGCGTCAAAGAGATCCATCTCATCGAGGTCACAGAGCTAGTGCAGGAGAATGGTGTGTCCCTTATCCCTACTCATCTCTAACCCTGTCTTGTCTGCCAAAACCTTCGAGCAGTGGACAGTGGTGCAGCTAACCCTGAACATACCTAGGCACCATCCAAACCCTCGCCTCCTGCGCGGGCGCCACCACCCGAGAAATCTGCATGACCGCTCTCCCAGATCGTTCATTCTATCTTTGTGTGCTCGGGGCTGTTTAGCTTGGTGCCGCCGCCGGCAAGGCAGATGCCATATACCGTCGAAGTTGTAAGCATATCCTTCCCTCTCCATACCCAACTGTCTCAGCAGCCCCCTGAGCGGGCAGCTGCTGGAATCATCACCACCGGCTGCGAACTAATCAACAAGATGAATAGACTTCCTGCGTAACCAAGATCATCACCGACGGAGCTATCCCATCCCTCCTCGCACCAGGCCATCCAGTCCCATCCCAACCCCAACTTGACGGTCCTGACCCGGCCGTCACACTCACCTACCATCCCTGCACGACTTGCTCTAAATTAACTTACATCGGTACCGTGCTGAACTTCATCCCTCAACCCAGAAGGAGGGTTAATGTCCGACTGAAGCCCTATCAACAAAGTCAAGGCTGCGGCCCACACGCCGGCACTGGCGTCACAGCAAACCCCAACCCCCAGCCAAGCGAGACTCTCGCTCTGTTGGTTACAACACCAGTGGTTATGAGAGTAACAATGTCATACGCCTCCTCTTTTGCTGGTGCTGAGACAGGGGAGACAGGGACATGCACGAGGGAGATTGACCCGGTAGAGTCTGCGATGCCGGATTCAGATGGTGATGAGGAGGAGGATGAGGATGATAGGGATGGTGAAGAGCAGAGTGCGAGCGGGGCGGGGTTTGCTGGGGTGGGAAAGATGTCGTTGGGGGGTTCCGGCCGGGGCGTGGGTTGTGGTTGGGGAGCTTGGTTTGGTGAGTTGCAGCATCGAAGTTATCTATGGGGGGACAGCAGAGGGAGTGAGTTTTTCCTGCCAGTTGAGTCTTTATAATTCCCTGATGTTATAAGGGCTAGGTACCGACCTCAACAGTTTATACGGGGTTTTGAGACGTCTATCCCGGGTTAGCTCTGGCGCATAGACGGCGTTGATCACAGGTCCTCACAGTTGTAGCAGGAAATCGTGATCTCAAGCGTGTTATTCATGGCCTGTTTGGGTAGAGATTAAGATAAAAAGGAGCTTACGAATTAGAATTAAGCACACAACCTCGTCAAACCCATCAAGCAACGCGCCGTTAAGGTAGAAACTCCTATCCCATTGCCTTACCCGCTAACTAGTTATCCCTATCCCAACCACATCTCATATCACCTTTAAATCACCGTGGTCACCCCAATTCCAAACAGTGCATCGGCGTATTACGTTATGCTATGATACCTAATAGACGACACCCTAACCATCAATACATACCATACCAACAACCCGATCCTCCTAGTAGCACTGTAGCAATAAGTATCAATAGTCCCGGTAAAATGTATGTCTGTATGTATGAACCTGAATGAGTATGAGAGTAACCCGTACAACAGAAGAAACTTGACATGTACGAGACAAAACGTCAAACGTGCATGCGCCGTATGTGATGTATCCCCTTATCTCCCCATCCCTCAGAAAAATAAAAAAAAAAACCAGACCATACCATACCAAACCAAGGCAGAAACTCAAGACGGACGGACGAGCCAACCAAACGTAAACCCCCACAAAGATTTCACATCGTCACAGTAGACAACGCACTCCCTGGCGCAGCACCTAATCCCAACAAGCCACCGCCATTCGTCGTAGCAGCCGCCGCCAAAAGCCCCACCTTCTCCTTCTCCTTCATTTCCTTCTCGGCTTTTGTCGCCCTAGGCTTCCTTACAGTTCCTCCACGCGAACCAGGCCCACTGCCACGACCTCTTCCCCTGCCCGACGTTTTCGCCGGCTGCTGCTGTTGCTGTTGCTGCTGTTGCTGCTGTTGTTGTTGCTGCTGCTGCTGCTGCTGCTGCTGCTGCTCCTCCCCTTCTTCACCATTATTCTCGGTATTATTAGCACTATTACTCCTTCCCCCGCGCCCACCACCCCCTCTGCCTCCCCTCCCCCTGCCCCCCCTACCCCGCCTAGGTCTATCCTCCTGTACAGCAGGCTTCTCAATCTCTGGAATCAGCGGGCCACTATAAACAAAAAAACCGTCCCGACTAGCCGCCGCCTGTTCCTCCCACAGCAGCTCCGAGTCATCCACGAAATCGTCGTCCAAATCATACTCGTCCTCGCGCCAATGGCGCTTCTTGCGGGGCTTGACGGGCGGCGCGTCGACCATCTCGACATTGCTGTCGCCGCCAAGATCGCTATCGACCATCTCCTCATCGCCGTCGGCGGTCTCCTTGCCATATTTCTCGCGCTCAAGAGCGGCAGTGGCGGCCGCGATACGGGCTTTGCGCTCGCGGCTGGCTGCGAGTCGCGGGTGCAGGGCATCCCAGCCGTAGCGCTCCTCGGCCATGCGCATGAAGTTGACGTAGACGTTGTTCTCTCCCGGCTTGAGCGGGATGTGCAGTGTGATGTTGGGCGCTTGGATCTCTTCACCCGGACGGGCCTTACCGAAGTCGAGGATGGAACGGCCTTCGCCGGGCAAGGGGGGCAGCGCGTCCTTGAGAGAGGCAAATTTGGGCGACGATGACGCGACACTGCTGCGAGGTTTCTTGCGCGACTCGCGCTCCTGCTCGGCGACGGCAGCGACCTTCTTATTAACCTGAGCCGGCGCCGGAGGCGGTGCCAGGGCAGGGGCTGATGTGGGTGCAGGGGTTTGTGTGGCCGATGCTGACAAAGAGGCAGAAACTGAGGTCAAGCTGGTGAATGAAGAGGTGGGCTTCGACTCGGGCTTGGGAGCAGGAGCAGGAGCAGGAGGTGGCGGTGGCGGTCTTCGGGCATCGGCAAGGGCAGGTTTGGGCAGAGCACTCGTTGTCTGGGTCGTAGTCCGAATACCATTCGAGGGCGAAGTGGGCATCGAGGAAGGCTCATGGAAACGGGACTGCGTCGAGTGGTTGGTGAATGACTGATTAGGCGCCGGCGAAAAGCCGGGCTGGGGATCAACCAGGCTCGCAATAGAAGGGGATGCGCTGGCGCGATTAATTGCTGTGGCGCTCTGGGAAGTTGGGGCACGGGGAGAGCCCAGGGAGTTAGCCGACTCGCGGATGGGGTCATAGTTGCCACGGACAGGGTCAAACATCTGCCGAGTAGGCGGGGGAGGTTGCGGTTTCGGCGGTTCCTCGTTTAGGATGTTCTGCATCTGCATCGGCTTCTGCGCGGAATGGCTAAAACTGGTCGTCGGAGTCGTCTTCTCTGTCGGAACGGAACGGGCCTCGGCAGCCAGGCCTCTCATGGAGGGGAGCTCGGTGATCTTGGGTTCACGGGCCGGACCGGAAGCCGACCGTGCGTCCATTTCCGAGTTGGTCGCATCGCCAGCATCAGAGGCGGCAGCCTTCCTCTTGCGCTGCACCGTAGGGGCATTAGGGTCCTTAGGCTTACGCGGACGGCGCTGCTTCTGCTGCTCGGGGGCATTCGGATCGGCCGGTGGTTTTGGCTTCACTGTGCTGCCAGGCTTGCGACCGGGCTTCTTTCTCGGCAGCCCGGCCGCGGTCAGGGGCACATTGGGAGCTTCCTCGGCGGGTTGTTCGCGCTGCATGATGCTGTAGCGCTGTGCCGAGCTGGGGTCGACAATGATCTCGTCCATCTCAATGTTGGCCCGGCCAGCGCTGATGACACGGGCAGTGGGGGAGCCAGGCTCCGACAATGCCGACGATGACGATGGCGCGGGGCTGTAGTGTTGCATGCTGTCGCTGCTCCAGCGGACGAACCTGCTGAAGGGAGGGCGGCAAGATGCGGAATAACTTTTGAGGGTTCGTGTACTGCGATGTTGCGCAGAAAATCAGCGTCCCTCAAAGAACGACCAACAATTGAAAGAGATGTTGTGACTGTCAAAGACCGCTACGCCGTCACTTCACCTCAGTGGGTAAAGAAATGGCCTCTTTCGTCGCGCCCGTCCCAATGATCCAAACGGGAGTATTTCGAAATGAGGCGCTGCAGCAACGGGATAGGCTGCTGGCGGAAAGCAGCCTAGTCTCTGATAGGCTGCCTTCCGTCGCCTTCACCTGTCAGGCACTGACAGCCTGATGGCAGGCTGAGCTTGGCAGCTGCGGTCTAGCTGGAAGTGGGGCTATAAGATAGAGGCGTGATGTTGTATGAGGGGGTCCGCCCAAATATGGCCCGTGCGTCGGGTGGTGCCAGGGCGGGAATAGACCAAGAAAAGAGACAGCCGAGCCCGTGACTGAAGTGCGAGCTGACTTTTTGGCTTCACCTGTGCAGAGTGGAGCTCCCGGCTGGGAATACCTTCACCTGCACCACGTTGAAAGCCCCCGTGGCCGACACCAGACGACGATGCAAAAAATGCCACCGCACTGCCCTGCGCGTGCAGGATGTCAGCGTCAAAAGTGCAGCCGTCAATTGTGAGAATCACGCAGTTTCCGAAAATCGGGTTTTGGGGATGCCGGCGCGCGGGCGACGATGAGGATTTGATGGATTTGCAGTTTGCGGGCGAAAAGTCGGTGGGTGTAGAAGCGTGGTTGTTGAGAGAAAAGAGGTTGAGGATCGAGGGTGAAGTTGGGTTGGGAGAAAAAAAAAGGAGCGAAAAGACGACGAGGAAACGGGAAAAATTGGGGGGTGAGGGAGCGCATGCAAAGGGGCAACAAGATGACGGGGAATGGGCTCGTTTTTGGAACGGTTCACGGTTCCAACGCTTTGCCAGCTGCCTGCCCTGCGTGCTTGCAAAGCGATCTGAGTTAGGACACTGGAAAGGGGGGTAGGGGAAAAGCGAAAAAGGCGAAGAACGTGAAAGGAAAATTGGGGCCTAGGTGGCTCTATGGATTACAGCGGTAAACTGTAATCCGTTCAGTGTCCAGTGTCCAGTGGCCCGGGCGGCCGTGGTCATGACCCGTAAAGTAAAGCTAACCGTAATCGTAGACCGTCACGGACGCAAGGGAATGGAAATGATTTCATTTTGTAAGTAAAAGGCAAATCCGCGGATAGTGTAGGAATAGGGAGATCCAAGCAGGCCGCAACAGGGGAACAAGGGAGCATGCTGCTGCATGGGAACCGATGGGAACATGGGACCTAGCGAGCGGAAGAGAGGGGTGTGTGGATTGGGTCCAATGGGGAAATCGAACAAACCCGAACAAAGCATCAAAACGCGGGACTTGGCATGGAGCTGGGGCTGCGTTGGAGCCAGGTTTTGGACCAGGTTGGAGCAGCAGAGAAAAACAATAACCTAAATCTCTACGGTCACGCTACACGGGGTAAGCACAATATAATACCTTATCCTGATACAGCCCAGAGGTACCACCGCACAGGAGTACTTTGTCCCTCACGAAGATGCAGGACCCGGCCAACGCTGGCAGTGAGGATATAGCGGCTGCGCTTCTGTCTGCATTACACAAGGCTGCCAAGACCGCCAAGGCTCAGTTCGGCTGTTCCCACACCCCACCTCACCACTGGGTCCGTCCGTAGTGTTCTTCGCTCGCAGAAGAAGCAGCGAAGCATGCTCGCGTGTGTGTTACAGTGCGAACAACCCCGCGTCTGCCGCCGTTACTGTGCGGCACTGTGCATCGGGCGCCGAGAGATGCAAATCATGGAGATGAGGTGGGCTTGGAGAAGAGCATGAGCCCCGGTCAGGTACCTGGTACGTACCGACCGCCGACGGGGACAGGCCCCACGCTGGCACCAGCAGAGCACCCCACCGCCGTTTTGAATCTAGGTGTGACATTTTTGGCTTCACGCCTGAGGCCGACGCCACATCGGAGCAGAAACCGCCCCACACGGTAGCGAGCCGCACGTCACCACCTGCAGACCTCATGCAAGCACTTGAGGCAGCTTGATGATGTCGATGTCTTTTTAGGCGTACTATTATCTATTTAGAATCTCTCACTCAGTTGAATAGTAATCAAATTGTTACGAAGGTAGGTATGCGGCAGCCCGCATGGCATGAACGGCGAACTGGCTGCCCGCACTGATTCGCCACAACATTGACGAGAGTTCAATTTCAGAGCCCGGCCGTTGATTAACTGAAATTGTCCGCCCACTGGCCCCCCCCCCCTTTGTGTCACACAAACCCAAGCAATGGAACTGCATGTCAAAAGGAGCTCATCCCGCTGTCCTGCGCTGGAATGGCCCCGTTCACGGCGGCGGTTTTGCCAGAACGTGTGTTGTTGTTCGTTGAATTGATTATGTCAGCATTCCGGCTGTCAGCTGGACCCAAGACGCCGGGCAGGGTGCGCTGTGGGGTAAGGTGGGGTTGACGTCAGATGGATAAGATAAGGCACAGACATGCGGGGGCAATCCGATCGCGCCTGTGACAGCCGGACCCGATTTTTTTCGGACCATTGTTTCCTCACACCTCGACAGCCACCATCCACGCCCACGACACATATTATCATGGAGTCAACGCTGGAGGTATTTGACGTTCAAGAACGGGACATTAGCGAGATCACACCGCCGAGCTTCCCACAGCCGTCGGCGCCTTCGGTCGGAGGATATCCCCCCCACAAAAAGCGCGTGTCGGCCTTCAAGCAGCGACAGGCAAAGGCATCCGCCGCGAAGGAACAGCCGAAGTCTCCAGAGTCGTCATTGCGGAACAATGCATGGTTCGACGAGCGCCGCGGAATTCACGAGGAGAACCAGGCGCTGCTCGACTCGATGACGCCCGAGCAGATCGAGGAGACGCGTAGGCAGCTATTTGGCCAGCTCGACCCCAACTTCATCCAGTCACTGTTGCGCCGTGCCCGGATCGACGAGCCAACTATTCCTGAGCCCATTGACGCGGCAGCTCAAGAATCGAAGCCGTCGTCAGCCACAGGCCCGCAGCCGAAAGCGAGACAAGTGACGGTTGAGGACGCGCCAGATGAGGTGACAGCACCAAAGGCACCAGAGAAACAGGCAGAGACATCGATGCCGATGGGATCATCAAGCGCTACAAATACGAAGCCCTCATCTGCCGAGCCCGCAAAACCCAAGAAAACCGTCACCTTCGACGAGGACGCCGCCCCGCTGATACCCCCAGAAGACCTCTTCCCCGCGGCTAATCCCCCTCCCCCGACGAAACCCAGCACCAAGAAAATCGCCCGCCCTGAAGAGCGCAGCCAACTCGACGACGCCGATAACCTCTCGCACAGCCACAAAACCCACTTCCCCCGTCCCCCACGCGTCCCTGACCTCGACCCCAATGACCCTAACTTCCTCGAGAACCTCCACAAAAAGTACTTCCCCGATTTACCCGCTGATCCCTCCAAGCTAGCCTGGATGGCGCCCATCCCAACGCCGGACTCAGATGCCGATAAAGAGAGCCCATACTATCCCGGACAGGACTCCCTTCCGATCTCCGCGCTGCGGTTCGATTTCCGCGGCGCGTTGTTACCGCCGAGGGTGAGTCGAACTATACCCGTGACAAAAGGGCTGCACCATCATGGTGAGGCACCCGAGGCGGCGGGGTATACTATCCCGGAGCTGGCCCGCCTAGCAAGGTCGGCGGTGCCGGGGCAGAGGTGTCTTGCGTATCAGACGCTGGGGAGGATTTTGTACCGGTTGGGGATTGGGGAGTTTGGGACGGGAGAAGGAGGGAGGAATGGAGAGGATGATGATTTGGCGTTTGCGCTGTGGAGACTGTTTCAGGAAGGCAGGATAATCGAGATATTGGAGTGGGAGGCTGGGCAGCCTGATGGGAAGGGGCATTTGAGTGCCAAAGCGTATGCCACAGAGGCCTTGTGGTTGTTTGAGAAGGGTGGGTGGAAGGAGAGGTGGAAGGGAAGGTAAGCGGACGTGGTTTGATGGTTAATTGTGCGTTTGGGGCACTGCCGGCCTGGTTTTTTTTTGTCAGACTGTGTCTCCGAGGACTCAAGAACCGATAGTAGAGGAGGAGGAGGGTTTGGGGGGGGGGGGGATAATGTGCTACATAGGTGTGGTTCTGCCCGAGTCTAAGACTAAAATATTAGCTATAGGATAAAATTTATGACCTTGTCGTGATTCTAACTGAAAATACAAATATTAATGCTAGAGTTAAATTTACATCATGGCCATTCATACCCAGAGTATCATTACTTCGTGTCCCATTTCAGCCTTCCGTGATGTTCTCCAGTCAATCGCCGCCATTAACCCCTCTCAACCTCACACCTCTCTCCCTATACCTGACTAGCCTTCTCCTTTTCTTCCCTCCTCCTCCTCTCATTCCTCATGTGCTCAATAACCCGACTCCTCTCCCTAATCTTGTCCCCCCAAAAATAAAACCCCACAGGTACCGGTATCAAAACCACCTCCAAAACCCCCAACATCATTCCCGCCCATCTCGGTCCCATTCCCCCGTACATACTCGGCCCCGCTAGCGGCAAAAACGCTCCCATCACGCTCCGTGCCACCGCGTTCCCCGCCAGCGCAGACGCCGCCCACTCGCCATAACTAGCCGCTAAATAATTACTCCCGTAAATGAAACTAAGTGTATTCCCCATCCCAAACGGGACCCCGGCAACCGCGATGGGGATCAGCGGGTGTATCGTCCTCGGCAGACATGTCCACGCAAACAAGAGCTGTCCTACGGCGGTGAGCACCGAGCCGAGAGACATGACGAGAGCGGTTGCTTCGGGCGCGGGGAGGGACGGGTTATCGGGGTCGCGTTTCGGGGAGGGTGAGATGAGATACTTCCGCCAGATGGGTTCGAGCAGGATGGAGAGGAGCGTGCCGACGCCAATGCCGAGGAAGGAGAGGCCAGTTTGAGAGGGGGACCAATGACGGTGGGAGGTGAATATTATCGGGTAGGCGATGAAGCAGAGGTAGAGAACGCCATAGGTTAGGGAGAGCCTATCAGGAGACTGTTAGGGGGGAGGGGCATAATAATGTTTGAGGAGAGTTTTTGGGTTATTTTTTTTGGGGGGGGGAGGGGGAGGGGGTTTAGGGGTAAGACGGACCAGATGTTGAAAAACCAGAGAATTGGCTCTGTGGCGGCGAGTTTGAATGGTCTTGCCAGGTTGCTGGCGACCATGTTGACTACATCCTGCCAGGTCTGCTCATCGCGGTCGTAGCGGCACCACCACCTTTCATCACCGGTTTCTTTTCTCTTTTTGAGCACCTCCCGCCTCATCAATACAGGAGGGTACGTCTCCTTCACAAGGAGTAACATAACCCCCGCGACGCCGGCCAGGGAAAGCGACACCCAGTTCTCCCATCGCCAGCCGAGGTACTCAAACACGAAGCCGCCGATGAGGGGGCCTGTGACGGGCCCGTTGAGGGGCGCGATGCTGTATAAGGAGTTGAAGCGAGCTAGCATTGTGGGGTTGGAGGAGGCGTCGGAGAGGTCGACTATCGTGCCCGGGGAGTTGGTTAGGAGGGCCGCGCCGAAGAGGGCGCTGTGAGAGGTTAATAAGGGGTAGAGGGATGGGGGAAGGGGGACATACCCGATGAAACGGAGGATGATGAGTTGGGTAAGGGAGGTGCTGAGGCTACTGCAGAAGGTTAGTGCTGTTGCTGATACGAGGGAAGGGCCCCCTTTCTTCCGGATACTCTCGTCCCATGAGACAACTACATCCCACTTTCATATCAACGCGCCCACACTCATCACCTCTCTCTAAGCTACGCCAAATGACCGTGCTAACGCCAGGAGACACCTACCATCCTAAAATGAAAACTAAAAACCCCACCCAACAAACCAAATAAACCGCCCTCCTCCCTACAACCTCGCTCGCCGGCGCAACAACCACACTCCCCGCCGCCAGCCCGAGCAAATAACTCGTCAACCCCAGCGTCGCCACACTTTTCGACTTGATCCCAAACTGCTCCATCACGCCGGGAATGGCTGCGGTATAACTTGTGCTATGCAGGATGACGATCCACGTCGCGAAGGAGACGGTCGCCACGCAGTACAGACGGTACCAGAGTGGCCAGCGGTGGGGTTGAGTTGCGAGGGAGGCGGGTAGTTCGAATTCGGGGGGCTTAGGAGTAGGGAGACAAGGGTCTGGCGATGGGTTTTCTGAAGAGGCATCCTTCGGGGAGATGGGGAGACGTTGGGGGTCGGGTTGAGGCTGTTCGGGAGTGAGAGTTGTGGATGAGGATGAGGGGGCGCCGTCTGTCGTCGTTTGGGGGCTTTCTTGAGGAGGAGGAGTTGGTCGGGAGTGTGGGAGCTGTTTTTCAAGCTCTGAGTTGTGGGTGTCGCTGGCCATTAGGGCTGGGAAACTGATGGGGAGTGATGGGCGCCGTATGAGTGACTATTTTGAGGTTGATACGCTGCCTATCAGAAGGAGTATGTATTACGACGGGTCAAGTGTTCATCAGACTCTGGACCATTCTGCTGACAAGCACACCCAGACGATAACAACACAGAATCAAAGTAAAAAAAAAAAAAAAATTTAAAGAAAAACCAACAAGAGTTGTAGAAAAGAAATAATTGTTAATCCGAGTGGGCTCTGCTCATCTAGCCTCTAGCACTGACGCCGGAATGCAACAGGCAACATTCGGCATACAGACCGCCTCACTAGCGCCGCCCCGATGCGGAGTCGATGATGTACTTCGGTGCATCGGCATGGGGCAACCGAAATCGCTCCACTCCTGGCGACAGAAGTGCATTTGTGCATTGCGTGGCCTGCCGCACGCTCGTATGCTAAGGAGGAAGTATATTAAGTCTTGGCCGTTGTGCTCTATCATCTGATCTTCTTCGGAGCTTTTGTGGTCTCTAGAGGGACAAGACATCCCACGGCCGACATGCAGGATGGCCTCCAAGGCTCACCCCGGAGGAATCTGCAAGGTGAGCCAACTGCAGATGTCAGAATCAAAGCTCCAACCCATCGTTGTCTTCAGCTGGATCTCAAAGCTGACATTATCCTGCTGGGGCCAATCTTTACCTGATTTACGTTGGTCCTCGTCTGCGTCAACTGCTGCCATCTCGTCCTAACACCCTTGATAAGGCGGTTCTCAATATATTTCTCTCCACTGAACTGTACAACGCGACCATTTAGTGAGCTACGTCATCGTCACAGCTGCGATACCAATGATTCATCGCAGATAAAGTAAAAGTAAGGCTCATCGCAAGCCTGGTGTGAGTAGGATAAATGAAACAGTTCGTCTCTCAGTCCTGATCTGTTGAAGTTAGGCTCCACAAAGATAGCTGGCGGGAGCTAGCTCTGGCATAGAGAGTGGTCCTCGGCGAGTGCCGACAACCGCACAATGACCCCGCTCTCTCTCGGCCCCGGACCGGCGTAACGGCTGCCAAGACCGGTCGACCTGGCTCATCCCCTCGGAAGGCCGATGCCAAAGCCCCCTGCCTCTCCAATACCAAATCAGTCCTGCCGTTTCGGTGTTCTCGGACACAAGCCGGAGGGATGTTTCATGTTTCACCTTCTTACCCAAAACGGCACACGGAGCCAGACTGGCGCCGCACGCGGGATACAGCGTAATGAAGGGGGCATTCTACCACGCGGGGAAATGCAACCTAGCCGTTTACTATATACCCGAGCGATATTAAGCCGTGCCCGCGGCGAAACATTGTCCGCGGACCGGGTTACTGGCGCTGGAGGACTTGAGGGGGAGGGGAGGTTGAAGCAGGTGGAATAAAAGTGTCATGATGTCTTGGGGAAATCTATCTTGGGCTCACTGTTGTTAGATCGCCGTAGGCGTCACGAGCGTTGTGAGAGCCTGATAGGAAGATTGTACCTAGCAGAGGTGACCGACCGAGTAAGTCATTAAGATGCATCTAAGCAGCTCATTGCTTGCGTTGCTTCTCCCAGCAGCGACCCAAGCCAGCCTGCAAATCGTCCCCGGTGCAAGCTGGACAGCCGTACGTTTTCCTATTTCCCTGCCCATCTATCTTACCCCCAACTAACCCCTGTCCTTCCCCCCTCCCCTTCCCAGTCTGACGGCGAACATCTCAACGCCCACGGTGCCGGTATCATTCGCGTCAACGACACCTTCTACCTGATTGGCGAGGACAAGGCGCAGGGCTCAGCCTTCCAAAACATCAACTGCTACTCGTCGAGGGACCTGGTGCAATGGAAGTTCGAGGGACGGCTGTTGAGTCGTCAGGGGTCGGGTGACCTGGGCCCGAACAGGATTGTCGAGCGGCCTAAGGTGATTTACAATGACCGTACCAGGCAGTATGTGATGTGGATGCATATCGATAGCAGCGATTATAAGGACGCGAGGGTTGGTGTTGCGGTGGGGGATCAAGTGTGTGGATCTTATCGTAGGTCTCACTGGCATGGGCTGGCTGGGGTTTCGGGAAAGGGGATGCTGACAGGAGTAGGCTACCTCCGCAGCTTCAGACCTCTGGGCTTCCAAAGCCGCGATATGGGCTTGTTCAAGGACGATGATGGGACAGCCTACCTTTTGACCGAGGATGTACGTCTCCCATACTACCCCTCCCCCCTCCCCTTCCCCCTCCTCCCTTGATCATCATCATGACCTAATCCCCCCCCCCCTTCCCCTCCAGCGCCAAAACGGCCTCCGCATCAACAAACTCACCGCCGACTACCTTGACGTCGCCGAAGCAACCTACAAATGGTCCGAAAAGATCGAGTCCCCCGCCATGATCAAGCTCAACGGCCGCTATTACATCTTCGGCAGCCACCTCACCGGCTGGGACCCGAATGACAACGTAAGTCCCCTCCGCTTCTGGCTTTCACTCACCTAACACTAACCTTTCCTCAGGTCTACAGCACCTCAACCTCCCTTTCCTCAGGCTGGTCGTCCTGGCAAACGTTTGCCGACAAAGGCTCCAACACCTATCACTCCCAAACAACCTACATCCTACAATACCCCGGCTCTCCAAGCAACCTCATGTACCTAGGCGACCGCTGGCGACCAGGAAATCTCCACCAATCTTCTTACATCTGGCTACCCTTAACAATCGAAGGCACCAAAGTAACCCTCAAAAACCGCGGCTCCTGGATCCCCAACCTGAACCCCCCCACCGGCGGCGCGAGCACAACCTGGGCTGCCGCGCCCGCCGCGACGACGTACAACGCCCTGTCGAGCTCCAACGCCCGACTCTCCGGCGCAGCAAAGCAAGTCACTTGCAACAACTGTGCCAACAAAAAAGCAGCGGGATACATCGGGGGGCCAAATAACGGGGTGTTGACCTTCTACAACATCAACTTCTCTGGCTCTGGGTCATCTAATTCTCAGGAAGAGCTCACGACGATCTGGTTCCGGTATCATAACGGGGATTCGCAGGCACGGTACGCCAGCTTAGTGGTGAATGGACGAGAGATACCGGGGAGGGTGGCATTTATTGGGACGAGGGGGGAGGTGCAAAGTAGCGTGGTACATGTGCCACTGAGGAGGGGGGGAGGGAATGAGATTGTGGTGAGGGGATGGAATGGGGGATGGGGGCCGGATGTTGAAGCGTTGATTGTGCCGCAGCAGTGAGGGATTGGGGTTTCCTTTGCTTTTCTTTCCTTTCCCCCACCAACCCCCCCTCCCTCCCTCTTCCCTCTTGTTGTTAGGCTGATCTTGCAAAAAGTTTGGTCGTGATTTTTCTTTTTTTTTCCTGTTGCTGGGGTATAGGCGGGAGGAACCGAGGGTAAGGGGTTGAGGATATGAAACTTCATATTCATACATGACGGCATAATTGAACAACAATAAAAAGACCGAACGTTAAGTTAAGCATAGGACAGCCAACCTCTTCAAATTGTTCGCAAAGGCGGCTCATTGTCCTGTTTGTACCTATCCTCGGTCCTTAGTCCGTGTCACAACATGCAAGTTCGCCCATTAAGCCCTGGATTTTAACCAACGGCATTGTTTGCTCGCTAATCTCCCAATGAACTAAAGCTTGTTTGTATCCATAAACTTTGGTGGTTGATCCTGACGAGGAACTTTAAACATAATTCTTGCCAACAACTCTGCCGTTCACTACTAGACGTGTCACTCGGCCAAAGCATGATGAGCAAGCTGACTCCTCCCTCAGGCGTCGTATTGACACTCCCACACCAAGCCATTGGACGTTAGTGATAAGTCCCCTGATAGGGATGAGCACGAGTGCATGACTCTGTGCGACACTGCCGGGACCGAAGCGTCCCAACGTCGCCCAGCAGACAGGACCCTCTTTTGGACTGACGGGACCGTACAGAATCTTCCTCCCTCCCTAGGCGGTCCGCCTTTGCTGAAGCATCGCGAGCGGCTTTATTGGGCTTGCCTTTGTCTGTCCCTTTCCCCTTCCTCCTAGTACATAGAAGGCAGCACGGCAGTTTTCGGCCCGGCACTCCAGCCAACCACGACAATCTCTCGGTATATATTCATGATGTACCATGTACATCAAGCCCGATTTCCCGAACCCGAAGGAGCGGATTGGTGATGATGAGGGCTCACCTGTCCGAACAATGGAGTATTGCCAGATTACAGCATCGCGCTATGCCGCGGCGCCTGTCAGCTCCCATCTAGACCTGCAGTGGGCATGAAACGACCCAGCAGACTGGAAACCTATGAATGCTGACAGGGGCTGCGGCAGCGCACAGGGAATGGTAGAGGGGGCTGATTGGTTGCGACCCGCTCGTGCCGTGCAGCCATTCTCGGCGAGAAAAAGCGCCTACAATAACGATGCGCAGGAACTTGCAGATGGAGTGCAGAAATGGTGTCTAATTATCGAATGCCGAGGGGCATATGCAGCATGCATGACCGCATGAGAGTCGAAAATGCTGGGAGCTATGGCCGTCTCCCTCCCCATGATGAAGGGGCAACACAGAAATGATGGCACAAAACGTGCTGTTAGTGACATGCAACAGCGCTGTGCTACGGGTAGCCGAGACGGAGAGATCCTGCGCTTCGCCTCATCTCGGATGTGTGCCACCATAACACAGAGAGAGCTTCTTTGTTGATAGTTGCTCAGGCTCGGGCTCAGGCTCAGATAATGGCTAGCCTCGGATATTGAGATACTCCGCACACATCTATCGCGACACAACGGCTCTAAATGACTGGATGAAACTCATGCTGCCCGGTCGCGCGAGCATAATTGTCGATCCAGGACATCATTATTCGAAACAGCCGCCAGGCGCAGCGCGAAACCAGAGCGGGCGTCGATCTCATCCGGGCACGATCGATCTGTGGATGGAGATGAAAGTGAGCAGGTAAAGAGCGGGCGAAGGGCGGTTCAAACGCTCGCGCTCATTGTTCGCCGTCGGCAGCCTGCAGGAACGCTCGCCTCGAGGCGCTTGTGTCGTTGTTTGCCGTTTCCGTCCCGTCTTTGCGTCCTCGAGTGGAAGATTCTGTTTCTGCTGCCGTGCCCGGATTGAGCCGACTCGTCGGCATCCTTTTTCGCCAAAGGTTGTAATTAATCGAGCACGCGAGTACCCCGCTACGGTGTCGTTGCTCGCAACCCGACTGCGGGGTGTTAGCGCGCGACATCCACATTGGCAAGCTTGAAGCCACACATCGCCGAGCCGAAATGGGAGGGGCCGTGGCCGTGCTGCCTCCGATCCGGCCGAGTCTCGCTCTAGCTATCTTTGTGATGTGATCGAGGTGTCGGGGTGTCAGGGTGTCGGGCTTACAAGATGTCATTGAGGTCTTTTGGCCTTCCCGCACTTCCTCTTCTGGCGTGATAATGTTTGCTGCTACACACACACACATCGTCTCACAGCCAGTCAAAAGTGGCTGGTGCCTGTGGCAGCACCCTCAACGCCACTTACCATGAACGGCACCCCTCCAAAAAAAATGCCAGAGGACGAGGGATTCTTGGAGGGGCAGGAAACGCCCCTGACCCCCTGTCCCTTAGGCTAGCCTGGTGGTAGACCCAGTGGGTGGTCAGTGCAGATCCGGCCAATCAAAGCCTCTCATCCCCTGTCACCTGGGCCCTGGTCTGCCCGCCCCCCCTGTTCGGGCGTCTTGATTCGGCAGCATTCACATGGCTTGGCCGCCTCCCCCCCACCTCCACAAGGAACCCGAAACATTAACAGCACTGATATAGCCTATAGCCGGCGATGGGTAGTGATGGTGGTTTACTGCAACGAAGCAGCCGTTCTGCTTGAATGTTGTCGACAGCAGAAGCATATCTGATGCTCAGGCTACTACGTACTGTGGGCGGCAACCGCGGTGAGCACGCAGCGCCCAATCTGACGCTGATCGACGAGGTCGTTGGCATATGGAGGGTTGTCTACGGCCAAGCCTGCTGGTTGACTTCCTGATTTTTTCCTGTGCATGTGGTAAGGACATCCCGGGCTAGCGTCGACGCTGATGCGACGGGATGCATGGCAGCACCGCAGCGCACGCGTGAGTGAGTGAACCGAAACGGCGTTCCCTTCTCACGCAGGAACCAGCAGTTGCCAGCAACCCAGAGCCTGTGCACTCCACTTCGTTGATCGTTCGTCTGGTTTCAGGAAAAAGGGATGAAAGCGATGGATGGCACGGCGAGGTTGGCTGGGAAAAACGGATTTCGGAGTTTGAGCTGATCTGATGACCTGCAAAACTTCCACTGCCATGACCTCTAAGGAATTTTCTCCACCAAGTGCTATCATGGTGGGAAAAAAAAAGCCATCATCGTAAACTCGTATCGTGGTCGCAGCAGCGGTCGTCTCGCACACCGTCGGCGTAGGGCACGAGTTAGGGAGTTTGCCCGCTCCAACGGGAGCAGCCAGCCAAACAGAACGCTGAGACGAAACAGCCGTGGTGCTTCAACGGTTCTGCGGCGCAACTGTGATTTGACAGCGAGAGAATATCGACAGGGCAGCAATAGTAGCAGCGCAATGCAGAGCCGAAGCCGGATGCCGCGGAGTCTATAGCGTAGGGCACACCACCAGCGTAATTCTGACTAACAGTGTCGTTTGGTATCGGGCTTGGCCATCTCATTCTGGCATTGTCAGGTCTCTCAAGCGGGATAAGATGCCGAGATGGGAAACGACATGGCCCAAAATATCAAGATGGTTGCGCCGTTGCGTCTGTGAAAAAGGTAACATGTTGGTCTCTTGTCCTGGGGCCTCGTACAGACGGGTATCTCACGATAAGATCTCAGTCGTGTGGAGCCGCGTTAGATAGAGCTCAAGACGGAGGCGAGCTGATGGCAGGGGTCGAGTCCCTGCGAAATATCCCCACCATCGCCAGTCTCTTGCAATACACGCACCAAGCAAGACGCGTGGTGTCGCAGGATTCTTCTAATTTTGACTTTGCCCTCTACATACATGTGTAGCATCGAATGCTGGCTGTTTAACGTTGGCCGTTTTCGCCGTCGCTCGAACTGACGAAAGCTTGCTGGCGTGATGATCGACACCCGCTTTGCTTCCATACAGTGTCGGCTGCACCCATGCTCAAGTCTAAATTCACACAGTCAACCCCAACCCCAACCAGAGATTCCTGGTTTGCATGGGAGCGGGACCCACATGAACCTGCCCCTGAGCCCTGACGCGGGCTCCAGGTCCCACCCCCCAGCAGGCACTCGGTCCAATGCGGGACCTGGCAAGACTCCCCAATCGCAGACCAGGATTCCAGCATTCCATTTTGCCCACCTCCACCGGTAGCACTCCATCCTACAGCCGGCTCCTCGTGTGCCAACAACAAACTCCCAAAATGACCCAAACAAACCTCAGCCGGCCAAAAAAAAGGCACCAGAAACCCAGACGGGATAGGCGCCGACCAACCCTGCCTACGTCTGTCAAGTGAAACAGCACATTCCAGGCGGACGCTGACAGCGGGCCGCTTCTTTCCAGCTTTTCCCAAAACCTTTTTTTTTTCCTCTCCCAACATCCATCCTTCTTGTCGGTCTCGACATCTTTTTCCCTGCAAAAACCCTCGCTCCGTTGACGACTTTGTCTGCATCCAGTGCCTGCCCCACCGACTGCGAGGGACGGGACCGCACGAGAGTAGCGGGTCCAGTCTCCATAAAAAATTCTCCACTTTCAAGGGCCCTTTTGACGAACCATTCCCCGGCCCTCGCAACCCCAGAGCACGAAACAAAGACTCGCTCTCTGCTGCTCACACACTGGGTCCCGCTCGCCGACCGACAGCACCCACCCTTTCATCCTCCACCACCCATCCACCCGTTCACCACCACAATCAGTCCTCGTTATCCTCTTCATCCACCACCACCACTTTCATCACATCATAGCAATTGGCCGACTTCCTCGATCACTCATCGGGGTTTTGTCGCCAACGCTAGTCTTTTTCTTCATCGTGTATTGCTCAATTGGAGAGGAGCGCACAGAACTCACAAGACTCACGGCCCCCTTCGCAGTGCGACCGTAGACGTGGACTCCCGACACAATCCCACACTCCCACACCCCTTGTGTACCCGCTCCTTCACCATCATCGCATTGCGCGCATCTGTCTTTCGCTGCCGAGTCTCCAAACCACGAAAGAAGCCGTCTTCGTCATCAATCTGGTGGCAGACAGCGCGTCGCCAGCGTCGACTCCCCATCGCCGCCGGCTCCTCGACAGCGAAACAGGGCCTCGGGCCTGCCGACCTGACCTTTTTTTCCCCCCCTGATTATCATATCAAATAGCTTACCATGGCAACCATGCTCGGTGCCTCGTCGAGAGCTTCAACCGCTTCTACATCGTCGTTCCAGCCGATATCCCGTCAGAACACCATGTCGTCCTATGACGGTTCGCGGTCCGCCCGCCAGTCGAAGCGGTACTCCATGTCCGCTCTGTACATGTCGATGTCGGCCAACGACACCGATCTGGTGATTGAGGATGATTTGGCCAGAGGTGAGTTGATGCGAGGAACTGAGAGGTTATGGATGGCTGACTGTCTGCAGCGCAAAAACAACTACGCGATCTCAAGGCCAAGATCTCTTCGCAATCGAAAAAGAACTTTGTCCTCGAAAAGGATGTGCGCTACCTCGACTCGCGCATTGCTCTGCTGATTCAGAACCGCATGGCTCTGGAGGAGGTAAATGCTACAAATCTTAACGGTTTTGTGGACGGTCTAACGTGTCTAGCAAAATGAAATGGCCAGCCATCTCGAAGACGCCGGCGAAGTGCAGGAGGGATCCTTCCCTAGCGACGAGAAGACGCAGAAATACGGAAACTTGATGTTCCTGCTCCAGTCTGAGCCTCGCCACATTGCTCACCTCTGCCGCCTAGTCTCGATGGCTGAGATCGACTCGCTTCTCCAGACCGTCATGTTTACCATCTACGGCAACCAATACGAGAGCCGTGAAGAGCATCTGCTTCTCACCATGTTCCAGGTGCGTCTGCTCGCTTGGTGAGGCGATGGCAATGCTGACATCTCCACAGTCCGTTCTTACCTACCAGTTCGATACCACTCCCGAGTACACGTCCCTTCTCCGTGCGAATACCCCTGTTTCCCGTATGATGACGACCTATACCCGCCGCGGCCCCGGCCAGACCTTCTTGAAGCACGTTCTGGCGGACCGGATCAACAGCCTGATTGAACTCGAGGACCTCGACCTGGAGATCAACCCGCTCAAGGTGTACGAGCGCATGCTGGAGCAGATCGAGCAAGATACTGGCAGCATACCCGCCTCGATGCCCCGCGGCATCACCCAGGAGCAGGCTGCCGAGAACCCCCAGGTCCAGGCGATCATCGAGCCGCGTCTGACAATGCTCATGGAACTCGCCAACGGCTTCTTGACTACGATCATCGATGGCCTCGAGGAGACGCCCTATGGCATCCGCTGGATCTGCAAGCAGATTCGCAGTCTCGCCAAGCGCAAGTATCCCGATGCCAACGACCAGGTTATCTGCACGCTCATCGGCGGCTTCTTCTTCCTCCGCTTCATCAACCCGGCCATCGTCACCCCGAAGTCCTACATGCTCATCGACGGCACTCCGGCCGAAAAGCCGCGCAGAACTCTTACCCTGATTGCCAAGATGCTGCAGAACCTGGCCAACAAGCCGTCGTACGCGAAGGAGCCCTACATGGCCAAGCTGCAGCCCTTCATCTACCAAAACCGCGACCGCGTCAACAAGTTCATGCTCGATCTGTGCGAAGTGCAGGATTTCTATGAGAGCCTCGAGATGGACAACTACGTGGCCCTGTCCAAGAAGGACCTTGAGCTGTCCATCACGATCAACGAAATCTACTCGATGCACCAGCTGATCGAGAAACACTCGGCCGAGCTGTGCAAGGACGAGAATTCGCACCTTTCGATCATCATGGCCGAGCTGGGCCCCGCGCCGGCGCTCGTTCCACGCAAGGAGAACCGCGTCATTACCCTGCCGCTTTTCAGCAAGTGGGAGACGGCCATCGACGACCTGACCGCCGCGCTGGACATCACTCAGGAGGAAGTGTACTTTATGGAAGCCAAGTCCACCTTCGTGCAGATCCTGCGCGCGATCCCGGCCAACTCGGCCGTGGCTAAGCGGCCGTTGCGTCTTGAGCGCGTCGCCGACGCGGCCGCGACCTCCAAGAACGATGCGGTCATGGTGCGCAAGGGCATCCGCGCCATGGAGCTGCTCAGCCAACTGCAGGAGATGGGTGTCATCAACAAGAACGACGGATTTGCCCTGCTGCGCGATGAGGTCGAGCAGGAGCTTCTGCACCTCGGCTCGCTCAAGGAGAGCGTGCTGGCCGAGATCAAGAAGCTCGAAGAGGTCTACAAGACAATCCGCGACCACAACGCCTACCTCGTCAGCCAGCTCGAGACGTACAAGAGCTACCTGCACAACGTGCGCTCGCAGAGCGAGGGCAACCGCCGCAAGCAGCAGAAGCATCAGGTCTTGGGACCGTACAAATTCACGCACCAGCAGCTCGAACGCGAGGGCGTCATTGCCAAGAGCAATGTGCCGGATAACCGGAGAGCAAACATCTACTTCAATTTTACCAGTCCGTTGCCGGGGACTTTCGTGATCTCGTTGCATTATAGGGGTACGTTTGGTAGTAGTGGTTCGCCGTCGTTTCCCGTTGTCGTTCGCCATGTGCTAACCGACGCAGGACGCAACCGTGGCCTCCTTGAGCTAGACCTTAAGCTTGATGACCTTCTCGAGATGCAACGCGACGGCCAGGAAACTCTCGATCTTGAATATGTCCAGTTCAATGTTTCCAAGGTGCTGGCGCTGCTTAATAAGAGGTTTGCGCGGAAAAAAGGGTGGTAGACTGCCCTGTCATGGCTGTTCCCATCACCTCTTTTCCTCTTCTCGATACCTCCTGCCTCCTTCGTCTTCTCTCAATGGCTACGTGGGGCTGGCTGGTCAACTGGGCGGTTTTCGGTACGGTAATGGCGTCTTGGGTTGCTTCAATCTCACAGTGTCTGGGTAATGTCCCTTTTTTTTGGTTGTTCCTCCTCGTCGCGTTGGGTCGGGCTTGCTGGACTGGGCTGGGTTTGCTTTGTACGATCTGGGCGCTCGGGTGCGGTCTCTGCGGGTGATTTTGTTGTGTGTGTCTGTGGGTGTTTGGATCCGTTGTGTCGCGTGGGTGTGATGTCGGTATGGATGGATAACGTTATGAGCGTGCTTTTTTCATTGCCTTTCCTTCAAGTTACCCCTACTTACCTATCTACCATCTACCAATTCCCTTAATTATCCTTCTCCCTTGTCATTTACCCCCCCCCCTCCGGTACCTTTATTTATTTCATCGGTTATATTACCGCCATATCCTTCTATCTGATACGAACTAGCGCGACGGGTTGGGTGTTTGTTGGAGTTGGCTTCGTTTTTTTTTTTTTTGGATCATACTCCATTTTGGTTACAGCGCACGGGTTGGACTTGGAGATGAGGGGATTACCTTCTTACACTCACTGTAATGTCTCTTTTGACTTTTGGTTATTGCCTGGGTCGTTGTTGGTGTGTGGGAAAGCTATGTACTCCGATGGTTGGAGAAGAAAGGTTTACTTGTGTTGACTCGTTGACTTGTGCCTTGTTCTGGTTGCAAACTCTTGGTTTTTTTTTTTTTCCCTTGCGCATTTCCCCTCTTATTATCTTTCCAAGTTTTTGGCTTTCCTGTTGTTTTTTTTTTGTTGTGTGTGTGTGTGTATGGTATGACCTCTATCTTGATACCACTCTGTCCTGTATTCTTACGTAAAGTTAACGCAAAGTTTGGGTTTCGAGGTTTTCGGGCTTCAGCTTGGGTCGATCGTGCTACTGGTGATGGACTATGTGACGGCATGGTGAGTGGAGCTGGGTGATCTTCGTGGTTGTTTAATGTATCTTATATACCCTCATTGTATTGTGCTACCGTTGTGTTTATTTCCAAGTCTTGATATACACAAAACTGTCTGTTCTTATTACATGAACTCAAAACAAAACAAAAAAGTAAAACGAAACTGCAGGATCCAGTGACTCCTACCTTATCTATCCTAGCTTGTCAAACGATACCCCTACTCTCTTCCCGACTATACACAACTATACACCTAACCAATCACATCCGTCATCTCCACCGGCGACTCGCTCCTCCGCTTCCACAACCCCGTATGGGGCCACACCCAATTCTTCAGCAACGGCGGATCGACACCATTCTCAAACGCCTCGTTCCTCGCCTTGATCTGCGCCGACTTGAGCGCATCCCTAGCTGCCGCACCCCGATTCTTCAGCCTCGGCACGTGATCAATCGCCTCAATGGCCAGACTGAACCGATCCGTGCCATTACGAATCGCCAGCTCCAGCGGCGTGTCGATGTTGCCCTTCTCGCGGTACCCGCGCACGTGCAGGTTCTGGTTCGCGCCGGGGCGCTTGGACGCCAGGCGGTACACGAGCCAGGGGTAGCTGTGGAAGTTGAAGATGATGGGCTTGTCGGCTGTGAAGAGGGAAACCCATTCCTCGTCGGTCAGGCCGTGCGGGTGGTCCGTGTAAGGGATGAGCTTGAAGAGGTCGACGACGTTGATGAAGCGGATCTTGAGGTCGGGGAAGTGGGAGAGGAGGAGGTCGACTGCGGCGAGGGATTCTTGTGTGCTGATGTCGCCGCACGAGGCCATCACCACGTCCGGCTCGCCTCCCTGATCGGTGCTGAACTGCGGCCAGATGCCGATGCCCTTGGTGCAGTGTACGATTGCGTCGTCCATAGAGAGGAATTGCAGGTGTTCTTGCTTGTCGGCGACGATCACGTTGACGTAGTTGGAGGAGCGCAGGCAGTGGTCCATGCAGGAGAGCAGGCAATTGCCGTCCGGGGGCAGGTAGATGCGGACGACCTCGGGGGATTTATTGGCGACGACGTCGAGGAATCCGGGGTCCTGGTGTGTGAAGCCGTTGTGGTCTTGGCGCCAGACGACGGCGGTTAGGAGGATGTTAAGAGAGGAGATTTTCGCGCGCCAGGGGACTTCGAGGGATTTTTCGAGCCATTTGCAGTGCTTCGGGGGGTGTTAGCGGTGATGATAAATAAAGGGTGGATAGTAGGAAGTGAGGGAAACGTACCTGATTCACCATCGAATCAATGACATGGATGAACGGCTCGTAGCTGTTAAGCAAGCCGTGACGGCCGGTCAGAAGATAGCCCTCAAGCCAGCCCTCGCAGGTATGCTCCGAGAGCATCTCCATGACACGGCCTTCCGTCGCGAGATTGCCGCCGTTCTCGTCCTCCTCAAAGTACTCGCCCAGCCAGACCTTCTTGCCCGCCTCATAGACGCTAGCCAGCTTGTTCGACTCGGTCTCATCAGGGCCAAACAGCCGGAAGTTGTCCTGGTTCATGGTCATGATGTCGCGAAGGAACCGTGCCATGTTCGCCATGCTGAACCCGTTGGTCCCAGCTGGCCGATCGACCTTGAGCGCGTACTTCCGGAAGTCGGGCATCTTCAACGGCTTGCGCAGCAGCCCTCCGTTCGCGACCGGGTTGGCGCTCATCCGGCGCACGCCGGTCGGAGCCAGGTCCCTCAGCTCGGGCAGCAGCTTGCCATCCGGGAACAGCCGATCTGGCTCGTAGCTGCGCATCCACTGCTCCAGCAGCTGCAGATGCTCCTCGTTCTCGTGGACGTCGGTGATGGGTACCTGGTGCGACCGCCAGTAGCCCTCGAGATATTTGTCGTCGACCTTGCGCGGGCCAGTCCAGCCCTTTGGAGTGCGCAAGATAATGACAGGCCACCTCGGCCGGAAGGCCTTGCCTGATTCGCGTGCCTGCTGCTGGAAGCGGCGGATCTCAAGCACGGCATGCTCAAGTGTCGCAGCCATGGCTTGGTGCATAGTCTCGATGTCGTCACCTTCGACGAAGTACGGCTGATAGCCGTAACCGATGAAAAGGCTCTCGAGTTCTTTGTGGCTGATACGGGCCAGGATGGTAGGGTTATTGATCTTGTAGCCATTGAGGTGCAGCACCGGCAGGACGGCGCCGTCGGTGATGGGGTTGAGGAACTTGGTGCTGTGCCAGGAGGTGGCCAGCGGGCCGGTCTCGGCTTCACCATCGCCAACCATCGTCAGGGCGATCAGGTTGGGGTTGTCGAAGACCGCGCCGAAGGCATGGGATAGCGAGTAGCCCAGCTCGCCGCCCTCGTGGATACTGCCAGGCGTTTCAGGGGTTGCGTGCGAGCCTATGCCGCCAGGGAAGGAGAACTGCTTGAAGAACTTCTGCAGGCCTTCCTCGTCCTCGGAGCACTCAGGGTAGACCTCGGAGTAGGTTCCCTCAAGGTAGGCCTGGGACAGGACGGCAGGAGCGCCATGGCCTGGGCCGGAGATGAAGATGGCGTCGAGGTCGTACTTCTTGATCAGGCGGTTGAAGTGCATGTAGGTGAAGATTTGGCCAGGGCACGAGCCGAAGTGGCCCAACAGACGAGCCTTGAGGTGTTCTTTGGATAGGGGCTCCTTGAGAAGGGGATTCTGACGCAGATAGATCATGCCCAGACTCAGATACAAGCTGGCCTTGAACCAGTCGTTGTACTTCTTGAGCTCCTCATCAGTGAGGGGCTCCCCCTGGATAGTCGAGCGGGCTGGGCCATAGGGGCTGATGCTCTCAACTTGGCTGGACTCGATTGAGTCGCCCATCGTGCTCTCAGCGGTGGTTGTGCTCAGTCGAATGATATAAACAAAGAGTGCTGTTGATGCAATTGCCAACTTCTGGCACCTTGATGGTTGCCAAAGTGTCTGGTCACAAGGCGCTCTGGGAGGATCACGTCTTCGCCCATTTTATATTTGTGACTCCCATATATTTCTGGCATCACCATCTCCCACGAGCATCACCATGACCTGACATACGTCAAGCGAGAAATTTGCATTCCAATCCGACCTCAGGCGAGCGCCGCGGTGACACATTCTCGAATACCACAGCAGTTGTGCGCTTGTGGCATGCAGGTTACGCAAATACCTGTTTCTGCCGTCCGCGATAGCCATTACGCATGTTGTTGTTCGAGGGGACATGCAGCCCGGCAACGAGTCCAGGCGATACCGATGCAACCGAGCGACCCTGGAAAGGTGACACCTCGATGCTGGTCGGGATGGGATTGGCCCGCTCAGGAACCGAGAAGGGAGGTTCAGACCGTGCAGAACTGGTGGTCTGATATTGCTGTCATCGCGGGCGCGGCAGGCCCTGCGCCTGCTCCGGTGGCCAATCAGCGATGTAACGCTCCCCTCCATAACCTGACAGCAGCGTCCTGTCCCGCTTCTCTATGCTTCCGTCGCTCCCTCCAGCGATCGAGAACCAAATGACGTCGATCAACGGAGTCGACGTGCATCTGCAGTGCTGAAGTAGGGCCTAGTGCTTGCGTGACAGGTTCGGCGGAGTCGAAGGTTTTGACCTTCATCAAGAAAGTTGCTGATCTAAGCCTCGACAAGAATGATAGCGATTAACGACTGCCGCATTGAGTTTTGTCAGAGTCTCTCGTGAGAAAAGTCGGTCAGTGCCCAATATTATCCTGTGCACGCAATCGCCATGTCACATTTTTCTTCTAATGTTCTGATATCAGGTGAACGAGGACGACCCGGAAGCCAGATACTGGGCAGCATTTTCAAATGTCAGAAGGTCTAGGGTTTTCTCGAACAGCCCCTACAGACCAACGGCGGGCCAGTAAGGTGCATCGGTAGCGGCCGCTCAACAGAGGGGCGCTCCGCAATGGTCGACACCTCGTGTTGGCTGCAGAAAGAGCTGTTCTGTGCTGCCCGCCACACCTAGGGCTGGAAGTAGTTGTCAAGCATCACACCACCCACCGTTCTTTGATGTTGGGCTCCTCAGCCGCATTCATGATAGACATTTGTCGTCAGTTGTCAACTTCACCACCCAGTAAACGATGAGGTCACCCCAACCCAATCTTTTGGGCTCGGCAGCCTGCCACCAATGCCATCGGGCCGTCTCTTCCATCTTTATCACCTCGTCCATCCGATCGCCTGACGTGGGGGTCACCGACTTTTGCCTCAAGACTCAAACCTTATCAGAGGTTAGAACTTGGCCATCCCCTTTGACGACGACAACATCATCATACTCACGAAACTGTGAAGCGTCCCGCCGCACCATCGCCCATCAACCCGGCGTTGCAACTAGCGACCCGACCAACACCTAGCCTCAGCCCTCTAGGCGCCGCCCATCCTGCTCAACAGGGAGAGCCTGAGACTCTTCAAAGATCTTCCTCATCTCGAAACTGCGACCTCCAATGCTGGCTCAATCCCCATCGACGATCTAGCTGCCCTTTTGAATGATTGTGACCAACAAGGAGTCTGCCAAAAAAGCAAAAAGCTCGACATTTTGGTGACAGCCAATGTGTAACCATAGGGTGCTCACGTGAGCTCAGGCTTCAGCCACAATAGCCACACTCAGATCGGGACCTATACGCCAAGCTTTGCCAAGCTTCGCGATCTTCGGGCCTAGCAGCCGATCGCCGACAGCCCTAACCCTGGTAATACCAGCTCTGCGGAACAGCCGCATGATCAGGCTGCATGATAAAGCCACAGTCAAGGACCAGATTCTTTCGGAGATTTTGCATCAACGTAGCACAATGCCGATGCAAGCACGAAACCTTGTGCTTCAATTCATTTGTTTTCAGTCAGATAGCCCGTGTAAATTACCAGCAAGTTTTGTGTGGCTCTTAGCCCTAGCTCTTTCGCCGTTGCCTGTCTCCACCCAGCAAGCTTACAGTTCCTCACTTTTGCCGTTTACGGCACACAGCTCACCAGTGATTGGCTGCAACCTTGCTTCACCCCCACGGGTACGTCATTGTGACGCCAACACTAGATGACGTTGCCAAACCACCCTGCCGCCATGTTACGCTGGGCTTTCGCTCACCTACTTCTGCACAAGCCAACGAATGCTGAAGGAAGGGACTGAAAACGAGGATATCGCATCATTGACAGGGTCGAGTAGTTGTTGTTTCGGGATATAATATCTGAAACGTGCTTCTTGGCTCGTGGCAAGGCAAAACATGAACTGCTTGGTATGATTGCGGGCAAAATGCTCCGGAGCCGGACTGAAACGGCCAGTTTTGCATACGAGCTTGAAGGCCCAAAATTCAGCTGTGAACTCGCACCACAATAGCCGCTAGATGGCACCAGCCGTTGTACCCCTTCAGCCTTTCTTCAAGGCCATTGTCGCCGTAGGAAACACCTACGTGATCCAACGGACCAAATCTTCCACAGCTTACCCAAACCGACGTCAAGTTGCGCGCCATAACCCATCGATAAGGCCTGCATGGATGGCTCGTTCCCCCTCCACAAATGAGGAACTCTCCTACCTGGCGGCGACTGGGCCCCTGACGTAACAGAGGAGGCACATGGCCCAGATCGAGATCTCAACCTGCTGTCGCGTCACTTGCCCCTCGCAGAATGAACATTACACAGCCGGCGGCGATGAGAATGCAGATAGATTTGAAACGCCAGCTATCAGTTTGTCACATTCAGTCACTCAACTTCCCTTGCTACCAGTCAGAATAGACGTAACATCCATAAATTGGACCTTGTTTCGAGATTCTGGTGCACATTTGTTGAAATTGTCCCACTCATCGACCACCAAGCTCACGGAAGCAGCTCAGACGACGCCATCAATCGTCAAGCGCTCCTAATGGCCTCGACCACAATGGACACAGACGCCAAAGACCCCGAACAATCCCCTGGCCGCCCTGTGAAAAAGGCACGTCATGTCCCTCCCGTGAGCCTCCCCCCAAATTTACCCTCGCTGACTACCGTTGCCTCACCCCCTCCTCAAGACCCAGCGTAATCTCAAAAACGTCGAGCGCGCCTTCATCGCGGCCTCACGCCGCACCGACCGCGACCCGGAGGCCCGCCTGCACTCGGCCCGTCGCGCGTCCAAGATCCATAAGCAGCGTACTGGCAAGAGCCTCAAGATCTCGCGTGACATTGTCATGCGCGAGGAGATGTACGAAGAAGAGGATGATGACCTGCCGCGGAGCTTTCGGGCGGCTGCCGCTTTAGGGCTAGGACTGGGGATTGGTTCGCATTTTGGGGTCGGGGAGCTGCTGTCGACGTCGTCAGCGGGAGCTGGGGGAGGGACAGTGGCGGGGATGAAGTATGCTGGTAGAGCCAGTACGGGGGGTATTGATTTGGCGAGGATCGCGCACCATGCGGAGATTGAGAGGCGGTTTGCGGAGCAGTTCCCAAATTTGCAGCTTTCGTCAAGGAGATTGCCCGGACAGATGCTCCCGCAGCAGTCCTTGGGATTTCATCACCATCATCGGCTGCATCAAGCTGCTGCCGCGGCGGTTATGCCGCAGCTAAGCCAGCAAAGTACCCAGGGGTCCACGGCAGCGACTCTTCCTACTGCATACCCCCTTGCGCCGACCCCTCAGTCGCGTCCTGTATCGCCTACCGCGCGGCCGAGCTCTCGGAGAGCCAGCGTTAACTCTAACACGGTCTCGGGATCAGCGTCGGCCTCTTCCACTTCAGCCTTGACCTCATCATCGGCCACCTCGCAGTCCAGCTCCAAGATTGCCGACTCGTCTCAGGGATCCACCGCCTCAGCACCTCGCCGCTGGACAGTCGCCGGCATTCTCAGCGAGACCAACCCCGCAACAGACCTCAATCCCACACTCAGCGCAAGCATGGTGCCAGGACTAGAACTACTCCCTCCAACCGACCCGTCTCTTCTCGTGTGGGATGCTTCTGCGGGAGGGGAGTTACCTGCCTCGGGCGTCCCCCCAGCTGAGCCCAGAAGCGGCGAGCAAAACTCCCAAGACCAGGCCCCATCCTCCAACAACCTCCCTCTAAGCATGAATCTCTCCGACTCCGACGTCCTAGCCAGCCTTGTCAGCGCTGTCCTTGCCAGTCCTAACCTCGCCTCCCTCGACACCACGGTCCCAGCCACAGCCTACACCTTCTCCCCTGATCCAGCAGGCGGGCCCTGCATGCAGTCCCTTCAGCCGTCGCTCATCTCCAACACGGACTCTTCCTCGCCGCAATGGTGGGACGACGCTGCCGCTGCCGCCATGGCTCGCGAATTGTTGCAGTTTGGCAGCGGGACGGGAGATCTCGAAAATAGCAACAACAGCAACGGCCAACCGCCACAGCAGCAGCGCGAAGGAAGCGATGCAGGGAGTGCAGGAGGGGCAGATGGGAAGTGTCACGGGGCTGGGGCGTGCGATTTTGGGGGGTTTTTGGATGCATTCTCGTTCGATGATGCGCCTGGGGGTAGTGCTGGGAATGGGGATGGCGTTGATGGCTTGCCAAAGAATCTGTCGTCATTTCATTGGGAAAATAAGGAGGCTGGTAGGGAGAAGACCCCTCGGTCGGTTGTGGCTTCGCCGAAGGGAGTAGGGGCGGGAACCGCGACGCCGAGTAATGATTCGTGGGCTGCTCTGGTCGATTTCGATGGTATTGAGGGAGGAGGGGATGTTAAGGGTGAGGGAGGGTCGAAGGAAGAGGACAAGAGATCAGAGGCTATATCGGCTGCCGGGAGAAGCGAAATCGTGGTTGCCACGGAAGTAGTCACGGCGCAGGTTTAGAGGGTTCAGGAATGGAAAGACGATTGGTTGAGGTGCGTCTTACCAAAATTATCGAATTAGAGTCGGATGCGAAGCAGTTAGTGACGAAGATGCTTTGTACTGGCTGTGACTGACGAAACGGACAAAGTTTCTGATCGCGAGGGAGCAGGGGAAAGGAGCAAAAAGCGCTCGTAGATGTATCTGAAACTGAGACTGGGCAGACTTAGAATTCTGCAGTAACAGGCAGATCTCAATGCTACGCTATTATTGAGGATAATATGCACCTCCATCTGATCCATGAGATCACCACCCCTGTCGAGGACGTCAAAGGATAGGTGCTCGGAGTTGTGCTGACCAGCACATGTGGGCACTGATCCGGTAAAGCAGACATGAGCACGGATCAACTCTTATTGAAGACTACTTCGGACGTTCGACGCGTGCATTCCTTTTAGGGCCCCTCCCCCCCCCCCTTCCCGGGGTCACTGCAGACCCGAATACACGATAACAGCAACCAATACGGAGTGTTGTGCGGACTACCTCCTAGAAGCTGTACCTACTTGAGATGCCCTAGCCCACCATGGACGAAAATACGCGTCCCAACCACTATGTCGTTGTTATGTTTGTTTTCAGTGGCAAAATCATGATTTTACGCTCATCGGTGCAGGAGGGCTGAGGCCCCTCTTAGTAAATCCAATTCTTGCTGAAGGATGCATAGAACGAGTCCATGATTTCAGCATGGATGCCTGCTCAGTGCCGGCATTCGATCTTATTTAACATGTAATCCCATCATCTGTAGACGGGACTCGTGCCGTCAGGCAGGTTGATTCCACGACAGAGGAGTTTGTCAAGGACATCCTGGAAGTCATTAAGGAGACGTAAGAGATTGTCCCGGCTTTTGTGCAAGTTGTGCTTGAGCTCCGTCGAATATATGTAGTTCACCTACTTGGTCATCGATTTGAACAGCTCCGCCTGGTCTTGTGAGGACTCCTTCGGGAGTTGTTCCGAAAACACCGCAAACTTGTCATAGGCAATTTTGGAGTTCTCTATTTTTAGAGGAGACATCGGCCTGAACAGGCCATTTTTCGACATTTTTACCCTTATATCGTCTTTCTCGGCATTCGGTTTTGCTCATGGCTTGTGGCTCTTCGTTTATCACCACAAACTAGCCGAGCCCGACTTTTTACGACGTCTTGTCTTCCAGAGAATTTCGCCTTTTCATGTTTAACGTGGCCTGTTACGAGGTTGGGAAGGAGAAAACTAGGTGGTATTAGATGTGTAGGATGAAGGGAGCACCCTCACTTCCCACCAGGTGTGCTACATACCTGGCAAGCGCAACGCAGAGGTCAGGGGACTGATCCGCTACCTTTTTGAGCTCCAAGAAGCTAACAATGCAGTCTCCGGCTCTCTCTTGGCGCCGATCATGGTGATGAAAGACCTTGCTACGCTCTATCATCCGTTGTCATTGCCTCGGCTACACGTACTGACTCATATCCCGATACTCACTACAAGACTGTCTCCTTAATATTAAAAACTACCGTAGCTAAACTGCGCAGCAGTCTCCTTGATAATGGGTTTCACGGATAGCTGCACGAGGTCAGATATCGACCTTGCAACATTGGGTGGTCAGATGGCCCTGGCCTTTATCCACCTATATCCAGGACCGACTTATATTTTTGCCAAGAAGTTAAAGTTGATAAGACAGCTCAAAACATTCAAAGGGTCCCTTTTGGAAGCCGCTGTTGCCGAGGCACAGTCATGGGCTGTGTGCTGTTTACTTGAAGGAAAAAATCAGCGAAAAAACGGAGGGCAAGTTTACGGAATGGGTATTTTACACCCGGGGCAGCCAATGGTATGAAACGGGAAAGTGGGGACCGCCGCTCGGGTACTGTTCCCGGCCAGCTCGACCCACAAATGTTGCCATTGTTTTGCTGTAAAATTCCGATTTATCGTTATCAAACCAAAACCAAACTTTTGCCTTATTTTTGGCAAACACATTGATGAGAGTGTGTTGACTTGGCAATCTCTCTATGCGCAAGTTTATTAAATGACAACTTAGTAAATGGCAAGTTATTCAGATTCTAGTAAGGCTTTTATGCTAAGAATCGTCACAAGGTAAGGCTATGGCGGAATGGCCAATCATCAAACAGGTTTGCGCGTCCACATGCGCGTTAACTAATTACCCTCGCGTTAGTTAAGTGGCTGGAATCTTGATAATAATCAAGCAGCTGAACAGCCCTATGTGCCAGACGTGTCTGACAATGAAGAGCCACTTTCTCCGTCGCGCAACAGGCGCAGGACTAACCGACAAGTTCGGGAAAATCAAGAACTTCTGCGGGCATCCGCTCGAGTCGGCGGTTCTCAGCTGGCAAGCAAAATAAGGCGAAGGAGGGGAAAGGTGGTACAGCTCTCCAACAAAGACACTAAGCGTGTTGCAATTATTACTGACACTCCGGCCGAGCGACATCCTGACTGCAATCTTTATCCGTCCCTTTGGACAGGAAATGACCAGCGACAAGCAACAGTCTCAAAGAGCCGTTATGGACTGACGATGGATAGGGACTCCCTTGAAGCTCATACAGGTGTCATTGGCCCCGAATGCAAAATAAACCGGATGAGCAAGCTTACCTCGAGATGCGCTCGACAGTTTCAAACCTGGACACGCTGCATCAACCTCCTCTTTTGCCTTCTCCTCTGGGATCTACCGTCGCCAGCTTCGGCTCTGAGTCAGACACAGCATATTACTCTTTCCCTAACCATGCATCAACCGTCCCAACAGATGGGAGTCGGACTTCGATATGGAATGGCTGGATTGAGGAGGAAATACTATATGTCACAGCTGGACCTCCCCACCTGGATGAGGACTGCAATGCCCGCAGAAGGCAAGAAACTCCGGGAAGTCCCCTATGCAGTGGAGTGTCCCGATCATTGCCCCGAACGGGGTCATTTGACCTCAGACTCTGCAAGCCACAAAGTTCTCTGTGGTGGCCGGCAACATGCCATGTTCCAAGTAGCTGAAATGCCTCTAATGTGAGAGGAACTGAAACCCAGTGGACAGGTTCCATTTCAGTCAAGATTATCCCAAGAAGTGATGCTGGCAAAACAAGTGCGCGAGAGAATCTAGAGTGCATTGCACTGAACACCTGAAGCACTGTGGTGCCCATAAGGGATACATATTGCTCCTGCATCCCAGGGCCTAGGATCTAGTTCCTTGCTAATACGTCACAGGGAGGAACCAGGCGGGTGGTTCATGGTTGAAGGACAATGGAACATTGGCGTCGATATCTCCTCCTATTGTATGCAGTTAATCGTCCAATAAAGGTCTTTCATCAGCGGTGTCCCTATGAGTATACATCGATGTATGGTGTTGTGCAGTCAGACGAGAAAAAAGAACCTAGTTGAACAATAAGTGATTGTAGAGTCTATTGTTGGCCCTATGCTAAAAGCCAAACTTTAAGTTCATCTCACAGGTAAGTAGAGTATGCACCTTCTTTGACAGGATTGTACGAATGAACTCTAGCCTTGTGTAATAAACATATAACCTAGGTTCCCTTACATAATGCCTCATGGTATGAATGCATGACCAAACATTTAAAAGAAGAACAAAAATGACACAAGCGAGAGAGAGGAGGGGGGGGGGTGGGGGGCAGAAAAAAGGTAAAGTAAGAAAACAGAGGAAGTCAGAAAGAAACGGGACGATTGCACCGCTCTTAACTGGACGTCGAACACAGCGTCAGACTATACTAAAGGCAACCTTCTGATCATGACAGGTACTGACCTGACTTTCAGGGGTATCGTAAAAGTGATCAGTATGAACAGTCACTATGAGCATGGCTCAAGATGCAGTAAGATCTTGAACTTTCTGAGTAACCTTAGTAGTGGCAGCAGATTGCAGAGCTTGCGTCGCCCCAGTTGCTTATGTTAGAGACGGAAGGTAAATTCTGTCATTTCATATCCAGAGCGACCCATTTTGGCAGATTACTCCGATGGGAATATGGGTGTGGGATCCCTGTTTAGGGTATTCTCCAGCTAGCTGACTTGTTGTATCAGGCAATAAACATGGTGCCAAATAGTAAAAAGACTGAGAGTTGAGAGAGGGAAGGCAGCGCGACCGAAATCTGTGCCATAATGCGTTGGCCAGTCTTCCGTACGGAAGTGAACGCATACCTGCTATCCTCAAGAATTTCTTCCAATGTCTGCAGTTAGTTATCGGTTGGGATGGGCAAAGCTGATAAGAGAGATGAAGGTAGAGGTTTTCAACACTTGAGACAACGACCGGCAAAAGAAGAGTAGTGTTACTTCGAAGGAGAGGACATGTTCATCAAGGCGGTGTACTTTGTTAAATAAAGAGGAGCACCCTGGCATGGTCACTTGGGAAGATTACTGGTTCTCCTATGGACAACATTTACCCCCCTCCCTCCCTCCTTTTGCGATCAACCGCTAACACTGTTCCACATGGTGAGTTGATGATCTGCTGCATCGCGCTTTGCCTTTGGATGCCAATACTGCGGACAGTTAGTGGCCTACAAAAAGATACCGTATCTATTCACAAAAAGCTGGAAATCCTCTACATGGATAGTTTCCCCTTTACGACGGACAGACCAACTGGCACGTGAGAGAAGACTATGTGTGTACATCGTCGAGGATTTGGACTACACCTAGAAGCAAACTCTATTTTGGATATGGTAAATTCTTGACACCTCTTTAGTCAATTATGAACCTGTTCATTCGTGCAGAAGGTTTCCATCATTTGCGGATAGATACCGTGGAGCGTGATACCAGTCAATGTAAATGTGTTTTTAGTGTAATGCCCGGAGGTTCTAGTTTTACGTGGTTTGGGATTACTTCTTGGCGTTCCACATTCCCGGTCCGTATGTAGATCAGCCAGCATCCGAACCGTTCGGATGTGACGCCAAGAAGATGTTTGACGAATCGGAAATATATCCTTTGAAAAAAAATTTTCAGCCAAGCTTTTTTAAATCTTACTCCAGGGTGCGTCTGATCTTTCGGTGTCTTCGTTTTGGGCTGTGTCGCCTGAAATAGCGACGTCGTGGCCTGGCCTTGCTCAGATACTCTTGACAGCTACTTAGACAAGCATCTGTTCGCAATAGACCAAACGCTGCTAAAAGAGTCTGGAGTATTGCTTTGGACCGGGTGTCTAGCCGTAACGGGCGAGGGTTAAATGTGAGCTTTGCAGCGAGTGGCTCAAAACGCGGTCCATGTATAGTAGCTCTATACCAACTGTACCCTCGGAAAATATTACGGGCGAAGCTCCTAACACATGACAATGAGCTTGATTACGCAACCAGAAGATTGTTGTTTTGGCGACAAGAAACGACAGATAGCCGATACAGCAATGGGGTATCCTTCAGATTGTGTCATCCAGGGATGCGGGCCGGTATCAGCGCCATAGCTTAGACGGCTGCACTGAGGATGGGCTCCGCTACAATGCTACCACATGTGGGCGTTTGATTAATTTACTTAAGCTCGCCTCAGAGAGGTAAGTGATGGGTTGAAACAACTAAGCTGTTATCTCAATTAAGTATATATCGCCCCGTTAATTGGTCAAACAGGTTGTAACGTCCACGTGCTCAGAAGACCAAGGGCAGATCAGTTGGCCTGGTCACAAGAGTGGATCATCACTTATGCGGGGCAACATCCCTCTAAGTTCTGATCAGGGACTGGCTCTCTCACAGTGCGGAAAGCTGCAGCTGCCTTGCGCCAGCTTCCTACTCACAGTAGGGGCAAGGAATCTGAACTGCGAAGGTTGGCCGATCTGGAACAAATCTTTTATCTTCTATGAGTTCATAGTGATGCGCGGCCCATCAAGGTACCTAGGTATAAGTATTACTAATGGAGAGCCGCATTCCGTACATATGTCTGGTTGTCTTATGCGACACAGCTCCGTATGTCTCACAAAGCACTGTCAACTGCCCGCTCTTAATGGAACGATTGTGCGGCATAGTACCTCAATGCTTTTGATATACGCTGGTTATTCCATCACACAGTTGGTTGACCAGCGAGTTCTGCGAGGACTTTCTGCTAACCAGAGGATTTCTTCTCCTTTTTCTTGTCCTTTTCTCTCTTCTTCCGGTCTTCATCATTAGCCTGCTTCTCCTCTCCGTCCCTCGTGTCCGTGGACTTCTTCCGTTCGTCACTCTTCTTCTTCTTTTCCCGCTCCTTTTCTCCCGATTGGACTTTGTCCCTCTTTTCCTTCGCCTTCCCCTTCTCCTTACCCTTCCCCTCCTCCACAACCTCCTTCTTTTTCGGCACAGCCGCCACCCTCGCATCTTCCGGGTCCGTCTCCTTCGCCCAGCGCACCCATTCAGGCCGCCTATGACTCCATATATCACCCCGCCACGTGCGCCAAACGTTCCGTCCCAGCCAGGTAGACCGCAGCTCGCCTTGGCGTCGCTCCAGCTGCGCCATGATGTTTTCTTTGAGGTGGAACGGCACGATGGGGACAGCAGGCGTGCTGTTACTGTCCTTCTTGTTGCTGTTGTTGCCCTTCTTGTTCGCTTGCTGCTGTTCCTGCTGGGTCTCGTCCACGGTAACGCGGGAAGGCGTGGAGATGATGGCGTTGACGATGGCGCTGCTATGGGAAGAGGATGTGGCGATGTCGAAGATGTTCGGGACGAGGTTGGCGACGAGAAGCTTGTGGAAATGGGCTATTTGTGCCGGGGTAGACAGAGCCTTGGAAAGGATGGCTGCGGAGGCCGGGCAGGAAGTAGCAAGGCGAAGGAGATGCTCGGGGTTGAGGGAGAGGAGGGAAGTTTGGATGGCCTTAGACGGCTGGCCGGGGATAGAGAGGAGAGTAGAGACGATCTGACTGCCGTGAGTGATGAGCGCGTTGCGGTTCTTTGCGTCGGGTTGTTGGAACTTTTTGTCTTCCTGATGGCTGGGCTCTGGCTCATCGAGTAGACATAATTTCGGCACAATGTGCTTCCAGTCGTTGCCGCAGGCTTTTGTGAGAGCCTGCAGGAGTGTAGAAAGTTCAGCGGTAGCGCCGCGAACGTGGCACCTCTCAAAGAACGTCTTAATGACATTCAGACGGCCTCGTTCGAGATAGGTAGGAATTTCTGGCAAACATTTTTCGACCGCGCTGACGAGGTCATCCTTGCCCAGGCGTGTGAGCACCTTGATGGCCGGGTACGACGCGATGTCGTTGCGCAAGAAGCTCTGGATGCGTGGCCCGAAGACGTGATGGTTGAGACCTTTAAAGACTTTGCCCGGACAATGGGCGATGAGAGTCTCGAGGAGACGCGATCCGATCGGATCATAGATCATGCCGTTGACAAACTCACATGCTTGGGACTTTTCATCGCTGAGCGATGCTGGCGCGCCTGGTAATAGCCGTTCAAGAAGCGATGGCCGATTGTTCTGCTCATCCGCATCCTTATCCCCGTCCTTCTTCCCCTTCTTGTACTTGAGAAGCAAGGTCAGCTCCAGCTCTAGCAGAAGCTGCAATGTGGGGTTGCCGGTCGGGTGCTTTGCCAGAACGCGGAGCGCGGTCGCATCCATGGAAGCGGTTGAATCGGCAATAATTTTCTCGATGGCCGCAGTGAAAGATGCCGGCACCGGCCTAGGCTGCGATGTAAGCTCGCTAAGACTAGCGGCAGCACCTTCGACTGTGACGTGCTCTTTGTTTTTGCTCTGCAGCAAGGATTTGGTGCCTGCTTGGTCGAGGGGGCGGCCTGAGAGCACAACTAACAACACTCGGAGGGCGTGCGAGCCATAGCGATCGGAGAGCAGGAAGGACAGATGTTCTTCCAGCTCGTCGAGGGTGAGCAGGAACAAGTCCTCCATGGACGTCTTCATCGCTTCGGTCACTTCCGCAGGATCCTCAGCATCGGTCATCTCCACGTCGCCATTGGCTTCCTCAGATCCGCTCAACTCCTGGGTGACGACCGGGGCACTCATGAGGAACAGCTTCTCGCAGCAGTGGCTGGCGAAGCGATGGGTGATGAGAGTCATGAAGTGGCCAGCAAAGGCGCCAAACAACCGCTTTTTCTGGGCCGTGGACGACAGGAGAATCAGGCGCTCCATCAGGCGCGAGCATGACTGGCTGCTGGCGAGCTTTAGCTCTTTTCCGCGGGCTTCGCGGTACACATTCTGCAGAAAGAGAGCACGGTCTTCGGGCGTGGGGAAGTCGTTCAGCTCGAGCATCTCGTCGGCGTGGCGGAAGTATTCCTGTTCCTGATCCCCGAGCATACCAAAGAACTCGCGCTGGAAGTTGCCCGCACCGCGCGGGCCATTGCTGGAGTCGAAGTCATCGTCGAGCGGAATATAATCAGCGTTGGGATCGTAGGTGTTTTCGGCGTTGTCACGCTCAGCGCGGCGCTGGCGCTTTGCCTGACGCTCTTCCTCCTCGGCAAGCTCACGCTCGCGCTTCTTGGCGCGCTTCTCGTCACGGATCAATTGCCGCTTGGATTTCCTGTTTTTACCCATAATGCGCAGTCAATGTGTTGATGTCGAAAGAGGTGCAGTTGGGGGTCGAAGGCACGGAAGAGGTCCAGCAAAAATGTCCGTCTTATCTTATCTGATGCCATGCCCCGTGTGGGGCAATGTGGGGCTCCAACATGCATACAAAACCCTAACCCACAACATCAGACGACCCATCGTTTCTTCCGAGGGGTCGATCTCGATTAAATCAAGATCAAGGCCGACATAACTCTGACTTCAACTTGTCACTCAACCGTGTGACCGAATCCTTTACTTCCCATATGTCGCCCTTCAAGTTGAAATAAATACTGTCTAGTCGTTTCTACAATTTCAATAAGATCAACCAGGCATAGTACATAGTGCTCTTAGGGATATCCAATCATCCATCTCGATCTTTGACAAGATCTTGGACCAAAGCCGGCGGTTGCCTAAATCTTGATACCACATGCCAGTGATATGCGGGCAAATTTGAACCCCAAATCGACCAAGTGTAAAAATTCCCGGGTCATGTAAAGCCGGATAGAGCTTTGGTAACATCCAGGCTGTGTCAGTTGCCCTCTGTGTCCCGCAACCAACTGCCCGGTTTCTGGAACGTTGCAGCCGTTCCCGGTTTCCAATAACACGGTTCCTGTTACAACCGTTTCCTTGCGTGACTTGACCGACGCTGAGAAGGACCAATCACGACGGCGTTTCCTCCTCCCTCCTTTGTCTTGCTCACACCTGCCAAGCCACGCACAAAAGTGCCTGCTGACTTTTCAAACCGTCCAGAGAACCGCCATGCAAGCGCCAGCTGGGACTTCAATCCGCCATGGGTGGGGGATTATTCACCTATATAGAGGCAGATCTTGGCCGCCCTGACACTCGCGTGGTCAATCTATCCGGGAATCTCACATGTCGTCCCGACCCGAGCCCGCCATCCCTTATCACAACTGAGAACGACTCCCTCACGCCGCCAACATGGCAGACACCACTCGGCTAGAGCCAACACGCTTCCTTGCGTCCCAGCCTGGCGGCACTACTGCCGTCACTTACAGCTATACGGACATGCCGTGGCGGCTGATATTGTCAGACGCGTACTACTTCTTCCGCTATCTGTGGTCGCTGCCCTACGTGCTCTGGCCTCTGGTGCCGGCCGATTCCGAGGAGTTGAGCGAGCTTTCGCCCACGAAGGAGAACTTGTGGTGTGTGGGCATCCATGCCGTGCTGATAGTGCTGCAGTCGGCGTTCCTCTTGGGCCTGCCGTTTCTCGTCGCTGTGCCTGTGTGGGTTGCGGGGTTGGTGATTACTGGAGTTCTGTTAGTGAACAAGGGGGTTGCTAGCCTGCTCAACGGCGAAGGCGTGGAGTATCGAAGCGAAGAGAAATATGCGCCTGAGAGACCGGAGCATGCAGGCGAGCGGTGGATCTACATCAACGGAGTGTCTGTTGGATCTCATTGGATGCAAATGAACCTTAACCGTCTGGCAGTGACCTTCAAGCGGCCAGTAATTGGCATTCACAACAAAACGTAAGCCCCATAAGCCTCCGAGAAAACCTTCAAATGCTGACCCTTCAGCTCTGGCATGATTTTCGACATCCTGGAATGCCTGGTCCAACGCAACTGGGGCTACGCGACTCGAGATGTGCGCGTCGGCTACCGCATCATCAAGCAGACCCTCTACGACCAGCGCTACCACAAGATCATCTTCATCCTCCACTCTCAGGGCGCCATCGAAGGCAGTCTGATCCTCGACTGGCTTCTGCAAGAGCTCCCACAAGACCTGCTCGCCAAGCTCGAAGTCTACTCCTTCGGCAATGCAGCCAACCACTTCAACAACCCGCATCGCTGCCTGGCCGCGCAGGACCAAACCTTCGGCCATCCCCATTCCCCCAGCCATTCCCCCTCCTCCCCGATCCGCAACCACATGCCCTGCCAGATGCACCCCTCCGGCCGCGCGATCTCCCACATCGAGCATTACGCCCACACCCTCGATTTCGTCGCGCTCTGGGGCATCCTTCGCTTCGTCATGCCGACACCCATCACCAGCCCAACAGAAAGTACCCCCCTCAATGCACAAAAGGCCGACCTCGTTACAAGACCTCGCTTCCTCGGCCGCGTATTTATTCATCCCAGGCCAGGTCACCTCCTCGTGCAGCACTACCTGGATGGGATGTTCCCGCTGCAGAAGGACCCTGTTACGGGGAAGTTGTTAAGGGATGAAAATGGCGTGCCCGTGGGATTGGATGAGAGCGAGGGGAATAAATTCATGGAGGGGGAGGTTATCGTTTATGATGACGATGATGAGTTGGGGGGTGCGGATAGGAGGCTGAAGGTCAAGCAGTTGAGTCGGTTGTGGGAGTATCGGAATGGGAGGAGTCCGAGGGATGAGAGTTCGTAGAGGGGGTCGTAGACCGGTTACGCATTATGAGGCGTTGGATTGGACTAGACTCGGAGCTGGCTGAGTCAGTACACTGCATGGCTTTGAGAGCGGATGGCGTAAGGAGCAGGCGATTCTCGGGCAACCTAGGGTTTCTTCCTATAAGACGAGTAGACTCATAGTGTACGAAAGGCAGCCCGTTCAAGGGTGCTTTCTTTTTTTTTTTCTTTTTTTAATCGGTATCAACCTAATCAAGCATCGTTATCAGCGTCAATCAAGATTTCATTCGGAGGCTGTCCGACACAAGTTGTGATAGCCGATCGCCCCCTCTTAGAACCGACTTTGATGTGCGTTTTCAGCCACACCATCCAGGGACAGGGCCAAAGCGCCCTGTTGAAGAGAAAACGTATATTCGTATATTGCTATGTCCCGGTATACATCCATGAAGTCACATATCACTTCAATAAACAAACGTTCCTGTTCAGATATCTCATCACCTCATTCGTCCCTGATATTCGTCACTATATCTCTTCATCACCCGAGTTAATACAGTCCCATCGATTGTCGTCCACCATGCAACTACCCATCAAATATCCAACCATAACCTGCCCAATGAGCCCCATCCAAAACCTCATATCCCAATACGAGCACACAATAACCCCCCAAAACCATGATCTCCCACCTTCTACACCTCACTCACTTCCCCCCCTTCCTGACCCCGGTCAAAAACAACCTCCGCACTCTTACTTTTATCCACCCTCACCCCCCCATCATCCACACTCTCCGAATGCACATGCCTAACCGGCGCCATCCCGCTCCCAACTACAACGCTTCCAGACCTCCTCCTACTGCCAGAGGCCGCACCAGCAGCGGCTATTGACGGCGCAACCGATGACGTCGGCGTCGGAATCATCACTGACGTTGTGCCGGGTGTGCCACCGGTTGTTGTAGCTGTCACTGCCGTGGTCGTGCTCGGCGTCGGCGGCAGTTGCCCGTCGCTGCTGGTCGGGCTGACTTCACGTGTCGCGATGGCGACTGCGGCAGCCGCAGCGGCCGTGTTGCTGTCCCAGCCAAATTCGCTTCCTAGCGCACGGTCGATTTGGCGTTTGAGTTCCTCGCCTGTCAGGGACGGGGGGGGCACGGGGTCGGGGGCTTGTTGGGGGATGGAGGAGGAGTAAGGGGAGTATGTCAAAGACTGCCGGGAGACCCGGGATAGTTGCGAGGGGTATTCGGTGCGCGTGTAGAAGGAGTCGGCGTAGTCCTCGTGGTACTCGGTAGTGTAGGTCCGGTTGTAAAATTTTGATACTCGCCTGCCCCCGAGTTGTGTGGAGCTGCGATCTTCAGCCAGCTGGCCGTATAACTGCTGGCGCGCGTTGGCGGTGAGGTGGTAGTCTTCGTATTTGAGTAGGCGGCGGTATGTGTGCACGGCGTAGACGAAGGAGGACAGGGTGGCTGCCAGCAGGCCGCAGTCCAGGGAGAGGCCGATGGTGGAGTAGTGATTATCCATCTTCTCCCTGACGGCGACGATGTCGAGGGCGAGCACGGCGAAGGATAGGGTTAACTTGAGGATGTGCGTGCAGACCATGAGGAAGGGGGTCAGGCACTCGGTGGCTTTGCGCGATATTTCGATGATGTTGAGGATGAGGGCAATCGTGTTGAAGCCTACGTTTGTGGCTTCCCATCTGTGAGGCATTAGCTGGTCGGTTCATCATCATCATCATCATGGGACAGAGGAGGGGAAACGTACACAACCTCAACGACGGGAACCTTGCCTTCTGCGATCTCCTGCTCCCAGTTGTCAAAAGTCTCAGCCAGACGGTAGGCAAAGAGGCCCATGAGACATAGCAACACGAGCATCTGGAAGGTCCATAGCGGGATCAGAATCGTCTTGCGCCATCTTGCGCGTGCATACAGAACCTGGTCAAGGTCGATAGCTGCGGGGGTCGCCATACTGTCATCCAGCTCAATGCATGCACTCTCTATGAATGTAGGGCGCGCGCCGAGGCATCCGGAGGGATGTTCACCTCACGCGCAACGGGTGACCAGCAGATGGTCCCTAGCCCTAGAGAGATACGCTCGAAAGCACGAAAGGCGCAACTGGAGGCAAAGGATTCCAGGACACTTGATGCTGGGATGCGGTCATTTTCAAACGGCTTGGGAGCTGAATGGGCACCAACGTGCGGCGCAACGCCGCAAATCCCGTCTCTACCTATCAGTACTCAGTACGAGCAAGCCTTGCCTTCTCCTCCCCTTCATCCACTCTTTTGCTCATTCCCTCATCGAGCAAGCTGGGATCCCGGGACCACGAAGCGGGCACACTCAGCCCAACCGCCCCCATTTTTCCTTTTTGGGACGCAACATCGCTGTGGGATGCATGCTCGCTTGTGTGGGGTTCTTGCGGCTGGACCCAAGGATCGCTTGACAAGCTGCGGGTTGAGCTGCGGCTCGGTCTCGCTAATAGTGTGCTTAAATCTGGGCGTTGCCCTTCAGTGGCTTTATTCTCCCAAATTTGGTGTGTTGTGCGATGAGGCTTGGTCGACAGCTGAAGAAAGCTTCCGGGTCGACTTCTTCGCAGCCCGCGAGGTTAGGTTCTACATCATACTTCATCTAAATATCTGGTGAAATATGGAGCCCTTTTGTCAGTTTCCTCTGCGTGAATTGAGAGGACTAGAAAAAAAAGTCAAGATCAGCTGTTATCTGCTCAATGATGGTGATTGGAGGGCTGTGTTATTTAAAGGGTTAGGGTTAAATATGGACCATGGACAAGCACAAAAAAACACCCGGAATGAGGACAGCTCTCGAACCAAAAACCGTGACCAGGTCTTGATTAGAAGTAGATTATGCTGTCAAATGTTCAATTTACCCATTCACTATGTCGTAAACGAAAACCATGCCCAATACTTTGCTCTCTGTCCACCTGTTCCTCCTTGCCTATGGCAGCGTCGCCCGTTGTTCGACGTGGGTATCGTAAGGGGTTCTCTTTTGTGATGTACGAAATGAAAGATCCAGATATTGTCTTAAAGACTTAAAGACCATTTGCCTTCGCGGCCAGGTACACCTTAGTGGCGTCGAACGGAACAACGTTCCCTTGGGAGTCGGTCATGGCCGGGACGGAGACGTCAATATTGGTGACGATGTTCTGGCGCTTGACGGGAGCTGCAAGAAGGTCAGCACCAGTGTTGTCTGTAATATTAACCAGAGAAGAACCCACCATTATGCTCAGGCACCGAGGGGTAAGCAACTGCCACAGCGGCAAAAGCAAGGACAGCAGCGAAGAACTTCATTTTGGCAGTTTAAAGGATTGGTATTACGACTTAGATAATGAAGAAGCAGATGAACAAATGATAACGTCGGCCGGCGACAGGACAAAGAGAAGACAAAGGGCAAGACGGCTGGAAACAGACGGTATTGGTTGAGAAGAGAAGGGAGGAGGATGGGACGATCTAATAGGCACTGGTATTTGTACGCCGAGTGGCAAGCTGGCGATCAGGATCCGTGATGACTGACGGACGACATGCGTTTCAGATATCCCATGTCGGGAGCTGTGCTGCCGTCCAACCGCAGCAACGCCACCAAGCGCTTCCTACGCGGCCTTGGGGCTCTTCCGAGCTGGATCAGGGGAAACATCGGCTTGACACCTGCCTTTGTTGAACCGACATTGATGATATATCTGAGACGTCGAGCATGGCGCAAGTCAGCGACGTCCAACCTTGCATCGACTTCTGAGCTTGGCCGATCCATATGTCAACAAAACCAAGAGCCTGCAGCAGCTGATGTTACTCAGCCATCAAGGCGTTAAGCTTGGTGGCATGTTACCATCAGATGGACACCCCGAGTGCGAGTGGAGGAGGCTAAACTGTGTTTAATCGCACGGGGATGGGAATCTGGGCATCTCAGATGGGAGATCTAAGGTTTTCGATACAGGGGGGTGAAACCGGCGAAGTCCCCACGGGCGAGGGGTCGCATTGGAAACGGCTGCATGCCAGGGCACTTGGGGCTTCAGCAAACGCTCGGAATGAGCAAATCCGGCTCTTGACTGTCAGAGAAGTCGGGGAGGGGATCCCGAGTCTGCGTCGCAGCCTTTTGCGAGTGCATCTGAATCATGGGCAGGGCTAGTTAGGGCTGGCAGCGATGGAGTCTAGAACCTCGACGATGTCTGTTTCTTTTGGCGCGCTTTCGTGTCCTGAAACACGGAGCTTGTAACGGCCTGTCGCAACTGTCGACAGCTGGCAGAGCCGGAGGCATTGAAGGCTATTCTTTCGAATTGAAGCCTATTCTTTCGAATTGAAGCCTGGCCAGGACTCAGGCAGGAAATGAATCCGGGGCAGATCAACTGGATCGGAGAAACCAAAATTCCACGACAGAGAACGCGACGACGAAGGTGGAACGACCTTAGCTGTCGTGATGAAAGTTCCTAGATCCACAACTATAGCCCCACCTCCAAACGGCGAGTGGGGCAAAGCTGATTGATAAGGCTTATCGAATAACCGCTGCCCTGCTAAGGCCACGCCCTGCAGCGATGGACCCTTGATGGCTTCGGATGCCCGCTGCCGCCTGGCAGCTGTCAGCTGCGCAACCCCACCCAGACACCGTCCCAGGCCCTCTTTTACTCCCATCCGACGAGTCGTGACTCGTCCAGCACCTTCCAACCCCCTCATCAACCCCCTCAACTCATTCATCCTTCACCCCACGGGGTTGCCTCGAGTCGCGCCGCACTCATTTCTGCCATTTCGACGTTTTGACAATCTTTGACACGGACGTCCATCTCACCTCCCTCTGTCACTGAGTTCATACCTACGCTCTCGTGATCACTCTCACCACTCATCTCATCACGGCCGGCGGCACGACCCGGGCAACCCGATCTCACCATCGACATGGCCACCATTCCGCACTGCCTCTGCTGCTTCGAGTCCCTCGCGGCTCACCTGGAGAAGCGCAAGCCCCTGACCCTCGCCGAAATCCAAAAGTCATGGGCCGAGTACGTCCGCGCGAATGAAGCCGAAGCCAGCAGTTCCGAGAAAGCAACAAAACAGGCTCCGGCTCTCCGTCGTCTGGCCGAAGAGTCCTCCTCATCCTCATCTTCCTCTGCCTCTAACAGCACGCTCTCCCTGGATTCTTCAACCCCAGCCACCTCTGTCTCAACAACCCCAGCACCAGCCTCAGACGAAGACGAAGAGAAGGAGGACGAAGTCACCGAATCACCCCTCTTCGTCACCTGGAACATCAACCACCCACGTTACGGGTGGACGCTGCGCGGCTGTATCGGCACATTCGAGGCGCAGCCGCTCGACCAGGGCCTGTCGGACTACGCGCTGATCTCGGCGCTGGAGGACACGCGGTTCAATCCAATCTCGAAGGCAGAGCTGCCGCATCTACAGGTTGCCGTGACGCTGCTGACAGACTTTGAGGATGCGGCAGATGCGTTCGACTGGGAGCTGGGCAAGCATGGGTTGAGGATCTCGTTTGTCGACCGGGGCCGCCGGTACGGCGCGACATATCTGCCGGACGTGGCGGTTGAGCAGGGCTGGACGAAGGAGGAGACTGTGGTGAGCTTGATGAGGAAGGCGGGCTGGGGAGGGAGGAAGGATAAATGGCAGGAAGTGGAGATGAAGGTGGTGAGGTATCAGGGAAAGAAGAATAAGCTGGAATATGCGGAGTTCAAGAAGTGGCGGGATTGGGTTGAGAAGCAGGGGGCGAACTGAGGTGAGCTAGACGTGCGGAGTTTGGGTTAGACGGCTGGAGCTGGAAGAACGGCTAATCGGTGGGTTATATCACGAAAGGTACGGGGACACGCGAAGGGTTCATCTGAAGATTGAAGGTATTTGACCTAATGCCGCATTACGATTAAATATCATATATCAGCTGATGTATGCCCTTGATTCCCGATCTACATAACTCTACATCACCCATTCTGACCGTCACCATCATTATCCCATACCCGTCTTTACCGGACCCAGCCAAACGCCAATGCCTGTGGTATAGGTGGTATCACGTTCCCCCAAGATCCCGTACTCAGCCCACACAGACCAGATCGAGCCCCTAATCTCTCAAGCCAGCAAATAAACCGACAAATAAACAAACAAATGTGGTATCTCGCGCCTGGGGGACTCCAGCTGGCGGCTCAGTTGCCAGTTTCCACTTTCCCCCTTTCCCCTCCCCCCCCCCCGGGGGGCCCACCCTTGCCTTCCCCATAAAAAGACCAAACCAGTACGCCTTACCAGCAGCGCAGCCAACGCAAAAGGCCTCCCTTGCGGGGCTTTCTCTTCTTCTCATTGTTATCCTCCCGCTCATCATCGCCCGGAGGAGGCAGCGGAGTAAGCGGCTTAGTGACACCATGAGTCGCCAGCCCGCCCTTCACGCCAGCAGCAGTGGCCGCAGCCTCGGCAGCAGCAATTCTCCTCGCTTCCTCAACCCTACGAACAAGCAGCGCAAAGGTCTCTTCGATGTTAACCTCGAGCTTGGCGCTAGTCTCCATGAACCCACAGCCCCTGCGGCGCGCCCATTCCAGTCCCACGGCAGCGGGGACCTCGCGTTGCGCAGACAGGTCACACTTGTTTCCGGCCACCATCTTCACGGGCGGCACGGTCTTACCCCCGGACTGGGGCGAACTGGCGTCGGGATAGCTCGGCACGGTGGGGAAGATGCCGGCCTTCCTTGCGCGCGCAGCGTTGTCCGCTCGCGTCTCGGCCTCCATGTCGATCAGCTCGTTGAAGTACTCGAGGGCGTCGAGCGACGCGCGGGAGGTGATGTCGTAGACGAGCAGGAACGCGTCGGCCGAGAGGTTGGAGGAGGACGCCCACATCCCGCGGTACTCTTCCTGGCCGGCGGTGTCGGTGATGGAAAGGTGGTATACCACGCCGTCGATGCGGCGGGTTGTTGAGTAGGAGTCTTCGATGGTCGGGTCGTACTCGGACGTCCATTGCGAGCGGACCAGACGCAGGGTGATGGAGGACTTGCCGCAACCGCCGTCGCCGCAGATAGTGATGCTGATCGGGATCGGCGGCTGGTCGGAGGCCGGGGGAGGAGAGGAAATGGAGTTTGTGGGGGAGTGGAGCTTTTTCATGGCTGCGGCTGTGGTTGTGCCTGACGACGAATGCGAGGGGTGTTTTTGGTGGGTGTGTTTGCTGTTGCTAGGGGAAGTGCGGTAGCGGTGGGAGTCGGTCAGGCGGTGGTGTCGCATTCGCAGCTAGGTAGGACGATTTTAGGATGATATTTAAAAAAGAAATTCGCTGGATAGCTAGGAGCAAGAGCGCGTTTGAATGAGGAAACCGAGATTCGTCGAATATATTGTTGTGTTGCGCAGTTGCGTTGTCGGTCAAATGGTCGGTCAGATGTTGCGCGAGGTTGGGGATGAGCCGCGCAGTGTGGGGCTGGACGGAGTGGTAAACAAGACTCTTCAAAGCCGGCAGTAGCAGAAATGGAATGCCGATAGTAGCGCGCACAGAGCAGCAGACGCAGAGGAATAGACGACAACAAAACACAGCAGCTGAGTCGAGAAGTGTTTGGACCTTCAAGAATCTAAGGGAGAACAGAAGGACAAAAGGCGGCGGGAGCTCAGGACGTAAAAAGTCCAGAGGCTAGGGACCGATTTTGCGCTAGCGAGACCAAGTCACCAAGACCGCCCGCCTGGAAGAGGACCAGCGGTTGACTTGCAGATGCAACGTACAGGGGTCACAGAGCTGGAAGCCAGAGGCCCCAGAGCCAGTCAATGCCGCAATGCCACCATGGCGCCCGTCTTCCGCTTGCTTTTCCGGTTGGCTGTCACCTGGTCTATGCTGCTTTATTTTCGCGCCTTGTTGATCTTGTTTTGCTGATTTTTCACGCTAACTGATGTCAAGCATGCTGCTGGTGAACAGCTGTACCTGTTGCCAGCAATGCTGATGATTTTACGCCAGGTAGAGCCCGTCCATCCGAACAACCTACCAGCAGAGCTTTCAGCTCCTCCACTCTCGATCTACAAAACTTTATTGTCTCTCCTGGACGTCAGAGCAGGGGACAAAATGAATCGAGGAGCAGAAGGAAAAGAAATCGTCCGATGTACAACGGATGGATTTCCCAAGCTCAGTGGTCAAGCTCGCCAATCCTTGCACGGAATTTCTGCCGGGGTTCTAGCGCCGCTGCTAACCCTGACCAACTTGGAGCCAACGCTGGCTGAACCCTGGGGTCTGGGCCAAACCGTGGACCAGTCATTGTGCCAAACCGATGGAACCCCCCTGTCCTAGCCCTGTGGCTTGGCAAGGTCACTCTGCTTCCCACGGCTCTGGGAGAGCGATTTGAGTGGCTCGCCAACTCAAAGTCTGTCTGTCCATCCATCATCACATCTCATCACACCCGCAATTTGTCTCAACTTCCCCACGCCAATTGCCTAACACGCAAGCCGGAAGAAGCAAAATGCAAAACAAAGACGTCGACGACAACAACAGCAACAGCGCATAGTCTTGACTGCGGATAACCGCAGCATCTCGAGATCGGAGTGCCCGACGACCTGCGGTTCATGCAAGCTCGTCCACAATCAAAGATAAAAATAAAGCATTGTATGGCCTCATCTCGATAAGCAGGCGATCACCGTTCCGGGGGCCTGGTGCCCCCCACTCATGAGAGAATTGGAACGCGGGGAAATTTCCAGGGCCAGGGCCCAGGACCCAAAGCCAAATTTTTTTCTTTTTCCTCATCGTCCAGGACCTCGACTCCACCATCCCCTCCTCCACGTGCTTTTGCCGACATTGGCTGTGAAGTTTGTTTGAGTGTGGCTCTGCCGATCCTTGATGACGATGCGTTTGTTGAAGAGGGATCTGACCGAAGCCAGGAAGAATAAAGTGGGAGAGGGACCAGGGAAAAAGAAGAAAATCGATATGTTGGTTCAACGGGATTCTCATGCGAGAAAAAGCAAAAATGCATGGCCATGACCTCCGATATCGACTCGAAGGCATCGACTCGACCCCGAAATCTTCAGCTTTTGGATCGCATCTCACACTTCTCGCTTGCGCTTACGAAAATAATTCCACCCCCACAGCGTCTCTCCCTTAGGACAACACCACACGGCTGGGACAACCATCTGAACGCAATTGCATTGGCTCGCGATGAGGTCATTCTGGCCAGCCGCACCAACTGGAGTGGCTCTGCTTCCCCTCTCGCGGCCAGGGGGGATCCTGTCTCCGTGGTCGCACAGTTCAGGGCACCATGCTGCCGGGTTGCGCCATTTCCGTCTGCTCGGCTGTGACGGCAGTGGGGCCCATCCCACCGGACGCCGGGCTGACGTGCTGCGAAAGCATGATAAACCTTGTTGGCCAGGGCGGCCTGGGTGTGGCTAAGCCCCCGGCTGCAAGCGTTGCGGGATCGGACGCCGAATGGAGCCGGGCCTCGCTGCAAAATCCATCCCTCTTCTGACTGATGACTCCACGCCCCGGCTCCCGACCGTTGCTCTTCGACCACTTCCCCAGATCGCTGTGTGGGTTGTCATTGCTAAGTCAACATCAACATGACTATCACCAACGGGACGAAGGCTCTGAATAGGGCCGATGAGGTTGACCGGGTCAGTGAAAAAAAGCCCTTTGATCGCCAAGGTTGTACAGAGTGATGGCTAACTCCCCCCCCCCTTTTTTAGCTCCTCGATGCCGTCAAAGCCCTGATCATCCCCTTCATCCGGGCGGCCGATGAGGCTGTGCCATCCCGGGCTGTCGGTGAGCTGCTTCCTAACGCCAATGGCGTTGTCGAGAATACCCTCGTCGACTACCGGAAGCCCGAGGACCTTGCCCAGGAGATGGCCCTCTCTTTGCCTGCGGGAGAGGGCCGTGGCGCTGGGGGTCTGCTGGATGCCATCCAACAGGTACTCAAGTATAGTGTGAACACCTGGGATCAGGGCTTCATGGATAAGCTCTATGCCAGCACCAATCCTGTAGGTATCCCGTGACAGCATCTCATCACTCACAACCGGCTGACTCCATAAACAGGTCGGTGTGGTCTCCGAGCTTCTCCTGGGTGTGCTCAACACCAATGTAAGCCACCCTCTCGCTCACTCATCGACTCGCCTAACCCAGACAGGTTCACGTCTACCAAGTCTCTCCCGCCCTCACCGTCATCGAGAAGCACACGGCCAAGACCCTGGCCGGCCTATTTGGCTTCACGGGTCCCCGTGCTGGCGGTGTCACGTGCCAAGGAGGTAGCTCGTCGAATCTCACCTCACTGGTCATTGCACGCAACACGCTGTACCCAGAATGCAAGATCAACGGCAATGCCGGTGCTTCCAGCCGCTTCGTGCTCTTCACTAGCCAGCACGGCCACTACTCGGTTGAGAAAGCGGCTATCATCTGCGGAATGGGCTCTGCTGCCGTTTGGACTGTCCCCGTTGACAAAACTGGTCGCATGAACCCGGTAGCCCTGCGCGAACTGGTTGTGCGTGCTCGGGAGGAGGGCAAGACCCCGCTGTACGTCAATGCCACAGCCGGCACCACGGTTCTGGGGTCGTACGATCCCTTCGAGGAGATTGCGGCTGTGTGCCGTGAGTTTGGTCTGTGGTTGCACATCGATGCCAGCTGGGGCGGCCCAGCCATCTTCTCGAAAAAACATCGTTGGAAGATGGCCGGCTCGCATCTGGCGAATTCACTGACGGTGAACCCGCATAAAATGCTCAACGTCCCGGTCACATGCTCGTTCCTGCTCGGTCCGGACATGGCCATCTTCCACAAGGCGAATACCCTGCCAGCAGGCTACCTCTTCCACGGCCCCGATGCTCAGGCACAGGCAAATGGCACCTCATCACCAGCGGCTGCCGTCTTTTCCGACCCTGAGCCCCCGGAGGTCTGGGACCTGGCCGACCTGACCCTGCAGTGTGGTCGTCGCGCCGACTCGCTCAAGCTCTACCTCAGCTGGGTCTACCACGGTGCCTCTGGCTTCGCGACGCAGATCGATCATGCCTTCGACGTGGCCGCTCACCTGGCCGACCTGATCGACAAGCATCCGGACTTTGTCCTCGTCTCGACGAACCCTCCCCCGTGTCTTCAGGTGTGCTTCTACCATGCCCCTGGTGGCTCGCTGAGCGAGGATAAAGAGGCAAATACCCAGCGCACGCGGAAGATGGTCGAGGGGCTAGTGAAGAGGGGGTACATGGTTGATTATGCGCCGGGGGAGAAGGGAAGCTTCTTTAGGGTTGTGGTGAATGCACAGACGAGGAGGGGGACTGTTGAGGGGTTGGTTAGGGCGTTGGAAGCAGTTGGGAAGGAGGTTGAGTAGGGGATGAGTGTCTGATGACTTGGATAGACGAGAATGCTGATCCATGGTTCTGGGAAATAATATGTTGGGCTGGTGATACTAAGATAGCGGCATCTGGTGAGTCCATCGTTTTGAGAGGCTAGCGTTGGCTGACTTTTTACGACACACAGAGCACACGATGGAATAATGTTCTCTTAAAACGGGAATACAAGGTTCGATTCATCCTGGTCAATCTGGGAACAACAATGCTACTTCATGAGAACATAAAAGTGAAAAAACAAATGCCACCGAAATCGAGCCGGAAGACAGGCAATCACAGAGCGTTCTGCTTCTTGCGCAGCTCAAACACGCGGAGCGCCTCCTCGGCAGCCTTGACACCGCTCAGCGCCATAGCGCCGAACGTCGGGCCTATAGCAAACAAAAGTCAGCTTTCCGACCCGGGTAGGTTGCACAGGAACACAAAAGAGCCTACCCATGCGGTTGGCACCGTCGATCTCGGATAACTCCATGCCGCCGACGATTAGACCGGGCACAATCTCGCGGGTGTTCTTGACAATGGCGTCCTCAGCGCGCTGCATGTCCAGACCGCGCATGCCCTCAAGCTGCTCGATCTGTTTCATGCTGACCAGGCGCTTGACCGAAAAGGCGCCAAAGGGGCCTGTAAACTTGTCAGTCTTTGCTTTTTTTTTGACATCCAAAAACTACGCAGATAACTTACCATCATGGCCAGTCGTCGAGATAATCACCGGCGCATTAATCGTGTTCGGGTCCATGCAGCTCTGGTCATGGTGGTGCATCGACACGAGCGTCCAGTTGACCACCACACCTGCGACCCTCACCTCGCCGGTCTCGGCATCTGTACGAGTAATCAAATCCTCGACCGCAGTCGCATTGAACATCTTGACGTTCGGCATCGCCAGCACCTTGCTCAGCACGGTGCTCGTGAACAGCGCCGCGTGCTTGACCACCACGTAGTCGCCCTCATCTTCGTACGGCACGCCCACCTCGCGCAGGAATGCGTCGGCTGGCTTGCGCATCACCATCGCGCTAAAGAGCTGGCCGCCCAGCCACGCACCGCCGCCGGGGGCAACTCCCGCCTCGACAATGGCGATGCGCAGGTCGGGCCGCAGCTTGGCGAGGGTGTATGCCGCGGATAGACCGCAGGAGCCTGCGCCGATGATCACGATGTCGGATTCCGCGTAGGTATCCAGGTCGGTGAAGTCTTGAGGGAGTCAGTAGGCGTCATTTAACGTCTATTACGGTGCGTGGGACATACACCGCCGAGTCATGGCCCGCGAAACGGTGCTCTCGCGGATCGGCGCAAAGGTAAAGTGCTCCCAGTTGCCGAGCATGTCGGCCAGGGGCTTGCTCAGCGTGCCGTCATGCTCGACCGCAACGTCCTGGCCGTTGAAGGGCTTCTTCAGGCCGGGGGCAACGGCCAGCTGGGCAGGCTTCTGGGTAGGAGAGACAGCCGCGGGAGCCATGTCGAGTTAAGAGGTAGGTACCTAGGAAAGTTAGGCTATGTCCACGTAGGATTAGGGAGAAGGGGAAGAAGAAGGCATGATCCTTTCGCTGGTATTATCCAGATCAAGTTCAGCCGTATAATCTCAGCCGAATCCGGGTGCTGTTGTCGGTTCTCTCCCCTGTGTGTGACTGACCCTCAGTAGACCAAGAGGGAGGGGGAGAAACGCGACGACAGTACACCAGACTGGCACCGGCCCATGCACTTCAGTCTTCAGATAGTTACCTCTCTGAAGATGTTAGATGCACTGTTATCTCACTGCGACAGCCGGATCATGTTCGTGACCGCGCTGCTTGCATCTTGCTTTGCTTGATCATTGTCGGATAGGACACCATCGAAAGGGCCCCGAGCCAGCGGGGTCATGTCTTCTTCCTCATCTTCGGAACAAAGATAGGGTCACCGTATGTACCAGACAGACGTGGGTTGTAAACCTGTCTGGTGGGCTGTGGTTAGAGGACTGCCAGGATTTAAGAGGCAGGGGGGGGGGTTAAGTGCAGCGCACGTGGTAGGTGTTTGATGCGAGCTGGACTCGTGTGGCAAGCTCTGGCAGGTAAAGGTGAAGTTATGGGTTGTGTCACGACGGACAAGGGAGAAAATGGAAGAGGACAAATACTCTCCAACAACTAGGGCAGACCCCCTTGATATACCCTTCTTTCATTCTTCAGTCCAAGCTCCGATCTTGTCCGGCTTCCGAAGGGCTTCCACCGGCTTTCCACGGCTCACATCTATACTGCCTGCAGCTTGTCAAGAATGCCCATCATGACCCCCACGGGGGTGCGACGTGACGGTCCAATGACGGCATCAGAGCCCGTTCACACAGCCCGCTCGCTCACAGTCGTGTATCCACACCTTATGCCCGTGGGGTCTAACGGCTGCGGGGTTCAGTCTCGAGCTCTAGGGGATTTGCTCCGGCAATTTTTTCTCGACGTGCGCAAAGATTCTGTGTCGCCTTGTTGATGGCGGTAGTTTGGGGGTCGTGATGGGTCAATTAATATCAATTTGCGCTGATTGGGGTCAATTGGGCAAATTTTGTGGGAGAAGAGGACAAGTGACGTTGCGGTCGGGGGGTCTGTGAAACCCCTCTAAGCTCACGCTTGCATACAGCTTCTGAAGGCGATTCGCTCCGCTGAGCCATGGAAGACAAGCACCGGGATCGGATCGGAGGAGAGGATTAGGTAACGGATGTAACGGTCAAAGGGTTGACCACTCAGACCCTTGAAGGTCGGATTCCGATGGGGGTTACGAAGAACGACTTGCTCAATTCTCGTCCAACACCCCTTCAGCGGCAATCTTGGTCAGCTGTCTAAGAGCAATTGAGCAGGGCCCAGGTTGAACCACTTTCATCTTTCTGATTTGTTCTGCTCTTCTAGGTACAAAGAAAATATCTCAGTATTCTCAGATTGCAGCATCTTTGGAGACCCGTAGTCAATGTATGGGCAGTTCCCATATTCTCACATCATCCGCAGTACAACCACCATTCCTCCTATCGCCGATGTAAGTGAAACCACAAGTAAAGCGCTATTTAACCCATGTCGTGTTCTAACAAAGCCGCTCATTACTCTGTGTGGCACTTCCCAGAACGGCTTTAATACAGCTCTCAGCCCCCTGAGTCGAGCAACATACCACAGGAGCTCCCCCTAAGACTGCCTCGATATACTCATGCTGTATTCCGGATATTTCCATGTCTGCTGAGACAAATTTTTCCAGCCGAGATGGGTCTATTGTAGGTTCTCCCGGCCCTCTCTGTTGGAGGAGCCGCAACTCTTCTAGTTTTCGTGCGGCTGTGTAATGAAGTTCCCCCAACTCCTTCCTTGCTTCTTTCGTATGCTTCTGGATGAGTCCTGCCAAAATCCGAAATCCAAGATACTCATTCCAAACTCCAGTAAAATTTCCAAAGATGAGCCATGATATTGTTCACACTCGCTGCCCTATCGTGCTCTCACGATGATGAAGCCTGCTCAGAATCCTGAACTATTAAACAGAGAGCTGACATCAATATGCATCAATATGCAAGGCAGAATGACAGCCCCTATGTGGTCATATGGCAGCCGCTTGGTGTGGTCATTCGCTGGTTCGTTTTTATGCTTTTTGGGTTTCTTCTCTGGGAGTAATCGCAGGTCAGGAAGATAGGCTTTAAAGTCTCTGTCGTCATCATCTCTACTTTTGCCGAATTTGATAAGTTTGGCAACAGGGTCTTCTATGCACAAGAGGAGATCAGAGAGAGAACCAACGCCGTGGACCACTGTAACGGGTGACTTGGTCTGGTGCAGGCAGGGATCGACAATGGGTAAAATGGGTTAGATGATAGCCACTGACGATGTGGGGTGCACAGCGAAGTCAATTACTATGTGTAATAATCTTTCTTGGTCCTCAGTGTCCTTGTGTTGGGGAGAGGAAAGCCCAAGAGAAATCCTTCATCGTGTCCAAGTAGCCCCCCTTATAAAATCCCTTCGTCCTTGTGAGTAACTCGCGGTCTCCTGGGATCTTCAGGAGGTTTCTCAGCGTGGCAAGATTATCTAACTCATTCTTGCCACCCCCTCATATTCCCCGGGCTCTACCAATCAGATATGCCTTTGCCCTTGTCAGCTCTTATGTCACCGGTGTTCTATATGTTGGCTGTCAAGGATATTTCTTCTCCTTGGACTGCCGTGTCCATGTGACAACCACACATTGATCGGATGGTGAAGTCGTTGTGTCTGTTTTCGGTATGCTCCTCAACCGAAAGCAGTTAGGAACATTATTTTCCCCAATCACTTTCCATTCGGAAAACTGATTTCCAGCCAGAACCCGGACCTGCTCCTTTCTATTACTTTCCATAGCTTCGCTGGTCTCAAGCGGAACAAACTTGCCTATTGCTCCATCAAGCAATATAGTCGATCGATCTTCGAATTCAGTCTCGCTCGTTGCGTCTGACTGTATTAGATAGTCGGATATTGAATTGCCTTCTGAGTGAAGGACACTATAATTTGGTGTTTACTTGAAAATACGATCTTACGGGAGACAAGACAGAAGCGCACTGAGAAACAGGAGAAATGGAGATTAACATGGGAGCCATGCATGTCAAAGGGACCGGCCCGAGGTTGATATCCCTAACATAAACCTAGGGGCAATTGTCATATTCTTATACATACCATTTATCCACTAACTGCAACTTGGCAGAACCCTTTTCTACAAGCAACTCAAGAGATCCAGTTCAATCCCACCTTAACCATCGATAAGATTGAAGTGACAGTTGAGACTTGCTGTGGAGTCGCGTAAAAGATATCCCTTCTAACGTAAAGGCTCAAATTGATCTCCGTACAATATTTGGCGGGGTTTTGGTTCAGGGCAGCTTCTTTAATCGATTTCTGGAATGACCAAGTTCACACCCAACTCCTCCGGCACCCTGAGAATTTCGCGTTGGATGTAAAAGAAAAAGGTGAATGTGAATGGGAGTATTTACTTGGGCGTTGCCCTGCAGAACACGCGGCCCTGAGGGGAATTTGTCAAGCACAATGGGTGCCGCAGAATAACAACGCTCTACCTTCTAAACTACGAACGCGTGAAGGTGGGTGAGCATGGCTCTTATATAAGGTCAAGTGTGCACCTGACCTTAGTGGAGCCCGGGCTGACCGAGGTAGGTCAACGGTGACCACACCGTGGTCACTTGCGGCTAACAATTCGAATCGAGTAAGCTTCGGTGCTACAATCACGGTAAACGAGAAAAAGAGAGGTAAAGCCAATCCTCAAGACCGGCCGCTGTGAGCAAGGCAGCCATAGCATGTTAACCTCATCTCACTGTGTATGTGGACTAACATTTGAGGCTGTAGTGTTAATTTAACTGTTTTTCCTATCCCCTGCCAGACGCCATACGATTTTAGGACTTCATTAAAATACATAGTTCCTGCAGAACCAAGATTTCCATAATACATGGACCGAAAAATATTTTTCTTCACCTTACGGTTTGTCTTGCCTCTGCTTTAACGGGGTACAGCCGGAACTGCCTCGCACATGAGAGCTCGCATGTCCCGTTGATGATTGCCAAACCAAGAGAGTATTGATTGACTACACAGGCACAAGAATCACTTACAGAACAGTGATAACCATCACGGGAGAATGATCAATATTGTATATAAGGATGTAGCTCGCCACCCGTTCGATGATACCCATGAGAACTCCATACTAAGAAATGCAAACAGCTAGTTACCCTAACATATGACCACAATCAAGAGTATTCTATGTGAGAAACTTCTGTCTCTTAGATTCCATAGCATGGTCACTACCTTTGAGCCCATCTCAGGAGGTTGGGGAATCATCGCAAGTAGCATTCTATTTTATCGTGATTTCAGCCTAGTTGGCTGGAAAATTGCTACCCATTTCCACTTCGCTCAGAGCCAGCTTCGTTTACATAGATGACACAATATCATTGGAACTACTGAGAAAATATTCAGCTTCAAATGGTATAGATAACAAATTGTATGAGAATTAGTGCAAGGTGTCACATGGACACGGCAGCCCAAGGAAAGGGATGTCCCCGACTGTCAACACAAGGGACACCAGAGACAGGACCAAGCAAGATTATTACACGTAGTAATTGACTTCGCTGATGCACCCCATATTGTCAGTGGCCATCATCTAACCCATTTGACCCATTGTCGATCCCTGCCTGCACGAGACCAAGTCACCCGTTACACAAGGCTTACAATACGACGAATGCCACTGACCTAACTCGGCCATCAGATAACAGAGTTTCAACAACCTTCGTATGACCCATCATTGCAGCCCAACTCAGCGGCGTTCGGCCATAGTTGTCTTGCTGGTCTGGATCAAAATCCCGGGCATGCGCGAGGAGTGCCTTAACTAAACTCTTGGGCCCATAGACGCCAACAATGTGAAATGCATTCTGAGATGGCATTCTGAGATGGCCATAAATAGTCTAAAGAAGTCCAAGGCCGCTCTCTGACCTCGAAAAAGGTGTCACAAAGTTGTACCACCATACTAACCCATTCCGAATTAGTCAATAAGTTGAGCAGCTGAGGAGCGCAGAAGGAACATGCAAATGCATGATATCCCCAGTAGTCAACAGCATAGAAGAAGAGCGGTATTTTAAGTCGTTCATGCGCCTCCTCATACGTCTGAACAGGGCCACCTGAAAAGTGCTTAAACGAAAGATATAACACGCAAGTACTTGCGATATCAAAATCGGCGGTTGGAAACCACTGAGTCAAAGTATCCGGGAAATATTCCTGGACTGTATAGTGAGCAAGTCGAATGATTTCGCTTTCTTTGTTGATGACAACGAGCCCGCAACATACCGAAAGCATAGGTTTGGCATCAGGAATTGCAGCTTCATCAATCGCATCCCCACTATCCTTGACAGCCCATGCATACTGAACTTCTCTTGTTTTGAGAGGACGTTTGGCGCAGATGATCCACGATAGCACATGATTGGCAAGCCCCTGTATCCAGCCGGTTGCCCATTGACTCTCCCCAATGCGTCATTAAATGCCAGCCGTAATAGGGCAAGCTTTGGCTCGTTTTCTTGAGAGTTGTTTTGAAGTTTGTTCGGTGTTTCACGGATGCACTTTACGCTACCTTTATCCTTCAAGGACTCAATGAAGAGGTGAGCGAGTAGGAACCTAATTTTGTGTAGTAAATATGTGCTCAGCAGAACCAATAATTCATGGTTTATATAACACTGTGACTTACATGCCATCTGCGACACTGGCAATGCAGCTGATATTATGTTGAGGTCTGGGTGCTTTGAGACCAAGTACAAACTGGGCATGCGATTGCGCGGATATTGCTCGATGTCATCCTTTCGTTCTACGATCTCGAGGCGGGAGTACCCATCAAAGGCTTTCACAATATCAGGTACAGGGAGAGACGTGGCCAGGAGGCTGACATTATTTCCTTTGAATTGAAGGTGCAAAAGTGTTTCAATGAACTTGGAACGAACATCGTCGTTCATTTGGCACTCGTCCAGCGCATCAACAATAACGAAGACCCCATCCTTGTACCGTGCGGCAACAGCATGGAACATCTCCTCGAACTCGCTCAACGATGGCTGTGATCCGTGCTTCTCGTGTCGAGTATAAGCATCCATGACTGCGGGTGGAGGTGGAAACATGTCCCTGAGCAGTTATATTACGAGGTTGGCAATGAGCTGCTCCACGGTTTGGTCGTCTACGCGCCAGAAGTTACGGTATAGGTATGCGATGCCAACGTCACGGTCTCCCGAGTGACTTTGGAGATAATCGATAACAATCTCTGCAGAACACACGGCCCTAAGGGAATCTGTCAAGCACAATGGGTGCCGCGAAATAACAACGCTCTACTTTCTAAACTACAAACGCGTGAGGGTGGATGAGCATGGTCAACGGTGACCACAGCGCGGTCACTTCATCATAGAAATATTATTGCGAGCAAGACAACATAGAATTCGGAAGGGAAGAGCAAGGGAATGCTATATATATGAGACTTGTATAAATCAAATAACTAAATAATATTCGAAAGAATGACGCCGATTTCAATTTAGTCCTGACTATCCCATTGAACGAACTCGTCCATCAGATAACAGAGATTTAATGATTCAGTACGGCAATACTCTGCAGCGTAACTCAGCGGCGTTCGACCTTCGTTGTCTTGTCGGTCCGGATCAACTCGGCCATCACAGAATAGAGTTTGAAAAATCTCGTTATGGCCATTCTGTGCAGCGTAACTCAGCGGCGTTCGACCGAACATGTCTTGTCGGTCCGGATCAACTCGGCCATCGGAGAATAGAGTTTGAAAAGTCTCGTTATGACCCTTCTGTGCAGCGTAACTCAGCGGCGTTCGACCTCGATGATCTAGTTGGTCAGGATCAATATCCTGGGAGCTTGTAAGGAGCACTTTGACTATATTGTTGAGCCCGTAGAAACAAACAATGTGAAATGCATTCTGCGATGATGTCCTCGAGTACTTCGAACTGATATATCGATTATTAAGGACCCAAGGCTCTCTGATCTGGGAAAGCCTGGCACAAAATTGTACTACCATGCTGACCCATTCCCGATTTGTCAATAATTCAAGCAGCTTAGGATTGCAGGCTGAACACGCAGATGCATGATATCCCCAGTAATCGACAGCATAGGTGAAGAGAGGCTCTTCAAGTCGTTCACGCGCTTCCTGATATGTCTTAACAGGGCCACCTGAAAAGTCCTTAAACAAAAGGTATGATACACAGGCACTTTCGATATCATGGTGAGCGTTCGGAAACCACCGAGCCAAAGTAACCTGGAAATATTCCTGAACTGTATAGTGGACAAGTCGAATGATTTCGCTTTCTTTGTCAATGACAACGAGCCCGCAACATGCCGAAAGCATGTCTTCGACATCCGGAATCGCAGTCATATCAAGCTCGTCATCCTCACTGTCCTTGACAGCCCATGCATACTGAACCTCTATCGTTTTGAGAGGACGTTTGGCGCAGATTATCCAAGATAGCACATGGTTGCCAAGCGCCTTGAATCCAGCTGGTTGTCCATTGATTCGTTCCATTGCGTTGTCATATGCCCGGCGTAACAGGGCAAGCTTTGGCTCGTTTTCTTGAGAGTCCTTTTGAAGCTCCTTCAGTGTTTTACGGATAAGCTTTGCGCTAACTTTATCCTTCAAGGACTCGAAGAAGAGATGAGCGAGTAGGAACCTAAACGTTGAAGTAAGCATATGCTCAATTGAATCAATGACCCATTGTTCATGGAACACTGATAACTTACATGCCATCTGCGACACTGGCAATACAACTGATGATCTCATGCTGAAGGTCCGGGTACTTTGAAACCGCGCGCAAAGTGGACATCCGGTTGCGTATGTATCGCTCGATGTCGTCCTTCTGGGCCATGATCTCAAGGTGGGAGTGCCCATCAAAAGCTTCCACAATATCAGGTACAGGGCGAGATGTGGCCAGGAGGTTGACATTATCTCCTTTGGATTGAAGGTGCAAAAGTGTTTCAATGAACTTGGAACGAACATCGTCGTTCATTTGGCACTCGTCCAGCGCATCAACAATAACGAAGACCCCATCCTTGTACCGTGCGGCAACAGCATGGAACATCTCCTCGAACTCGCTCAACGATGGCTGTGATCCGTGCTTCTCGTGTCGAGTATAAGCATCCATGACTGCGGGTGGAGGTGGAAACATGTCCCTGAGCAGTTATATTACGAGATTGGCAATGAGCTGCTCCACGGTTTGGTCGTCTACGCGTCGGAAGTTACAGTATAGGTATGCGATGCCAACGTCACGGTTTCGCGAGCGCCTTTGGAGATAATCGATAACGATAGATACAAGTATAGTCTTCCCAGCACCAGGTATGCCGGGGCAGAAGAGAGTTACTGGCTTCCTGGATAGCCTGGTGGACTGATTAGTAAGAGGAAAAAATAGGAATAAGACAGATACGAAGGAAACCAAGAATATACCATTCCTGAAACTGAGGAGAATTGAGGAACCACTGTCCTGTGCCCTCTTGTCTTTGGCGTAGAAAGTCGGCTTGTTGTGACGAATAGTCCACTGAAGAGAGCCACTCAAGCATTTCTCCATGTTTTTGTCGAGCTTCAGCAGTATATGTCTGTTCAAAAAAGATATTGACGCCCGCTTCAATCCCATCCATCCGTTGCTCAATAGACTGGAGCTTTTGGATCTGGGCCTGATGATTTCGGTTCCGATCTTTTCTGGCCTCGATTGCCTCTTTTAGAATCTTATTTTGAAGTTTAAGCTGGTCAAACTCGAGAAGCGAAGTCAATGTTTGGCATTGTCGATGGAGGTTTTCGACAGCTTCGCGCGCTTTCCTGCCAACAAGTGCAGCCTTGAGGCGCTCCCATCCAAACCGATGACCACCTGCCAGCCTTTTCAAGTCAGAGAGTAAACGTTGTAACTCCTTTTCACAGGTAGATAAGAGCGAGCTGATATCCAGTTCCAGCTCTCCCTGAGTCGTTTTCATCTTGGCCCGTGTCAGTAGGGCCTGTATTGGGCAGGGGATTACGCTTAGAAAGCAATGCCGAAGATATGTCTTTGAAGGCGTTCGCAAAATCCGGGTCCGAGAGAAGATCATGAACATTTTGTAGGGTGGTTTTGAGGGCCCGTACTTCTTGAATGAAACTTCCGGCCTCCTCTTTAGCCTCCCTCCAGTTGTAACAAAACTTGAAGATATACTGAATAACTTGGCCGGCCACGCCGATGACGCCGACGATACCCGTAGAATCAACCATGATGACACCGGCGATGCCTTTGTGAGAGCATACTCGAGTGTAGCAGAGCAGTATTTGAGAGGGTCGGATGGCAAATGATGTTGACAAAGAGATTATGATGCAGAAAAGAGCCAACGCTCTTAAGGGATTGAAGGAGAAGTGTTCTCAGTCAGGAAGCAAGAATGCAATCGCAGCAACCAATATAGACAGATCATTCAAAGGGCTCCCACAGGTTCGTTAACCAAAGAGTCTTTCAGGTACTTGCTTTTTGGTTGTAGAACCCAAAGCAAGGAGGTTGTTCAGAAGAGAGTGCCTGATGTATGCCCCACCAATATGATATGATGACAATGTGGGAATCAGGCTGAGTCGTAGGCTTAGCACGCTTCACATCCGTGGCAGAGTTCTTGTGCTCTGATTTGCGATAGATGCATCAACACGGTGCTGGAGCCGAAGACCCCAATAAACCCATGTGGCTTGGATTGCCGCCTGATACCCGCCACAAGACTCCTCGCCAAGCCCTCCGAAAGGCTGCATCACTCATTATGTCGGAGAGATGGCCGCTGTTCGAGGCCCAACATGTACAGTCCTGTTTCAAAATGTTTACCTGAAGGCTTCAAAAGTTGATGTCTTGTAAGATAGCCGGGAAAGGGCATTGTGTGGATGGATGAAGTTGGCGACCTACGAAAGAGTTAGGTAAATCTGGAATACCTACTTGCTTACTAACGGCTGGATCGAGAGTGGTCCAGGAGGCGGACGCTAAGCCCAACGGAATCAACTTACGGTACCGAGATAGCTTTGTTGACTGCGGCGAGTCCATTCAGCAGACGCAGAAGACTTTTATGAGAAATCTCGCGCTGGGGATGATTATGCTTCAATATTTTTATAAGAGATTCGAAAATACGCTGCGTTACTGTGTTATACCTCACACACACGATCCCTAATGGCGGACTAAAAGGAGCCGTGTCACTTGACAGCAAGCACCAAGGCACCCTCCGTTTCGAAAGTGTTTGGGCCATTCCAACTTATAGGGATGCGTCCGCATGTCAAGGTCGCAGTTATTGAAACCAAGGTTATATGCACAGTTTCCTCCACACTGCTCGCGAACTGTTGTATACCGGGGCTAAGCCACACGAGCTAGTCGTCGAACTCAAGAACCAAGGTCAAGCCGAAACGACCCTAAAGCATCGTCACCCTTGGCAAGGCGATGGCTGAAGCAGTGAAAACAGATCATTATCGACGCGACAGTATCAACGCCTTGAGGGATAACTCGCACACCGCCATGCAGCCTCAGCCACCTACAAACACATCAACTCATCATACGCAGAATAGACATAGACAGCATGACAGAAATAAACAAACAAGGTCAAGCACTTCTTAGCCAACCAACCAATCATCGGCCCTAATCTCCCTCTCCTTCTGACCCAAACACCAAGGTAGGCAGGTACACAACCGAGAAATGTCCATCATGGCTTTAGGTACACAACACCATCATCCTGAATCGGCACCAGTGCCAGACCCAACTCAAGCAATCTCCCGTGTCATTCCGAAACCGAACCCATATCATGGTTATGAACAACCTTAGTCCCTCATGCCCATCAAACAAACCTGGGTGACTGATCATTCAAGACTCGCTCAAGACTGGCCAAACCGATTCGACTGAACCGCAGCAGATGGACTCTATAACGCAAAAAACACAAACACATATGATTAATACTTGTTCCTTCAAAGAAAATGGGTGGATAATTATGTAGTGACATGAGAGGGGAAAGGGGAAACAGAAAGGAAAAAACGAGCCAGAACGTCCGGATGGATCATCTCGGACGGTGCGTCAGAACAGTAACATCACTTGAGTCATCATTATCAGAGGTGCCGTTGTTCCCTCTCTGGATGGGTTGATGCGGTCGGGGTGTTGCTGACGGAGTACTCAAGGGATCTGGGTGACGACTACGAACCTGTAGCAAATTCTGCTGATGTTGCTGCTGAGACCGACTTGGCTGCGGCTGCTGACTCCCGCCACCACCAAAGAAACGGAAAAACATCGACGATAACGGCGGCTTAACCGTGGACGGCGGGATCATCATCATCCTATGTGGGGCAGGTGTCATGCCGATCTGGCTCGGGGGCGGATGCGGACCGTAAGCCTTCTGCTGCTGCTGCTGCTGCTGTTGTTGTTGTTGTTGTTGTTGGTCGCGAGGGGGCGCCCGGCCAATGACGTAGTCCTTGTTGTCGATGGTGACGCTCTTGGTCATGTGGTTGACCTTGTAGACACCGACGAGGCGGGAGGCGAGCTCGAACATGTTGTTGCGCAGCGAGATGACGATAAACTGCGCGTTGCGCGTGCGTTCCTTGATGTAGTTGGCCACGATGGACACCTATGGCTGTCAGGATTGTTCAAACTCCGAGGATAGAAGCAAATACTCACATTGCGGAAATCCAACGCCGCATCAATCTCGTCCATGACGTATAACGGCGTGGGCTTGTAATGGTGCAGGGCAAACACCAGCGCCAACGAGCTGAGCGTCTTCTCACCACCACTGAGGTTGCTGATATTCTTCCAGCTCTTCTTGGGCGGCATGACACTGAAAAGGATACCCTCGCTGAACGGATCGAGCGAGTCAACCAGCTCGAGCTCAGCATTGCCACCCATGGTAATCATCTGATACATCTCCTTGAGCCTCAACGAAATAGTGCTGAACCCCTCCATGAAGCCCTCCAGCCTCATCCTCCGGAGCTCATCACACCTCTTCTTGGCGGCGTCACGCTGGGCAACGGCTGTAGCCAGGTCGGACGAGCGCGCGGCATATTCCTCGACACGCCGACGATACTCGGCCAGCACGCTGAGGTCGACCTGTGTGTTCTGCGTCTTTTCCTCGAGCGCGGCAATCTCGCCCTTGAGACGTTCCTTGTCCATGTCGGCCAGCTCGTCCTTGGTGTAGCGCGGGAACTGCAGAGGGGCGGCGCGGCCCGGGCCAATGGTTGTTTCGTTGACGACAGAGTTGCCTTCGGGCTCGGCTCCCTGGGCTTGTTCCTCTTCAAGGTCGACGTCAGTCATCTCCACGTCAGAGTCCTCGTCCTGGCTTCGTTGCGATTGCGGAGGCTCTTGTTGAGCAGGGGCTGGAGGCTGAGCAGGTTGAGTAGGCTGGCTGCTACCGCCCTCGAGATCCTCAATGTTAGTGAGGGTCAGCTTTGAGAGCATGTGCTCCCAGTGCTTGAGCTTCTTCTGGTTATCCGCCAGAATCTTATGACTCTCCTCGAGCTTGTTGCGCATCTCGATCTCAACAGCACGAGTAGCATTCAGCTCAGCCGTCTTCTCATCCAACTCAGCCTTGACCTGCGCGAGCTCCTTCTTCTTAGCCGCGAGCGCCTCCTTGGCCTCCTCAACCTTGCTCTTCAACGACTCCGCCCGATCGCCCTGACTCTGGATCTCCTCCTCGAGCCTCTCTGACTCGCGAATGGCCGCCTCCAGCTCCTTAGACGCCTTGGCGTGGTCCCTCTCGAGCTTAACTCTCTGCTTCTCGGCCTTAGCCTTGCGCACCTCGGCCTCGGAAACAGCCTCGTTCTGCTCGGCAATCTCGGCCTTGAGCTCATCGATCCTCGCGCGCTTGGCCCGCAGCTTCTCGCCACCGACCTCCATGATCCGGTCCTGCAGCTCTTTGATCTCATCCTCCACGCTCTGCGTCTCTCCATGCAACTTCTCAACCTCCCTCCTTAGCTTAGCAATCTCCCGTTCCAGCACCGCCATCCGAGTATCATCGCTCTGCGACGGCTGGTGCTCGCGCGCAAGCTCCTTGATCCGGCGCTGGGCATCAGCCAGATTCCTCTCCGAACTCTCGATCTCGAGGTTAATCTTCTGCATGCGCGTATCAATTTCCGGGATCTGCTCCTTGAGCGAGCGGATGCGGTTCTCCAGCTCGCGCATGCGGTCCTGGTGCTCCTGGAAGGCTTGTTCGAGGGTATCACGGTCGGCCTCCAGTTTGGTGACTTGCTCCTTGGTGGTGTCGGCCACCAGACGCGAGGACATCAGTCCGCGCTTGACTGTCGTGCCACCGCCGGACATGGTGCCCGACTTGTCGATCAGTTCGCCGGCGAGGGTCACAACGCGCCAGCGCTTGGCACCATAGGCAATGCGGTTTGCTTGGGCGAGGTCCTTGGCTACAAGAGTGTCTTGCAGGGCATGGTAGAAGGCGGGCCGGAACTTGGGATCCTTGGGCTTGACGAGGTCGAAGAGGCGGGGGGCGTTCTCAGGAGTCTGGATCGGCGACATGTCCCGCACGCGCAGCTTGTCCAGGCAGATGAAGTTACCACGGCCGAGATTCGTCTTGCGCAGGTACTCGATACATTGTTGACCGGCCTCGACCGTCTCGGTGACGAAGTTGTCAAGCTGCGGGCAGGCGGTCGAAATAGCCACATCGTACATCTGGTCGATGGTACCGAGGTTACCCAGGCGCCCATGGAAGCCTTCGATACGGCCGGACTCCTTCATGCGCATCAGCGCCTGAAGCACGCTGCTCTGCGTCTGCTGGGCGGCCAAGTTCGAGCGTGCCTCGTCAGCTTTCTGCCGCGCGTTCGACAGCTGAGCGCGCAGCTTAGGCTCTTCCTGGGACAAACGCTCCAGCTCGGCTACGGCACGGCGACCTTCCTTCTGCAGGGCGGCCTTCTCGACCTGGAGCTTCTGCAGCTCCTCATGCTTAGCCTGCTGGCTCTTCTCGATGGCGGCAATCTTGGCCTGCATCTCCTCGAGAGCCACAGCACCGGCATTAGCCTTCTCGCGCAAGATGGCCATCTCAGACTCCGCGACAGCAATAGCCGACTGCTTTTGGTTGATCTTCTCCTTCCAGGGCTCAAGAGACTTTTGCTTCGCAGCGATCTGATCGGACAGGTGCTGCGTCTTGCCCTTGAGGCTCTCCCTGATCCTAGCGAGTTCGGCCTCCTCCTGTTTGACCTGCTCCTCGAGCTCGGCAATCTCCTGCGTGCGCCGCTCAATCTCCTTGGTGCATTGGGCAATGGTCTCCTCTCCCTCTTCAGCAGACCGCTCAGCATTGGCGATGGTCTTCTCGAGCTTCTTGCGCTTATCTGCCAAAAACTTGCGCTTCTCATCAAACTTAACCCGTTCCTGATCAAAGCGCGTCATCTCCTTTATCAGGGCCTGCGTCTCCTTCTCGAAGGCTTCGACCTCGCGGCTACCCCGGGCATACGCCTTCTCTAGCTGCTTGATGACCTGCTCGCTGCCATGATGCTTCTCCAGCTCAGCGTCCAGCTCGGCCTGCATCTGGCTGATGGCCTCCTCGGTGACAGTAATATTGTCCTGGCACTCGCTGACGTAAATCTGGTAGAGGGCGTTCTTCTTCATGGCGAGCTCGTTCTCGTCGCGCACATAAGCTAGCGCTTTATTCTTCTTGTCCTCGAGACTGTTCTTCTCCTTCTCGACGTGCTGGACGCGGCCGCTCTTCTCGAGGCAGATCTCGTTGAGTGCCTCAACTTCGGCCGCCGCCTCCTCGATGGGCCCCTTGTACTTCGAAGTGCCGATGATGTCCTCCAGATACTCAAGCAGACCGTCCTCGTGTTCATTGGCCGCCTTAGGCTTCATCTGCGCGATAGACTCGACCTCACCCTGCAAGATGAGGAAACGCTTGTGGTCCAGGTCGACGCCGCGCTCACGCAGTAGGGTTGTGACGGTCGTGAAGTTGGACGGCTTGCCGTTGATAAAGTATGAACTCGAGTTGTTCTTGAAGGCTTTGCGCGAGATGACCAGCTCCGAATTCGGTACGACCTCGTGGCCTCCGCCAGGCAGATCCAGCACCTCATGGAAGTGCACAGCGACCTCGCAGTAGTCCAGGTTCGGGTACTGCGCCGAGTTATGAATCAACGCCGAAATTTTTCCCTGGCGCATCTTGCTGGCCCTAAAACCGAACACAAACAACAGCGAATCAATAACATTCGACTTGCCAGACCCGTTCGGCCCAACAACGGACGTAAACGAAGGATGAAACGGCCCAACCTCTTGCCTGCCCGCGTAACTCTTGAAGTTAGTCAGCACCAGGTGCGTAATCACGATGCGCGGCTTCGGCCCCGTATCCTCAACCGGCGGCTGCGGGACGCCTAAGCTCCGCGACTTGAGCATGATGTCCATTGGCTTCTCCAGGATCGCGTCCATCGCCTTGACCGGTTTGACCGCCGTCGCGAGCAGGTCGTTCTCGTCGGGGCCCTTGAACCGCTGCGTGTTGACCGTGGCGTAAGTGATGTCGTTCAGCGCGCGACTCGGGGCCGGGGTCTGCGGCGGTTTCGGCTTGGGTGTTGGCGCATCCTCGGGCTCAGGAGCGGGTTCGGGAGACTTAGGCCGGTCCTTGGGTTGTGGTGTGGGCTGGGGAGCAGGTTGGGGCTCAGGTTGAGCCTCGGGCTGGGGCGTTGGCTGAGGCGCTGGTTGAGGAGCCGGTTGAGGAGCCGGCTGGGATGCAGTAGGCTTGGTTGGCAGAGGCGTCTTTCGCGGACGACCGCGCCTCTTCGGCGCAGGGGCTACTGACTCGTCGGCATCAGCGGCATTGGTCGCTGTTGTGGCGGCCGACGCGACAGATGCGGCGGTCTGGTCGGGATCAATGGCTTCGCTGGTATCGGCAGCAGAGGAGGTGCTCGCGGCGGCTGTAGTGGCGGTCTTCTTCGGACGTCCTCGCGGCCTCTTAGGCGGCGTCGTCTGGGCGGGCGTCTCGTTGGAGGTCGCTCTCCTGCGGCGCGTCGCGCGCGGTGCGGGCTCTGGGGCTGGTGTGTAGTCGTCGCCGCTCTCCTCTTGGACAGCCGGTGCGTCGGCCATCTCTTCGTCAGAGGACTCAACAACTTTACGGCGGGCAGCAGCCGCACGCCGTGTTGGGCGCGTCGACATGGTGAGTGTCGATGAGCGACAGTCCTGCTGTTAGATGAAATTGAAAAAAAAAGAACAATGAATGAATTGATAAATATCCTCGTTGGTCGAATAGGGTTGCTGGAAGTCGCCGCGTAAGGTATCTCAGCGCGTCAAGGCCACTGCTGTTGTGCTGTCTTCGCTGTGTGGCCCCGCCGACGGGTGTTGACTTTTGATTTGATTGTAAACAATCCGTCGCACGTGCCAAGCCCCGCTGTCTCAGCCTAGCGGATCCACTCACTTTTATCTAACAAGCGATAAGCCCTTATCATTATGCCAAGACCCCGATACAGTGATCAACATCAACATTCCAAGCATCACCGAATTGACGAATCCCAAGCTTCACTCGCGACACCAACACTCGAGCTCATCATAACCACCCACCACCACTATGCTCGACTTCACGCACTTTCCCGAGGTCTTCCCCACCGATGGCCCGCGGCCGTATGACCAGCACTTCGTCCGCCAGACCGAAACCTTCCGCAAGTCTCTCGATGGCGTGCTCTTCATCGACCGCGTCCTAGGCGCCCTCGGCCTACCGGACGCCGCCAAAGCCTATCCACCGCGCGGCGACGCCGGCCTGCGCGCGCTGCACCAACAGGTGTGCTCTGCAAAGGTGTCGGCCCACGCGAAGCTCTCCGTGCTGTACTACCTTTTGCTCGATCACGACGAACACCGCGGCTCGCGTTCCCAGCTGGCGGATGCCCTGGCCGAGGAGGTAGGCCTACCAGCAAATTATCAGATTCTGATGCGCGGGCTGTGGCATATGGATCGGAAGGAGTTTAAGGTGCTTCCCCTCCCCCTCCCCCCCAACCACCAACCAAAACAACAACAACAACAACAACAAACAAAAAAAAAAAAAAAAACTACTATACTTACCCAAATTGACCCCTTCGCTAACTGATAATCCAGTTCGCCCTCGAACATCTAGCCCATCCCTCCCTCCCCGCCGAATTTGCCGACGAGATCATCACCGTCCTGGTCCGGGACGGCCACACCACAGGCGACTACTCGCTGCCGCTAGCCTACTACCACGCGGTTCGCCCCGTGCTCCAAACATCGTCTGCCTTAGAAAACCTCTTCGCAGCCCTCGCGCGCACCAGCGTCACCGACGCGCTGGCCTTCTCACGTACCTACCCCGACCACGGCGCACGTCAGCTGTTGTTTGAGAGGCTGGTCGCTAGCGTGCTGGAGGAACATGGCAGCGGTCAGGTCGCAGGAAGGTCCGCTTCGCGGGCAAAGGAACTGGTTAGCTTGCCGCTGACGGGTGTGGAGGAGAAATGGTTGAACGACTATTTGTCGACGGGGGAGGGGAGGAAGAGTCGTAGTGCGAAAGCGGTGGTGCAGATGCGGCAGGTTGTGACGGGACGTCAGAAGGAGTTGGGGGCTGTGGTTGGGGTGAGGGCGGGCAGATAACTGGAGATTGACTTTGCTGGACGATGTATGGGTTTGATTTAATCTCGAAAGCATGAAGACTTGTTCGACATAGCGATGGCGCGTGGATTGGCGTTCGGGTGTGCTCTCTACTTGTTTTTAAAGATGTATATGTGGGATAGAGGATAGGTACCTATGGCTGGTAAAAGCATTTCCACCTAATTATAATAGGGATATCTTAGGACGTCACCACTGTTGCTTACGAGATATCATACTTGGCTAGTGTCGCTTGAAGAAGCTCCCTCTTGTACCATGTCGTGGAGCGCTGTTGCTCGTGGATCAAGCAACCCAGGATAATCCGGTTGATTGTTCCTCGAGTTTTCCTCCCTTATGTCAAATGCGTCCAGCTTGATTATGCCTAGCATTTTTTTTATCATTGCAAGATGGGACACAGGTCGGATTATGATGAGCTGTAAGATCACAATCAGCGCCGATTGAGTAAGGGAAAGCCATGGAATGGGCCTCCAGTTCAGCTCAGTATCTATCGTCTGCCGTGGTTATCTACCTCTTAACGATATATCTGCCATCTTAAGCCACTCGTAAACCCCATCAGTCGACCTTTCATACACCATGGTTCTAAGCTATACAGGGTCCAAAACAGGCTTCCGAGCCAATGGATACAGCATTTATGCCGACGATTCTGATACCAGTACTCAAAACACCTACCATCACTTGACACGGACGTCGCCGAATCAAAACAACCCAATGTAAGCATGTGTACTCCAAGCTAGTCCTATACACAACCTTTCTCCAGGCAATCTCCCTTCAAGTCCCCAACTTCCCCCTCAACGCATCAACCTCCCTCTGCAACTCACTCAAATCTGCCAGCAAATCCCCCGCAACCGACTCCGGCACTTCAAAATCCACGCTGCCCGTTTCTACTTCACCTCGTGCTGTTGAAACAGCTAACCTCGAACTGGCCTCCTCCACCGCGACACCGTTCACCCCTGTCGTACCCGCTCCCGGGACGCCGGTCGCAGCACCCGTCGGAGGTGTCGTCGTTGCTCCCGGCACGGCACCAGGCGGTGTCTTCGGCGTAAGTGCAATCCCCGACGTCGGAGAAACCATTCCCCCAATTGACGACACAGACCCCAAGGCGGTCCCTCTCCTCCTCGACGGCGGTGGTGGGGGAGGTGGCGGGGTCATCGGCAATCCTGCTGTACTTCCCTTCCTCTCTGTCACCTGTGGACCGGGGGTCGCAGCATTGGAGCTACTACTCCCCGGGCGTTTGGCCCTCACCGAGGAATGCCTCGTCGGAGGGGGAGGCGGTGGCGTAGGAGCCGATTTTCCGTTGTTGGTGATGGTAGAAGTAGGGCTGATGGCTATGCTCGGGGCACGGAGGTGTTGTTGTCTTGACGGCGGCCGAGGGGGGACTCCTACAGGAGCGAGGTTGGTGTTTAAACCGGCGACGATGGATGGGGCCTCGGCCAGTCCTCCGGGTGTTAGCGGAGCATCTGCTGTGCCATCTAGCCCGGCGCCTGGGGCAGTCCCGGGTACGGAGAGAGATACCGACCCCTTTGGGACGTGACTCGCTCTCCGAGGTGGAGGCGGGGCAGGCGGTGCTGCGCCGCTGACACTCACGCGTAGACTGGACGAGCGTGAGAGGATGGAGTCCATTGATGCGCGGCGTAGACTGTCGCCGGCATCATCCTGCTGCTGAGCCTGCGGCCCTGGTACGAGTGTGGTAGGTGAGATGGGCAACGTTGATGTGGTACGGCTTTCTGAGCGAGAATGTCCCGGTTGTCGGCGTGGAGGAGGAGCGGGCTTCTTCGCGTTGGAGCTCGTATTCAGGGCCTGCGTTTGTTGATGCGATAGCGACGTTGGCACCCCAGGACTGGGTGTAGCCGGAGCTGGGCTCTGCGTAATCTGCGTAATACCCAGGCCGCCTTCGACAACCGGTTCAGGTACCTTCCCGGCAGCCCGCCGGTTGTACGCGCTCTCTGATTCCTCCTCAGCAGGAGAGCGCTTTGGTGGCGGCAGCGGGGACTTGTTGACGTAGACGTCTGGCCCCGCCGAGGTACCGAGTCGTGGGCGCGGGGGAGATTTAACTGTCCCAAGGGTAGACTCCGGTCCAGTCGGCGATGGTTCTGATTCTGTCCCAGGACGTATTAACCTCCCATGTCGTGAGCTCGGGGGAGGGGGCTTCTTTTTCGGCGGTGCGGTTGGTGTCGGGTGGGGCTGTGGTACGGGTGACTGGCTGACGAGACCCCGGCGCTCATCCCCCTCTCCTGTCCCCTCGAGCGAAGCCCGTGGTGAGTCGTGGGCAATCGACAGTGTTGTATCATGACTGGCCAGGTTACGCGGTGGCATTCCCGGCCCCTGTTGCTGTTGTGCCGTCTCAGACTCAGGGATGTCAACCTTCCCAGTCAGCAACAACTTCTTGAATGCCTGGACATCCAAAGTAGCCTTCTTTTCTTGCCCCAGCGTATTATTCACCCCCTCTTTCTTCACCGTCTCTCTTTCTAAATCTTGTAATGTCCTTTGGAACGGATTTGGCGGCGGCTTGGTCCCATCTTCCTTATCGTAGTCTGAGCAGTATACTTGATCACCTTCGTTGTCCGCAGATTCGAATGGATCTTCCTCTCCCCTTTCGTCCAATGTTACATTCCTCCCTTGTGATTTATGTCCCTCGCTCGGCCCTGCATCCTCCCCCTCCGAATCCTCACGCGACGAAGGCGGCGGTGACTGCACCCTAACCTTCTTCACGACCTTTCCTTCCTTGCGGAAACTCGATGAAGGAGGAGGAGGAGGAGGAGGAGGAGCAGGCGGGGCGTTGGATCGAACGGGATGGCCATCTGCTGTACCTTGCGCTGCGGCAGAGGGAAATCGATATGGCTCTGTCGTCGTCGGTATAGACGATGTTACTTCCGGCTCCTTATCCCACTCATCAAAAACCCCCGCCGCAACCGGGACTGTCACCGTGAGCGGCGCGGATGTAGAGCCCCCAGCAGCGCGGCGTCTAAAGGGGTTATTGGTATTAACTGACGGCGTTCGGGCGTGACCCTGTGATTGTTGTTGGTGGTCTCGTGAGGTCATGGCTCTGACGATAACAGCGGTACAAGTGTTGGGTATGGGTATGGGTATGGGGTGTGTCGAAGTCGAGTTCCGCGTCGGCGGAGCATTCTATGAATCCGGCGACGCTCTCTTGTTCTGCTCGTAGTCTGGACTTATTATCGTGTCTCTCAAGAATGTGAACGTCAAAGTTCATGCTTCATCTGAGCACTTGCTTGCTGAATCTGAGCACTAGGGACGATGTTGGAACATGCGCGTCACTTCGGCGACGATGGCTTCGATCCCGTCGGGAGGGTTGGCGGGTTGGCCTGTCAGCGGCGGGGCATATGATGCTCCGAGATGCCGAGCGAACGATAGACCGAGAGCTGGCGACGATACGTCGTAAGGGCAACGGGTTGGTGGGCTGGCTTGGGCTAAGTATTGCATTCGTGAGGGGGACCAAACAACGGACAGTAGTTGGTCGGTCGGCGAAATGGATGGGGGATAGGGCGGGCGATGGGCGAAGATCGTCAATTGCTAGGAAGGGGATTCGCTGACAGCAGCGCTGTGGATCATCAAAAGTGGTAAGAGGTACAAGCAGTCAGGGCGATGGATGCAATCCCCCGAAAAAAAAAAAAAAAAAAAAAAAAACTTTAAGTATTTGTGGCTCAAGCTAGCTTCGCTCACAGCGCGCGCCAGACAGCAACTCAAATCCCCTCCCAGCAGCAAGCAGCTCAGGCACGCATTCAGGCAGGCAGCGCAATCGATCCGGAGTCACCCTCCCATCAATCATCTGAGACCGCGACCGACTGACCGAGACCCACCCGACGAAGGTGGGGTCACCTCAAATCTCACCCCGCCAAGCCAAGCCAAGCATTGGACCGTGCCCCTCCGCTAGACAAACAGTTGCCATGACAGGGGGTCAGGATCCGCCGTTCCAGTTCCAGAACTTAAGGTGCTGCTGGGCCAGCCCCACACACAACAATGATGCACCGTACTGATGCGAGGCAAGAGACTGTTTGTTATCATCGTGCACGGATCAATCCCAGGGTCTTGTGCTGCCTCTTATTTTATTCCATCGCATCGTATCAGTACGGTGGAGGAGGGTGTAACGGTGGGGTGGGTTTCAAGATAGTCGGACAAAGAAGTGGTCGAAGGGGGAAAATGAGAATGGATGAAATTGGAAAAAAAGTTATCGGTGCTTATTTATTGCAGACACAATGCAATTGTCTCTTGCGGTAATCTTGATCCAACTTTTTGGGTTTGCAAGTCAGTTGGCGACGTCACAGTAGTTCGCTCGTTAGCAGTAATTACATAACATTACATATAAGTCCGTATATTGCCGAAACCGGCAACGCCCGTCGACAGGGTCCATCACAACGTAAACAAAGAAGTCGCGCTCACGCGTCGCTCATCCCACCCCTCCACTCAGCTCCGGCTAGAGCAGGGCCAATTTGGCAGTTCATAAGCTCGCTCTCAGGGTCTCAAGATGAGTCAATCCGCTCTTCGCTCAACTTGACCTCCCATTGAGAATGTGCAGAATAAAGATACTAAAAACCACTAAGCAAAACCGCCCGCCAGCAATACTCAAGCACAGCCAGTATCGCCAACCAGCCAAGCCCATCTCCCCTCCGTCCCTTCTTCCTTTGGAGCCTAGACCAAAACAGAAGAGCCCGAAGATGCTCCCTTCTCCTTTGCCTGCCGCCTAATGAATAAGCCAAAAGCCAGAGGATCAAGACAAGAATTTCCCTGATAGACCATTTCCCCGGAACGCCAAACAGAAAAACCCAAGAAACCCATCCATCACATCACACAGAAAGAGAAAAGCAGGATGCCGTCATGACTAAGGGTGGGTGCGAGAAAAGGGTGAAGAGATGGTGAGTTTACGACGAAGCGGCCGGCGCCTCAGCGGGCTTCTCAGCCTTCTCCGCCGCCTTCTTGGGCTCCTTCTTCTTGCCGGCAGCAGCCTTCTTTGGCGCGGCCTTCTTGCCGGCAGTCTTGGGGGCGGCCTTGGTAACGCGACCAGACTTGGTCTTGGTCAAGTTGTCCTCCTTCTTCTCAGCGGCGGCCTGTATAGTGTTAGGCGTGACTAGACAGTCTCGATAGTGATGACATCAACTCACCTTCTTCGGGGCGGCCTTCTTGGGAGCTGCCTTCTTCGTCTCCTTCTTCTCCTTGGCCTCCTTCTTCTCACCCTCCTTCTTGGGGGCGGCCTTCTTGGGGGCAGCCTTCTTCTTCTCGCCCTCCTTCTTCTCTCCCTCCTTCTTGGCAGCCTTCTTAGGAGCGGGCTGCTTCTTGGCGAGCTTGGTGCCGCCAGAGGGGCCTGTTCAAGTTAGACATGAGTCACAGAGTGCACATATGAGTTAGGAACATACCCTTGGGCTGCTCAAAGATGCCTTTCTTCACGCCGGCCTTGAGGGCCTTGTTAAACAAGGAGTCGAACATGCTGTCCGACACAGTGATGTTGTTGTTGGCCTTGACATACTTCTTCAGGGATTGCCGGCTGGAGCATGTTAGTCATTGTTGTGTCACGAGATGAGTCGCGGCCACCTATGTGGGCGAGTGAGGCTTACCTGGAGCCATTGCGATCTTTGAGCTGTGCGGGTAAAGATAACGCGTGTCAGTACATTCATTCGAGTAAAAATGCGTCAAGAGAAACGAAAAGGCGACATGGCGCCGAGTGTCGCGTCGCGTCGTGATGCCGACCGCATGGCGACACCAAAAGCGCTGATTGAGGGGGCGGGGATAATTACCGCGATAATGGCATCCGTAATCATGTCCTACGACGCGTTAGTGACTGCACATTGACACTGCGCGAAAAATTCAAGAGTCGCATACAAGATAGGTAGGATGGTTCGGCGTCTTCTTAGTCTTCTTAGACGGAGCGCTGGTGTCCTTGGTATCCTTGGTCTCCTTGGTGGCAGGAGCAGCGGCGGCGGGCGCGCTCTCACTCTTCGTCTCAGCAGCAGCCTTCTTGGGAGCCATTGCGATTGATGTTGAGATGACTGTTATTAAATGGGATAGGAGCGCGAGCTTTTTCTTGAATCAGGGCGTTGGATTGAGGATCGGATGAAAGCTGGGACCTGATCGTCTACAGCGAAACGCGAGAACTCGAGATGGGCGAGCAAAGCGGGAATGGGGGGTGGGAGGGCGTCGCGCTCGGGGGGGGGGAGGGCATGCCCCGTGTTTATATATGGGCAGCGGGGCGTCGACTCCAAGCTCGAGTGATTGCGCTGATTGTGCCCGGTACCCCGGCCCTGGGCTGGTACTTGGCCCGTGCACCCGTCCGATTTTTTGCTGGCCAGCACGCTTTTAACCCTGATTTTGTTGTGTCATTGGTACCTCTCTGCCTTTCGGGTCGGGTAGCACAGCCCGAGGGGAGCCCCCCCAGGTCCAGGGCTTTGCGTTTCCCTCTCATCACACTTTTCCGTGTGATTTCATCTCTCTGATCTCATCGCCCAACCTCACACATAGCCCGGCCGTTTCGCTGCCCGACGCACTTTGGGCCATTGTTTTGTTTCACTTGTCTTTAGTTCGACTCAAGGTAGAGCTATAGAGCTATTGTCGTCGTTACAGAAGTTTTATGTTTTTCACAACTAGAGCTCTCAAGCTTTGAATCTCTATCATCATTTCTATCTGACTGCTAGGTGTCGTCATCGCGGCCGTCCGGCGTCAGCTGACACCTCGACATCCGCGGGGCAGCATGAGCAGCTGGGATGGATGGCGCCAGCTCGGTGGACGGTATGAGGTATGAGGTGTGAGGTGTGAGGTGTGAGGTGTGAGGTGGTAAGGTGGGCGAAGTGAGTCGTTGAGGGGAAGAAAGCTCTGTTGCTCTTGCTCTCTGCGAGCATTCGGCAGCTCTGCTGCGAGCACATCTGGATCACTTGCCACTGCTACGTCTCGCGCTTTCCCTGTTTGGGCGGCACGTTAAATCGGAAACATCGAAAAACCGGCAGCGACCCTAATTTCTGATTGGCCGGGCTAACCGCAGGCCATCCACTTTGTACCTCCCGTTGTCAATCATGCGCACCCCGCGGACATCTGTCTCTCTGATCGCGGTCTGCCCTCGATCCCTCAACGTGCCCCCCCCTTTGTCCTCGTCCTCTTCTCCGTTCTCTCCCTCTCTCTCTTTTCCCGCCCCTCTCTGTGCGCTGATATCGGTGCTTTTGCCATTGCTCTTTGTCCTGCCATTTTTTGCTCAATTTTCCCGCCTCGCTCCGGCCGCACCCGACCCGGCCAAATCGCTGTCGCCCCCGGCGTGCCGACTCGTCGTCGACATGCTGCCATCGACGCGTTCTGCCCGGTCGCGATGCCATCGGCCTCCGCGACACTGTCTGGCGCATCCGCCATAGCTTCCCAATAACCCCTGCATCGCCATATCAAATTAAGTTATTCTGCTTCCCGCGTGTCGGCGCTATTTTATAAGTTCTCATTTTTGCCATAATTCTAGGTTGGTGTTGTGGTCGGCTCACGTACTTCCAAAGTCACTCCTGATGGTGTGCGGGGCCCGACCTTGCGCCGAGCTCCTTGGAGATGAAGCTATCCGCACCTCACCCAGTGTCGTGTTTCAACTACCCCAACCACGCACAATCCAGTCTCTCACAGGCATTAAAACTGTGTCAATCGTGTCAGCGTCTCACAGAGCTCTGTTTTTTCATCAATTTTTGTGCGGGTCCTCGCCAGGGGTACCGCAAATTGGGCATCGGCGTCTGCCAGCAGCCATGATGTTGCGTCGATGTGTCTGCCACCCATCCCTATGGGATTGGCCGGCCGTCCTTGTCTGAACCACGCAACGCGCCTGGCTTGCGTGTTCCTCGATTGCATGCAGACTGACCTGTTGTCAATGCCTGCTCATTCTTATCTGCTATTCGTTGCCTTGTCTGATGGGAGCGGTCTGCATTATCTCCCAATTTCCAACTGAGCGCGCAGCTGGACTGCTTGCGCCCAAGACAACCTTGACAAGCGTCGCATCCCTCACGAAAATGATGCGCTGTGCCTGCGATGACTGCAATGCAGTCGCCGACCGTTTTGCAGCGTTTCTCGAACTGTGTTGGACTTGTTCCTGCATCACTCGTGCTGCGCCGCTCACCGTAAACAATCAGCCAGCCAGAAATGTTGGGCCAATCTCCGGCTTCAATCGTTAGACGGCGCCCATACTCATCACCACACCACCGCCTTCCCCCCCCCCCCACCCACACACACCTTCTTTTATCACAAATCGCTTGAGCAGACAATTGATAAAACTTTCGTTCCCTCGCATCAAACAGCACACGGATTTCCACTTCTCAACTGAGGCCACTACTGACATTGACTACCCATCCGCTGGAAGATATTCCAATCGTCATCACGGCAGAATAAAAAATTATCATAAGCAAAGCCAACATCAACATAGTGGCAAAATGGCTGGCAACCCTACCGCCCCCAACACCGCCAGGACAACATTGTCATGTCGGGCGACCACAGCCGGGCCGTACAACCGCCGATTGCAGCCTAATCATTCTGAACACGTTTACCTCTCATTCTGTAGTATGCCACCGATATAGATCAACTGCCCAGCTGCAAGAAGCTGGATCAAGTTGTAGCGAGGGTGCATCTGTCGTAAGTCATAGCATTGTTTAAGTCACACAACTGCACAAGAACTCTCTGTCGCAGCTGTGATGCATGCTGGGCCTATGACTCAGCTTTACCCCCCGTTGTCACTATGTCGGGTTGTTGGGAATGTATCACTCTTTTGAACAGCCCCTTAGGCTGTATCGTTTTCAGACATTCTTGCATCCTCTTTGTTTTGGAGCCGAGATTTTCTTCTTGTCTTTGTTCATGCTAGATGTCCTATTTGCCAACGCCCTTACTCGATGAGCGAACATTCTCCATAACTCTCCTTCCTTATTCCCTTTTCATCGTGCTTCTACCCTTCATCACGACAGTACATCCTACCTAGACCAGAACCAACTTTCGAAATCCTGCTTCTTTTTGAGCCTAGGGAAAACAGCTGCAACTCTAAGCTCTCGTGCTTTGGTGCCACAACACTAGGCTCGGGAGTGGAAAGCGAAATACTTGAAAAGCTCTCACTCTCTAAGACATCCTACTCGAAGACCTGAAGGACACTAGTATCCAGGCCGAGCAATACTTTGGTCTTACCAACACTGGCCCCCCCCCCTGCCGTTAACACTGGTGCCTTGTTGCCAACGTCACTGGTTCCCTTGCTGTCAACAACACCAGGCCCCCCCCCCACCCACCATGAGCAATATTGACTCTCCTGCGCCCAATAACATTGGCTCTACTGCTGCCAACAACAACACCGGCTCTGCTGTCAACACCATTGGCTCCCCTGGCACTACCCTAGTGTTATTATTCAGTTCAATGGTAACATCCAGCACATTGGTTCTGAAACCGTTTTTGGTTACATTCAATCGCAGGTGACCAACTATCACCAAGCAGGTTTGTCTGAGCCTTGATATAGCTAGTTTGCGAGTAGTCGTCTGGTGGCCGATCTAGAGTTGACATCTGTTCCACGGGAGCAAAAAGATTCAGATATCCTCAGCTGGCTCTCTTCCCTGCCCGAAGGAGACTATTCGAAACAACAAAACGACTTTCTATTCCAGACACAAGAAGGCACAGGGTAGTTGTTCCTACACTCTCCTCGTGTCAGGAATGGTACAGTCCTTGTTTCCTTCATGCCTGTTTTGTTCCTATTTTTCCCTTAGGCTAATCAGTCCAACAGGCTGTCCAGAAATTCAGTAGCTCTCTTCTGTCTCGGCATACCTGGTGCCGAGAAGACTATCATTGTATCCATCGTCATCGATTGTTTGCAAAGTAACTTGAAAGACCATGACTTCAAAATCGCGTACCCACACTATATCCTCCGGCGCGTAGACGATCAAACAGTAGAGCGGCTCATTAACAACCTCGTAAAGCAACTACTCAGGAGCAAGCTTCCACCGCCATCCGCAGTCATGGATGCCTATAATCAGTACAAGAAGCAAAGACCACATCCATTGTTGGACGATCACGAGATATTCCATTCTATTGCCGCACTTTACAAGGATGGGGTCTTCGTTATTGTTGATGCTCTGGACGAGTGTCAAATGGGTGACAATGTTCGTTTCAAGTTCATTGAAGCATTACTGCGCCTTCAATCGAAGGAAAGTAATGTCAATCTCCTGGCTACATCCTGCCCTGTACCTTGATATTGTGGAAGCTTTCAATGGGCTCTCCCGCCTTGAAGTCTTAACCCCAAAGAAGGACATCGAGAGGTACATGCGCAATCAGATGTCTAATTGGTGCACTGTCTCAAAGTACCCTGAGCTTAAACATGAGATCATCAGCTACATTGTCAGTGTCGCAGATAGCATGTAAAGTCACACTATCCTATAAACCATGAGTTAATGATCCAGTTGAGTATATGTTTACCTACAAAATTAGGTTCCTGCTCGCTCACCTCTTCATAGAGTCCTCGAAGGATAAAGTACGCGCAAAGCTTATTCATAAAACACTCAACGAGCTAAAAAGCGACTCTAAGGAAAAGGAGCCGAACCTTGCCCTATCACCTGAACATATGACGACGAAATAGAGAGAATCGATCCAGACCGATAAGACAAGAAAGGCCGAACGCCGCTAAGTTGTGCTGTAGAATATGGCCACACGTGGGTTGTTATACTCTGTTATCTGATGGCCGAGTTGATTCAAACCGACGAGACAGCCAAGGCCGAACGCCGTTGAGTTGGGCTGCGTGGAATGGCGAGACCGAGGTTGTTAAAGCCTGTTATCTGGTGACCGAGTTGATCCAGACAGACAACGAAGGCAACCCGTCTCCCGGGAATTCAGCCGTTGCAAGAACGCTTCTCGACGGATGACTCAAATGATAGCTCAGAAGCTGGGTATTGGCAGTCACTGGAGTTCTCTGACGATTACATACTCAGTCGGAGAACATCAAAACGTTACAAAGCATGATCAGCCTTCCCAACCAGCAACCCCCGAGCTGTTCCTAGTAGCCCCTTGGAGTTCCCAGGGGCTTGAGTGGCAAGACGACATAACGCTCACCTTCACTTCATCGCAACTTTCCCAGATCCCTGTCTGCGCATGAACATTCTTTGCGGTCCAACCGCACGCGCGTGGCGACCAGTCTCATGGGCCTTGTCACAGCGTGAAGGCTCAACCATCGCCGGATTGGCGTTCTTCAAATTATTCGACCAAATGCCTTTATAAATTCCAGCCGATGGGGGGGGGGAATTCGTTCAATATTCTACCTTTTCATCTTGTACAGTTTGTCCTGTGATTAGCCACCTCTTCAGCTCGTCAAGACAACATTTACACCAGTAAACTCGACTTTCCGTCTCATCTCCTCATCATACGTCTTAGGGTTGGGAAACTTGAAGCTCACAATCGAAGACAAAAATCCGATATAAGAAAAAAAAAGCCATTCTCGTATCCGCAGAACACGCATTACAATGCCTCCTCCTTTGCATCCACAGTCCGACTCAGAAGCTGGCTCTCAGTACGAGGATGACTCCGACTCCGAGTCTGTTCAGACCATTTCGAATATGCCAACAGGCTCCCAGGTGGAAACGAGCAATTCCAGCCAAACATAGAACCGGCCTGGGGGTGCCAAGAGGGAAGGATCTCCTAGTGGTGATAATGGCTGTTACCCAGCAAAGATTTCTTGGACAGAGTCCAATAGTTCGGAGTAAGAAAGAAGATGAAGGCAAAGGGGGGGATGAAGATGTGGTTGACGACGAAGATGACCAGCCGGCTCGGACAGGATATGTGAAGCAGAAATTCACCGTCCCAGAAGAATCACCCCTGGCTTATACATCATCAACCTTCCCACGCTTCCCAAAAAGTGAGTTTCCTTCAAACTCACTCAGTCATGAGTACCTAGGCGCTGACTCCCCGCAGCCGCCATCGAATCTTACCACCAAATTTTCCCCAACTCCCACCCGAACCGCGGCCAATCCAACACGCCCTCCGCCCGGTAAAACGTCTCCCCATCCTCGTCTAGGACAAATCCTTCAACGATGCTCATCTACAAAATATCTTTTCCTTACTCATGCAAACCTCGGGTGGCCTCATGCCTGCGGATAAACGCTGTGATCGCTGCCTTATAAGGGTCGGACACCATTTACACGGAGTGTGTGCGCGTGCAAGATGATGGGCACACTCTTAAGGGCACGGGGGGAGCGTGCGCCAATTGTTGGTACTACAGGCAGGCATGGAAGTGTTCGTCTCGGAATCCCGCCGTCGGGGGTGAGAGTGTCAAGGTTATGCCAGCGCCGATGTTTAAGCCTGCCGGGCATAGGGATCGGGCAGCCTTCTGGGATCGGGCAGACGGATATGACGGCGTCGGAGACTCCGACAGCACCCGAGACGGTGACCAAGCCCGTGCCGGCGTCGTTGAATCCTAGTTATGTTGCTGCGCTGGCGGCGGGGGGGAAGATACAAATGAGTAGGGCAACGCTAACGACATCCGTACCAGCAACACCAGCCCATCAAGACCTCTGTGTTGTCACAGCAGGAAACGGTGCACACCGTTCAGCTACGACAACAGCTGCCCCGGTTCGGACACAACCGAACGCTCCTAAGGGAGGGGGATTTTCAGTGGACGAGAGAATCTCGGCGTGGCAGAAGAACATGACGATGCGGTTGCGGGCGATGAATAAGGTGTTAATAGAAAAGCTTGAAGACGTTAGAGAAGGCAAAGAGCTGACAGGCCGGTCCACGTTAACCGTGGGAATTAGTGCGGTACGTCCAGTCCTCAGACACATGACCAGCCCCCTTGCCCCTGTTCCTCCGTGCTCCTATGCTAGGGCAATATTCGTCACGAAGTATCTATCTCTTCATGCTTCTAAGGTCTGGCGTTCCAATAGCCTAAATGCTGAGAAATGTAGATATTTCCGGGTCTTGACAGGCTTGCCCTTCGTTGCGGCTTTGGGCAGGATAGGTCAACTTAACAATTGTCAATTTATCACTTGAGAAAAGATCTGGAAAACCGGTCGAGCCGTTATATTCTCATCTAGCTGCATAGAGTGCCTAATACTAACGAGCGACTGGGGAGGGCCCACTTCAACTCTCAGCTTCTCAAATTCGACTCGCTGATGAGTCGCTATCTCCGTCGGTGTGACACCTGTCAAGTGCCCCTTAACGCCACACCAACACTCAACCCATCCGATATCGTATCTAATAACCGAATGATGTATAGGACCGGCCAGCGGCACTGTAATGTAGTCAGGACGTGGAAGACAACGTCGGAGTCAAGGGCCCGCCCTCTCCGAACGACTCACGGGCCATCAAGGACGGATTTTCTTCGAAGAGGAGGCGCTGCTGCCTGCAGCACTAACCTTTGCGCTCCCAGACGCTGCGCCCTTGCTGGCTTCGGGCGGAATCTTCTTCGCGAGAGCAGCTGAGCCTGAAGCACCGTTGGCCACTGGAGACAGAGGTTTTGCCTTGGCGCTGCCAGGCGAGTGAGACGGCGCAAGCTTCAAGTTTGCGAGCCCAGCAGCGAGGTCATTGCTAGCACCAGGCTTTTTCGTAGCTTTCGTGGCAGTAACTTTGTTTGTGGCTGCAGGCACAACGGCCTTGTCGGGGACGAGTCGCCCTCCTCGGCCACCTTGATTGTTGCTGCTGCCACGTTGGGAATTGCTGTATCCTCCTGGGGTACCAGCGCCCCCATACTCTCCGCCCATGCCTGTCTTCAGGTAGCTCGCCCCGATGTTTGACAGCTGGCCGCTTTGTATGCCTGGCGTGTAGTCGTAAGAACCGCCCCCATAGCTGCCAGAACCTGGAGTAGCATCGCGCCCACCGGAAGACGTGCTTATGAAACCTGGAATCGGATCAGGAATCGTACCAACAAGTTTGCCATCCACAAATACTTTGCCATTGGGACTCCGTGTGGCATAAATGGTCTCCAAAGGCCACGGTGCGGCACCCATGCATGTGCCCAGTGTTTTCTCTCGCTCTATCACTCTCACACTGGCCTCATGTTTGTTTCCGAGCGTCCTCACAAAATATTCGACCCTCTGGTTTTGATCTGCAATTATTTGGGTCCACATTCGCTTCTGCTCTGCAATTTGCTGTTTGATTGATTGATCGACTGGTTGTCCGGATGTCATTGCAGCGCCTGGTTCCAACTGTGCATCCGGGACGCAATTATAGAGAGAGCGAGATGGAAGACTGGCAACAATGGCTGTTGGGATGATTCGAGAGTTTGCTAGTTGTCTTTCGAAATCTTCCAACTTATTTAGCTTCAAAATGTCGTTGGCTGAGAAATGAGCCAGTACTTTGTTCGTTCCATCTGGTGCTGGCTTGCCATATGCAATAATACCAACGCAGGTAAACAGCGCCATCGTGTAGATATCCTGGTTCTGTTTAGCCGATTTCACCTTATTAATATTGACGAAGACCACACTCTCAGATTCATTAGGTGCACGATGTGGTACACCTGGTGTTGAGCCTGTTGAAGCCATGTTCAGACCGAAAGCGAATATCAATCTGCGCCGTCGTGTCTCCAATTATACCGCGAACGTGAATATGGTAGGTGTAAGACTTTGTTGTGCAACTGGAACCACAAAATTTCTTAATCCTCTCTGTATTCAAATTATTGATGCTGCCACAGCATTCTTTTGATGAATGGGAGATCTGCATTATATAGTCCAGAGACTCTCTACATCAAGATCCTAGGTACCTATTCTGCTGAAAGATTTTCAAGTGTCATTACACTATGAACCTGTCATCCTCCATATCCTTGACGGCTGAAAGTGAGATGATGGTGTTTCAGCATCGGGTCTAACACGGTTGCTGAGCATTATCATGAAACCATCGAAAGCGGCCTCGGGAATGGTCGTTTTCTTCGCCAATATCGTCTTTGGTTCAGCAACGATGACATCTTGAATTGATCCCACTACTGTAGGATGCCATGGGCAACCCGGGTGGTGTTTATTGGCTAACCTTCAAACGTCAGCTGAGCAAGCATAGGGCGTAGGCGGCGGGTGGGTACATCAGTGGTTGAGTGCCACCCTGTCACACATTGGTCCAGATCCTTCGACCTGTTGGCCATGGTCGTCCGGTTGTCCAAGACCATGTAAAGGAGGTGGCCTTGATTAATCAGGCCATCTGAAATGCCGACTTGTTGGCCATCTTAGTGCCAGTCCTGATGTCATTCTTCCATAGCTAGTGAGTGCAGAGAATTGCTCATTATCAACATCGACTGACACCTCTAGAGTATAGTTCATGAGCTTCAATTGTTGGCCTTTGAGAAAATGGTTGTCTGATCGACACAACTCCTAAAGCCACCACCAGCTCAGACCAGTGTAAGCCTAAAGTGAGCGGCCTGGTACAACACTTGGCTAACAGACCCTTATCCCTATCACCAAAGATGCAACTTACGCAGTCTGGGGTTGACCCATTAATCAACCTAACCGCATTTAAGGCCAGTTAACTTCAGTAACCTACACGAACTGTCGGCATTGAACCAGGCTGTTGCTTTGCGGGCGCCGGCTCAAGGATTAGCACCGAGTATCGGATTCGCACTGGCAACAAGTAACAACGATTGATGGAACTATATAATTGAACCATAACACAATTCCTGACAGGGACTTTGAACAATCCGCCTTATTTCCATTCCATCTGCCTAAGTTGAGTATATCATGGGTCTCTAAGCGAAGGTAGGACAGAGATCTTTGCGGGGTTGGATCTTAGCGAGACTGGCCTGCCGATGCAACTTGCCTCGTTTACCGCTCGTCTTCTTACTCCCATGAGGAGAGGAATCTTTTGTTGTCATTTGTGGGAGGTCTTACAGAACTGTATTGAGGAAAACTATATCGAGAAAAACAATTAGTTTTGAGTAGCACACGTGGATGACCTGACTTCCCCGCTGTGGTCTTCCTGACTGTTGTTGCCAAAGCCTGGTACTGAATCGCTTCTAGAGGTGAGAGATGGCGACATGTGCATAGCCAAAGCACTGCAATTGTTAGGGATCTTGAGCCAGGGGAAGGCATTTGCCCAGACTCTACCCCCGGGGCTAGCTGTTGCATGAAAAGTGTTGTGTGACCACGCTTCAGTGAACTGTTTAGTTCTATCCCGCATTCACATATCAAACCCATATCCATTGGGGACCGGGGAAGCCCTTCTCAGCTTATTGACAAATATTTCAAGATGAGTATTTGCCTTAACTAATGACCGTTTGTGAGTTTTTTTTTCTTCGCTTGTCAAGGAACCCGATCATCACAGCACTGGAGAAATAGGAAGGTTTTTCGGAGACGGGATCCTTGAGTGCCAAAATCTCCTCCTTTAACACCTCATCAGGCTTCACGTCAGATATGTTGAGCTTTGAGTCCTGTTAGCTGCAAGTGACCACGGTGTGGTCACCGCTGACCCCTACCTCGGTCAGCCCCGGCTCCACTAAGGTCAGGTGCACGATTGACCTTTTATAAGAGCCATGCTCATCCGCCCTCGCGCGTGTGTAGTTTAGAAGGCAGAGCGTAGTTATTCTGCAGCACCTCATTGTGCTTGACAGATCCTCAAGGCCGCGTGTTCTGCAGGGCAATGACCAAGTAAATAATCCTATCCCCATTACATCTTTTTTATACATCCAACAAGTTCGGTAGACTGAGGAGCTATCCCCCAAACCTTGAGGTCATGCTCTCGAATAAGGTACACAAAGCTTGGGAAAATACCTGGAGTAAAAAGCCATATTGCAATGATCTGTGGTTGGTGTGATCCAAGAAGTGTTAGAATCATAGAAGTCGGGAAAAGGGCCAGGTAGCAATAAATGGCCTAGGCTGCTGATGCTCAACCTTGCATGAAATTGCCACTGATGTCCCCGTGTTTGTTCCTGCGGCCGTAGCGGAAACATCAGCCAATGGAAGGCTGAAAAAGCCCCACCTGCCTACTGTAAGCCTGCCAGGCACCCAATGTTCCTTGAGACTGCAGCTTGAAGCATACTCGATGTGATATGTCTATATATTATGTGCTCAAGCACTTGACCAGTGTTTGTGTGAGAATACCAAGGCTCGACCTCTCCCCAAAACAAATATCTCTCCTCAAAAAAAAAAAGAACAAAAAAGAACAGAAAAAAAATGACACCGCGTCCCCTTTTCTTAGACAGCATCGATGGTGTGGAGCAACATGTTACCATTCCCGACTGGAACCAGCCTGGGAAGATGCGGACAGTCCCCATCAAGCTTTTCAACAACGCGTACCTCAAATATGAGAGCGTCAACGGCCTACCATTTGCATCCTGGCCACAGTTCTCCTCTCTACCCACAGAGTTACGCATCAAGATATGGCGTTCAACCCTCGAACGGTACCGCATGATTGATTTGGTAATATATCCAGCCATCCAGGAGCCAGAGGATTTCGACGCAGCCTCAGACACACGCTCTTATACAAAGCGAAATGAACTAGGTCGTATCATCAGCGGTGACGGCTATTGGTTGCGCCTAGGTTATGGTCAACACCCTACGGTGCCCAGTCCTCTTTTTGCCGTCAATCACGAAGCTCGGGAGGTGGCACTTTCGTTTTACCGTGTGCGCCTTCCACTTCCTCACCCAGACGGGGTTGACATCCTGTACTTAAACCCCGACTACGATATAATTTACTTGCAACAAGACTGGTCAGGGCCTCCTTTGTCTAAAACCCAGCATTACCGGCTATTCGTTGCCTTTCTACACGATGTCAAGGCTTATGATCCTCTGGATCAGGGGTAAGATCTCCCAAGTTTCGGACACAAGTGATTGGGTTACAGATCAAGCTGATTTCAATCAATAGCATTGCCCATCTTGCTCTCAAAGAACACCATTGGCACTTCTTTCCTGGTTATCATTTTGAAAAAGACCCAGCGACTGATCAGGAAGTGCCAGTGTCCTGCCCTGCTAGCTTGACTCCTGATAAACTTCATCCTATTGCGGCAGCTTCTTTTCGAGATATCCTACTAAACCATCTCCGGTCCTTGTTCTTTGTTGTGAGGTTTTACTATCACTTCAGGGGGTGGACCGAGTTGATGACGCGGCTAAGCCCGACATCGCTCCATTTTGCCCATACTTACCCTGTCCGAGTCGTCCGCTCGGGATCCCCAACTGGGGGATTTCGTTGGTTTGAGGCTGATCCAAGACCAGGAGTTGAACATGATCTCACCCAAGTATTTTTCCACCACAACCCAGCCGGATATGCCGTTGACTGGAAGAATATCGAGCGAGCCTTTGGCATTGAGGAACGAGCCAAACGACAGAGTTTCGATTTCTACATATGTCCTTCCGTTGATTGGACTGATGCCAGTTCGCTACGGATAAGAAACTTTACCCCGGGATCGCGGGAAGAACTGGCCTATCTACTTGCTGAAGACAAGGACCATTGGAAAGGCGCGATGTCATTTTGGAGGGAAACAATGTTTAAGGGAGTTGGTCCACCTGATCATGGATGTATAATTGATGAAGAAACTTTCGCCATGATGGAACGGTTGCCGAGCACAGCTGTCGGGTGGTGGGTGTTCAGGCCGGATGCATTCACGCAACCGGTCACCTGGCACTCCGTCGCAGCGATATATCGTAACTTATCCGCTTGGCCGGGTTTAATCATGTTCGAGCTCTGAATTTTTTTTGTCGGCAACAGGAAGGGATGTGCCACTTAGAAAAACACATGAGGAAAGACATCAAGACTTGTTACTGGTCCCTAAAGAGTTCGCCGCCAGATTCACTCGAACCAGATGACAGTCTTTTCCGGGGTATCCATCCCACTTTGGAAAGCGCAGCAGTACAATCATCACTACATCCAGGCGGGCAGAGCTATGCTGATGCTAAACTACCTGCTATCGGCTGGAACCGACCATCACCAAGCGGTCTACCGACAAGATCGAGCAGCACAACGCAAACGCCTGGCTGCTCAACACCGGCTGAGTCTGCAAGCGCTGCCCGCTCAAGTCCACTCGTGCCATCCTTGACGCCATCCACTCGGGCGAGCTGGCCAAGGTCGAGCACGAGACCTATGACTTCTTCAACCTCCAGGTGCCCAAGACTTGGCCTGGTGTGCCCTTGGAACTACTCAACCCCAAGAATGCCTGGACTACTGGTGCCCAGAGCTTCGAGACTGAGGTCTGGAAGCTCGGCAAGCTGTTCCTGGAGAACTTCAAAAAATTATGAGAGCGAGGCTACTGAGAATGTCAAGAGGGCCGCACCGGTTGTGTAAAACAAAGAGGGGTTGAGCTTGAGGTTGACAGGTGGTGGAATAGACTGGGTTCTTTTGCTCTTTTTTTTTCTGTATCCTTGTCTGGTTTGCCGTTCAACTAAGCATTGGGATACCGGCACTATTTTTCCTTTTCCCCTCTTCTCTGAGATATAATATGGGGAAACTATATACAATTGGAATGTATGGCTCAACACCTGTAGTTCGGATTTTTGGAACTCTGGGTAGTATCATCGCTTGGGTTGAAGGCAGAAAAAATTGGCTATATGTGGCCAAGCTTTTGAGTTGTTCGAGACTCGCAGCTAGTAGATGAGCTGAATTGATGAGCTTGTGCGATAGCATTTATGGTCCTGGTTTGTGATGCACTTCTGTGTTCCCTGCTCCTGCCTTTGGCCTGTTTGAGACAGTCGCATCCGTCTTCTGTTCGTTAAACCACATACATCTTACTACAATAGGTTTTCGGCTCTGAGGTTTTTGAAAGAACGGAGCTAACGGGAACACATGGCTGGATCATACGAGACTAACATACCCCTTTATTTTACTTCCTATTTTTCCTTTGAGGTCTGCCCTATCCAAGCACTATACAGGATTTTCTTTGTTATTCTTTTCTTCTTCTTTTTCCTCTCTTTCTCTTTCTTTCTTTCCTTTTCTCTTTTCTCATTTGAGCAAATGTTTATAAGATTGTGATCTCATGCTCCAGATGGCCTGAAAGCTGGATGTCTTGTTAACGAGACATGGCCATTGCAGTGTCTGGAGATCAATTGCTGTCATTCAGAGCCTTGAAACCCCTGCTGCTAGCGACTAATCCTTGAAACTGCCCACACAGCTGCAGAAATGCCGCAACTGGGCGTGCTCGAACACCAACAATGTGATGACAAGCCATCCACAACATAACCCCGTTTTGCAGGTTGGGCGCATCCATAACATCTTTCTCAAAACGTCAGCTCTTTGGATTGGAGCAAGTCTGAGAGGCAAATCCCCGCATTTCCCCCAGTATGCTCTGGGCACAGTCCTGCAGAAGAGTTGGACAAATCAAGACGTTTGCACAATCCATGCAAGCAGCAGCCTTCAAGCCCCGCCCTATCTCTGGGCATCCGCTAACAAAAGTGAAGATTATAGAGGAGACTTTGCAGGCATAGATGTAGTTTTTTTGATGAGAACATGAAACATGCACCTTAAATGTAACAGCATGCATAAGGGGTGTTCAAGAAAAGCTAAACATTTTCGTACGTTAAGTTTGAAGCGCAAGCAGTTCAAGTGAGGCCCAGTGCCCCTCCAAACTAGGCACCCCGCATAGTGGGGCAGAAGCCCGCTTCAGCAGGCACACAACCGTATCACATCCTGATATCGCAGAGGTGATAATCAGATTGTGGTTATACTTGACCGTGATCCAGCTCTCGGCATAGGTGCAGTAGAACGAGGTGAGAGGAGGCTTCCACTTGCCAGGGGTCTTGTTGCTCTTGGACTGGTTGCCGCTATCAGTAGCAGCTCAGAGCTGTGGGCTGTTAATGTCGTTGGCAAACGATGTCCGCTTCGAGGATAACCTGGTGTTGGCGCCAAACTGTACATGCGATAACTATCAGGGTCTAAGCGGGACACATCACGACCATCACATTTTTTAAGTTTTGAGAGACCTACAGTCCAAGCATTCTTCAGGGGCACCATATGATCGATATTGACATCAGAGGCTGCAGTCAAGGCCGCACCATCATACAGGCTGTATCAGGTGCCAGAAATAGCCTGGCAGGCCAAGTTCGCCACGACATTGGTGCCATCGTGCTTGAGCATATTCTCGCTGAGTCGAGAGTTAGTGACGAATCAAAGATTGGAGAGCAGGACCCTTGAGCTTGGCATTTGCGACCCAGATAGGCGAAGTGTAGCAAACACAACCACAAGTGGCGCTCATCGCTTTTAAGACAGTTGGAGCTGAGCAACGAGCAAATATGCGTAAGGCTGAAGTAAAGTGGAGCATTTACTTGATTGGCCCCACCACCTTGCTTTCAGCCTTGCGCCATGCAAGTCTCCAATTGCGGGTTTGAGCTTTTTGCATGTTCACTCTTACCACCATCATTCTGCAACATGCTACCATCGTCGGCCCAATTATTCCCGCAACAAAGGTGACATACCGAGTATTCCAGGTACTGCTAACAGTGTTCCAGTGGGGGAATAAATTACGGTTGTAATTCCCGTCGTCGTACGAAGTGGCAACAGTTAGAGAGTTGAGATAGGTTTGAGCAGCCGACTTGGTTGGGATACATGGATGTGTGCTGTTACTCTGCCAACCAGTAATCCCTAATAGATGAGAAGGAAAAAAAAGGAAAGAATGACAGAAGGAAATGGTGAAAGTTAGCCTGGTCTCCACGTACAGAAGTCGGCTGCGGCGCAGGGGCGGCCGAAACAGCAGCGGCTGACAGAGAGAGAACCACGACAAACTCCATCTTGAAAGAAACGGCAGAAGCTGCTTAACTATCTTGTCCATTTTGGATCTGAGGCAAGGCTTTGAGGTCCTGGGCAACAGTAACATCTCGATGATATCGCGGATGACCTGCGCTCATTTAAACACCTTCAACAACGGGCTTGAATAACTTTCGTTCCCTTTCCCCCTCCGCACACGGCGTATACACATTGCAACGACAATGCCGAACGCTGCAAAATCGAAGACGACTTGGGAGTAGTCGCTTTCGCCTCGCACTGAATACGTCGTCCCCCTAATCATTAACGGCTCATTCCTCATCAGTGTCGCCTGCGGTAGCAGACACAGGCACACGTGCGATCGTGCCTCCATCACAACGCAACCCTACGGTGAGAGACAGCTGTTACGACCAGGATGGTAGCCAATTAGGAGGCTGGAAAACTATCAGCGCCAAGGAAATACTGATGATAATCGGGCTAAACATTTGTTGATCATTGAGGAAGTGCTCAGTGATAACTTACATGCCAGGGCAAGGCATATCAACAACCCTCGAATATAGATAGATAATATATAGGATCGCTCATCCCCAGAGCCACGATGAAGCCTCCTCAGTCAGCAATAGAAGCAGTGGTCAACCAACAAACTGGTAACCGCAGGAAACCATATATACTCTACTGTGTGAGGACCCCAGTTTCACAGGTTTTACAACCTGTTTGCTACCTTCGAACCCACCTCAGGAGGTTACGGAATCGTCACTTTTTTTTATACAGTGAGAGAATGTTCCAGCACGCATGGTTCTCGAAGAACTTAGTTCGGGAAGAGCTGAGAATAGAAGTGTTTGGTGTTCTCTACACCAACAGACAGCTGTCTTGGTTTATGTGCAAGCTCCATGCTTGCTGGCTCCTGCTGCCGAGACGGGGATGTGGATGTATTTCTCAGCCAAATTCCTAGGCGGGTCCAAACAAATGGGCGTCAAAATACTGGAATTGCTTATAATTACCCTAGGCTCGCAGCAGGCTAGTCACAGTTAAGCCATAAGTCCCGGTCCATACCCAAGGACCGTTCCCAGTTTGTTAGCGCCTTGCAGGATTCCCTTCCAAAAGGGGTACTCGCAGGTGTTTCTCCCAGCTTTGATCCTGCAAGACTCTGGCTTGGCAAGTTCCATCACTGCGAACCCTCCCTAGGAGCGAGGAACGTAGTGATAAGCAGATTCCCCAGCTCAAATGAAAGTGTGCAGCGCCGAGCACTTCACCGAAGGAAAGGCTTGCTGCTGGCAAGACCTCCGACAATCTCCTGTTCAGAAGTTCCTCGCAAGGCTTCGCGCTCGGCAATTGGGCGCGAGCTTCTTTAGCAACTGTCGGCTCCAGGATAGATACTAAGCCTTTATTTAGGTGAGGATTCAGGCAGTCCCCCTTGGTGTTGCGCAGGCGGCTCGACAGGAAAACACAACCACAGAGACATGCTAAGTTCAATTTGACGCCCTCTCGCTCAGCTGTGTGTAAAGTTTTTTTTTTTTCTCAGCCGTAGCATGGAATATCGTATGGTCAAAGAGTCCTTGCATATATTAACGACTTGGACAAGCTGGGCTGCACGTACATCTGTTGCACCTCGTACACATAATACCTAATGGTGGATTGGGAATGAACCGCGCCACTTAAGAGCAAGCACCAAGGCACCCTCCGTTTCGGAACTGTTTGGCCATTCCAATGTTAAAGGACGTGATAGTATGGTATCGACTCATTACACTTGAGCCAGAAGCATATACAACGTAGCCGCGCATAGCTCTTCTAGAGATAGGTATATGCGTGGAGATGATGCATCATTGTATCACTGCATTAAACTGTAGTTGTGCCCAACACGATGCATTTCTCGGATGTCATTGATCTTGTAGGACCTGTCTCAGTCACTCTCCGGTCTCAAACGAGAGCTCCGAAGCTCGGGATCTTATTCTATAACATGTCGTAAGAAATTTTTATGCTATGATCAACTGGAGTCGATTGTGCTATCCGGCTTCCCAAGTCAAGCTCTGAACAACAAACACTAAGTCTCCTGAACCCTGTTTTCTTTTCAATCTTCCAGGTGTTCATTACAATGTTAGACACATACAATAGCCATCTTACCATTTGATCAAACGCAAAGGAGCACCTCTTTCCAAGAACAAAAAAAACTTAGATCTCGGACTGGTAGTTCAAACAATTCATATTGGAGAAAAACACACCAAAAAAAAACGACCGGAAAACTTGGGTAATTGACCAAATCAACATATCTCATTCATGCTACCATATGTATCATCTCCCTCTGTATCTTCTTTATCTCCATCACCCCGTGATAATGCTAATGAACTCTGCCATATGCTCCTAACTCTTTTTTAACCCACACCCCTAACCTCTTCCGTAGGTACATGATGACAACAAATAAGTGAACAAACTAAATCCCACAGATAAAAAAAAAAAATCCTGAACGCCTAGCCCAATCCCAAACATATTGAGATATTCCCGTAACGCCTACGCTGTGCGATGTAGTTGGTGTGATGTTGTTATGCGATGTGTGCCGTAATCAACAAGGGAGATGACAGAAATTTTCCCCATCTCCTCTCTGTTTCCTCCCCTGGCCACACTATTCCATCCATGCCTCTCTATCTCTATGGGACACCCCCCCCCTTCCCAAGATCCTGTACCAACCCCTCTTAACCAGTCAACAAAGAACTAACTCACCCACAAAAATTCTTATTCAACGCCCCAATAGCCCTAACATCCTCTAACGTCTGTCCCGCTCCCGTCACCCCATTCACTGCACCCACCGTCCCGACCGCAGGCTGCAATGTCGCCGGCAAAGGCGGCACCAACGTCGGGGCAGGCTCTAACGCCCTCGGCGACGTCCCCGTCGTATTGGTGTATGTATACCCCTGTGATGATGTCGGTGGAGCCGATGTCGTGGGCGCAGAGAACGGGTTCGCGCTAGCTAGTTCTGTCGACGACGGTGTCGTCGCGCTTGCGGAGGTCGACGTTGTGGAAGGATCGTGCAGGAGCAGAGCAGAAAGGCTGGCTTTGTTGGTGTTGGTGTTGGCTGTTGTTGGGGTGCGGTCACTCCTCGAGCTGTCAGAGACGCCGCTGCGGGGCTGGGCTGGGGGTGATTGCGAAAGCTCGCGGACGCGTGGGCTTGTGGTGATGAGAGGGGGGGGAGGGGGCGGCGGGTGATGAGAGGTGCCGTTGGTTTGAGTGCGGGGAATGGGGAGGGGTGGGAGGGTGGTTGGGACGGTCGAGCGCGAAGGGCTGGTGCTATACTCGAAGCGGGCTTCGATCCGGACCGCCTCGCGAGCTTGGGCTTGTAATTGCTGTGCTCGGGGCGAGTCGAGCAGGGATGGACGGGGCGGGGGCAGAGTCGTCTGTGATGAGTGATGCTGGCTCTGCGGATATGGCTCGGGTAGGGTGACCTTCGACTGTGGTGGCGGCGGAGGAGGAGGAGGAGGAGGAAGTTGCGGTGTCTGATGAGGAGGGGGTAATGCTAACGGCGGCCGGTCATACGGTGAGCTGTGATGAGGGGGTTGAGCGTGCGGATGCGAATAGCTCGGATGAATTGGATAGGGTAAGTGATGCGGCGGCGGTTGCGGGTAAGGATGTTGGCCGTGGCCATAGGGAGGTGTGCTGATCGGCGACGGGGGCCAATGAGGGTAGTTAACGTGATACGGGGGAGGAGGATAATGATGGGGATACGGCGGCGGCGGCTGCATCGGCGCTCTCGTCAAAGCAGGTAACGGCGTGTCGTTTAGGCTCGATTCGGGATACATGCCCTTGGCTGGAATGATGTGTCGGAGGGCTGGATCTGTGCTGGGCTGCGGCAGGTCTGTTGAACCCCTCGAGTAGTAGGCAATCAGATGGAGATGCTGACCCTGGGAGGTGGTGATGCTGAAGGATTGCTTCATAAGCCCGTCAGCCTTATACCGGTATCCGTCTGGCTCCCCATCGTCCCTGTCCTCGTCGCTCCCCCTTCCTGACTCTGGCGTCTTCCCGGCTCCTCTCCTGCTGCTGCCGAAGCCAGAACCCCTTTTGCCCTCCATCTCACGATATGTCAAGAAGCTGCCCGACACGCGGCTAGCGCTCCATGACTTGCCATCCGTCCATCTCCTCATGCCCGCCTCGCGTTCGTCCCACACAAACACTGATCCCGACCGAATCGCCTGGCGCTCCTTCTCGGAGAGTCGCCGTTGTACTCGTGGCAGAACGCCCTGCCGGCAGGCTTCGAAGAGCTTGATGGCATCGACGGGTGTCCTGACGATGCCGTAGTAGGTTTCCATCATCGTCCGGCCATGAGTACCGGATTGATATGTTAGGCTATCCCCCATAGTGGTGTGTAAACTGTTATGTTTCGTACAACCCTCCTTTTTCTCGGTAGTTCGAGAACTGCTACACCATTCAGGCCAACACGCTGTGGGCCTGATGAGTGACAGTAGTAGTGATCAGATCAAGAGGAGCCTCGGGATGTAGACGAGGCAAATAAGAACCTGCGCACTTGAGTCAGACCCTGTTCTTGGACCCATGAAAAAACGGAAGACTGATCATGAACTGCATGAGGGAGATCCAGTAGATCAAGGACATGGTTCTGGGGGAGAGGGAAGTTGACAGCCTTGGCACCCCATTAAAAACATCTTGCAGAACAGCCAGATCTCGACGACAGGCTCACTTCCATCGCCCATGCATTCCTCTCAACCCCAACTGCATACCTACGGCCCCGCCGGCACACGCAGACTGCCCTCTCGCCCGAATCGAAAGCAGACATGTTTGCGAGACGCAAAGGGTCACAGCACGGATGCTGTGGAGCCGTCTGATGCGGCATCCTGAGACCAAAGCGTGAAGCGGGCGCTGGCTGCTGCTGCTGTTGCGCTGGTTTTCTTTCTCCTTTTCTGGTCTTTCCCGGTGACATTCCCACGGCGCACTCACAGCCACGTTGTATATCCACTGGGACACGACATGGTAAGGCCAAGTGGAGGTGAGTTTGTGCCTTGGCCGGAAGGATCGGAGATCGGTGATTTGCGCAACTGCTGGGCTCTCCCCCACTCGGGACTGAGGATCTGAAACTGTTCGACGGTGCTCTCATGCCGTGGTGGTTGACGTCGTGGTCAACTGTCTGCGGGTATGCGATGTGCGGGGAACACGAGTGTGTGTATAGGTTATGGTGTTGAGTGGTGATTTGAGGGGTCATGACGGGAAAGGATTGATGTACACATACCTAAGAGTTCCTGTATGAGGAAGATACCGAGCAGTAGTTCTCTGCTGGATCTGCAGCCTTTTTCAACGCAACGACGTCGTCTCGGAAGATGCAAGCTGTGGACTAGAAAGCTCCAAGTCGATAGAAAGCAGTCCTATGTTTTTTTTTTTTTTGTTCTGGCCGTCCTCAGAGAGAGCTGTAGGGTGGTCGAGGTTGGCGGCTGCCTCGTGGTACAATGATTGAATTGCTGAATGTGACCTCGCGATGCGACCCGTCCCGATGTGGTCGAGGTCCAACTGGGTTGTCTAAAACCCCGGATCAAAAAGGTTGGTTTGGCGGCCTGGAGGCTGGCTTGTTGGCTCAAGGCTCGCTGGCTCGCTGCTGGCTCGTTGTTGTGCTGCTCACTGGTGTTGCGTTGCTTAGTGCGTCCCCTACGGATCTGCCCGCTCATGCAGTCTAAGTCGTCCGAGGTGTATGCGGCAGAAGACGTGAGGTCGAGATTTAAAGGATTGAGGTTAAAGTTTGGCCGAAAAGGTAGAAAAATGCGATACAAGTTCACCCAGACCTGGAATTAAGGCAAACAGCTGGCCAGTCGCTGCCAGTCTCAACCACCGGGCACCCGCTGGCAGCCACAGCTCCCACTGGAAATCCACAGCCAACCCACTGGCGCCCACACCCATCGGAGTCAGCACTCAGCAAAATCCACACACCCTCTCCTGCTGGTTCGAGGCCAAGACTCCAAGAGAGGACCACGGTTCGTGGCTGGTTAGGTGGGGATCGGCTGCGGGTCGATGACGATGCACTCCATCAAAAAGAGCCAGAAAAAAGGGCGCCAAGCATTCCCATGGCATGTCTTCGCGTGTATTGTGTCTCGGGATGTGGGAGACTAAGCTAAAGTTCGGCCAGGCCTGCGCGCAGGGATCCACCAGGGGTGTGTCTACCTTTCCCATTGCCTGTCGTGTTGAGCGACCGACCTCAGCTGCCGCTCAGCGGGAGCACCTGCACTGTGCCCTGAAACGGTAATTTACATTACATAATCAGTAATTACATGTTACACAGGCGTACCGGCTGTACGGCTGTCCTTCGCCTCATCACTTTGTGCCACAGAGTGCGCAGCATGCAATCTCACTGCCGGCATGATATTTGTGAGGATCGGCATTGTTTTTCTGCCATCGCTTCGTGTTTAAGTGTCCACTTCCCAGATACAAACGCTCCACGCAAATCGCGAGCCCGACAACCGACCATCGCTGCAGCCTTCACGCCCTTTCGCTCGCCGTTCACACTTGCCGGCCCCAAACGATATGCCAGTGGGGCAATGAGCCCCAGCCGAGCTCTGTTGGTGCAAGGGTTGCCAGTATAACGCAGTGGAGTCGACGAACAATTGCGACAACCCCCCGATTGTGCCAATCTGGTAGGGGAGGGGTGAGAGCATCAGATCTTCGGCCGGTTCGGCTTTCGTCTGAAACGTCGTCCAGGTTGTTCTCACTAGATGCTAGATCCTATCTCGACGGCATAATGGGCCGTTTGTATACTTGATGAGACTAGCAGACAGTCGAACCCGGGCGAGGCAAGGGGGGAAATTTTGGGGGAAAGGGGGGGGGGGTTGGGGGGGGGGAAGGAAGGGGAAGAAATCACGTCCAGGTCGACTGATGGAAGGATGGCTGGATGGTCAGTCAGAAGGAGGGGGGGATGATGGATCGATTCCCGACGGAGATTCCATTGCCTGGGCCGATCTGCTCCTTTTTCGCCTGCCGACGGCAGCAGGGAAAAATGACCCAAAAACCTGGCCCAGGCAGCCAAGCAGCTGGTTCGCTGGTCCCCAAAAAAGCCCCTTAAACGCACACTAGCTTCACCTTGTTCGCGACTCCACCAACTGTCGTAAGCCCGCTGATCCGTCAGACGGCTACATAACATTTTGGGATAAAAAGACCTTTTTGGTTGATCGCAGAGCCTGATTGAAGTGGGCTTCTGGCTGCCTGTTTGATGACGGAGATATTTGTGAGACGAGTCAAACTGCAACACAGAATATGTCTTGTTCATATGGCCTGCCTCAGCCGGAGGTTTGAGATTATCTTCCGATACGGTGACAGCTCAGGCGTATAGCACTACCTGGAGCATATACTGCAACGGTCAGAGACCATAATATGCACGACTTGCAAACACTTGTCAGGATTCGGTTAGTCCAGGTCCTGTTTTCCCGTTATTGGATAAAGAACTAGACACGGCTTTTTTTCCGAGCAAAGCCAAAATGCCTTGGAGGAAAGTTGGCGACAAACCCCCTCTGTTTGTCGCTGATGTTATGAAGTGAGACGGGGAATCCCGGTGCTACAGAGAAAACAGAAACACTCGAGGGACCTTCATTTCGGTCAGCCTTGCGGTTTGCTACACCTGTGCTTCGCCCGGAAGCCGGGTCAACAACGCATCAATCCCTGACCATAACCCACCAACAATCATGGCTTTTCCAAGACCCCCGCTTTTTTTTTGTTAGCATCACGCGAACAGTATCATCGACTTTTCCATTTGTCCTCCGTACGTTACAACTAAGGCGAGAGAGGGCAGGCAGCATGGAAAAAATGGAGAGAAATTGAAGGCTTGGCCCTGGTCTACGGAAGCGGACCACGATCCCTGCATCTGACCAACGGCAGCGTCATGGGGCATTTTGATAGAATTTCAAGCTTATTTCACGGCGCCATCGCCCGCCTTAGCGCGGTATTGGCAAGCCTTGGCCCCGTGCCATGTGGCGGGGCTCGGGATTAAGCTTGTTCCAAACCCCGTTCCTGTGCTCCTTTGCTTCATAGGCTCGAGTCAGCTCCTCGATATGCTGACCAAAATATTGGGTCTAGTGTCTCGCCGATGATAGATCCGGGGATATTGGGAGCTGCTGAATGGCTATGCCACACTACTGGTATGGGGGCTCAGCTTCAATCGATCCCGGTAGGCAACTTTTCAGCAGCCAATACTGTGGCGAGAGGGCTGAGCACTGGGGAATGAAGGGCCCGGCGAATTTTCCCATTCTCGTCGCCCCAGAGCCTGTAACAATATGCAAGCCGAGATGTTGACAGCGAACCATTGCCATAACACAGCTCTTACTGGTGGTGGTTCATGTAATGGGATGGCACTACTGTGTAGTCAGCCGGAGCTATGACGCTCAGCAACTGCTGATTTCCATTCCCGGCTTGTTCTTTAGTCAGATTCTCTGCAGCTAGCGCGCCCACTGAGTCGTATTCGCGTCTTAATGGGCGTCGAGCCCCTGGTAGATCGGGTCTCGCAACCCTTCCGAGCCCGATTCTATTGTTTCGAAAAGCAGCACGTCGCCCACTACTTGCGAATCTTTTGCACATCGCAGGAAATTTGATGATTCCTGGCTGGTGTAACCGGGCTCTGCTTGAGACATGGCTTGCAGTCGAACATATCGAAGCTATTGGAGAGAAATACGCACCTTTCCTGAATTTTTTAAAAGAAAACAAAAAAGATGCTGTTGGTATTGTTAGTATGTTATTTACTCTTGTACGGGACAGCAGCCAGCGGATTTTGACAGCCCATCGACATCATCTACATGCGAACATCTGGTTCTGCTGCACCTGGACGTGTTTGCCATGCAAGTTTCGGCCCGTTTGCCCAGTGTTATTGTGTAGTGAAGACTCGATGGACTGCGGGAGAAGTTGCGGTTTGTCTGCCAACAGCGTGGGAAGCACATAGGCACCGAAATCGACGAGCACCGTGTGTGTACGGTTTCCGAACCTTTGGTACGACTCATGCTGTAAATCACGATACGGGCAATTACAAGATTTACTACGCGCTGGGAGATTCGAAATGGAAACACAACCAATTTCTGAAAAACAGATGTGTCAATGAGGCATACACAAACCGTCGGACTTATCCCGAGAGACATCCGGGGGAATAGAAGTGGCCAGAGCCTCCAAATATGCCCGTCTTGGTATGGAAAAGCTGTACGGTTATGACCAAGACGGTGCCATTACGACCCAAGTTGGACGCCAAGCACGACCAACGGGGACGGGCGGCAACTTTCCGATCGAGGCTCATTTTCGGTTTGGGACAGCAGGCGTGGTTCTGGAAACTTGGCATGCGCCAGGACGGAAGGTGTGATTCAGCAGGCGCCTGCGCTCGTTGACAAAC